GTCTCTATGTTCTGTCAAAAGTGTATTCTCATCAATTATAACAGTCAGAGCTGTTGACACTTTTTGTGAAATAATTACTCCGTTCCTTTCATATTTTTTTTTATATAATAGATATATAGAATAAATTTAAATATATAAGCATGATATATAACATACTTTCTCAACTAAGAAGTGTAAAAGTTTTTTTTTTAAATCAATATTATATTTTGATTAATTTCATATATCTATATTCATATGCAAGGCTGATATATACTTTTCTTTATTATATTTTATTTTATTGATGTAATTTTATAAAAATTGATATGAGATAATTTTTTAATTAGTCACGTTATTTTTTCTAGCTTTCTATTTTACTTTGCATAGAATCGCATAATTATTTATTAGCTACTAAAAAATTAAAAGTATAAAATTTAAAAAAAAAATTAACCTCAACCCTTAACTAAACTTAAGCATTCACAAATGAAAAATTTTATAAAAAAATATATATAATTATTATATTAAAGCTATAAAAGTACAATATATATTTCTCTTTCTAATAAAATTTTACTATCATTAATACTTATTTTTAAAAACTAAAAAATATTAAAGACTAAAAAAACTCACAAAAGTAAAGTACAAAAAAATATATATTTAAACTAATATATAAACTTTATAATTATGTCAACCGGATGCATGACTGGTAGCTATAAACCTAATGATATGTGTAAGTTCAATATGTAGGACTGGAATAAATACATTCCATCAAAATTGTGATGCAACTAGAAAAAATTTCATGCATTTAAGGATATTTTTATATTTAAATAAAATGTATAACAAGAAAATACTAATATTAAATAATTAGAAAATTATATACATTAAAAACATAAAAAATTATTTATTATCGATATTTTTTGATCTGTAACTTTTTTTTTTTACCAAATTATAAGTGATAAGTGATACCATTCATCGTTCCAGTTAGTATTTCTAGTACTCTTCTTTGTATATAATTAAATTACTTTAGATAATTTTTTTATATTTTTTATTTTAAGGTTGCTTCAATATTATTGCGTATACAATTAATTTTTATTTTATTTTTTATATTTATTAATTTAACGGGGTCTCATTTAAAATTTGAATTAGAATTAATAGATTTAAAAAATAGTCATTGAAAAAAGATTAAAAAACTTAAAGCGTGAGATATGTAATGTAAGATAAATTAAAGTAATTTATTTAGGAAAAACTTAATTTTTTCAATAAAATTGAGTAATTAATTATAAGATCATACACTATTCTGAATCGGAGTAAGGATACGTAATTGATTATTTAATTTAATAGATATCAAGGCATAGGTATGTAATTGATTTTTTATTTTTTATTTTTGTCAAAAGTAGTTATCAAGATACATGTAATATGTTTATATAAAAATTGTGAAAATAAGACAAATATTTTGAAATAAATAAAAAGTAATTTCTATAATTATTTGTTTTTTTTTTTACAATGTAGAATATATTTTCAAACTAAGTACTGTAATGATTTATTAAATTTGTTTTCGTTGGGAGAAAGAAATAATTGAAAGGGAAAAGGAAAGAGAGAAGCAGTGTATGATTTCATGGTTGTGCCAATTCTTTTGTTGACGTCTATAGGGTCTTAACCTACCTATGCATGCATCTTCCAAAGGCAGTGTGTGGTCATTCTGAAAGAATGACAGCTGAATCGCAACCTTAGTATCATTTATATTCATATTTTTCTTCCAGACAAAGACAAACACACTGATTAACTTATTCTCATGGTCAAAGCAGATGTCAAGTACTACATTCAATCTCTTGAAAAAGAGAAAAGTTAAAGTTTTTACGCTGTGAAACAATGCATGCACCTTCCTATTCAAAGCGACGCCACCTTACCATGTAGTTTATACATTCCAGTTCTTAAATCTATGTATATACTTGAAGGTAAAATTTAAAATTTAAATAAATTTCCATTGGTATTTTTTATTATTTTAATAAGATAAAATTATATTTTCATTTTTGAGTTAAAGATTTATTGATTTTGTATTCTAATATTTTATTGATTCGTTTTAGTCATATATTTAATTTCTATTTTTTATCATACATGTTAGCTTTTATAGTGTAGTGATGCTAAATCTTGACATAGTTTTGTCAAAAATTAAATTTTTTAAGTAATTATTAAAATTTATTGGGAAGTTTTTATAAACTTTAAATTGCTATAATTTGTGTGAAATCATTAAGTTAAAAAGTAGCAATCGATAATTTTCTTTTATCAAATCTTGATTTTTAGCATTTATTTTAGTTATTGAAATTAATAAAGAGGTTCTTTCAATTCAAATATTAAGCTATTACATTGGATAAAATAGCATTGGCCCATTTAAGATTTTAAATATATAAAAATAGTAATTTTTATTTAAAAAAAAAGTGTCTTTATTACACTTTGTTTTTTTTTAATTAATACTTTTTTAATAAAATTTTGACATTTTATAATTACAAACTTATAACCAAATGATTAAATTAGAAATATTTAATAATACTAATTCTACAATAATCTAAAATATATTAAGTGATTAAAAAGGTATTAAAATTATTTTATATGAGTGTAAATTATTTAAAATATTACAGATAAAAGTTTTAAAAATATAAAAAATCAGCTTCAAATAAACTAAAAGTTACTTAACTATCTTTTTATAAGTTGATTTTTAAAAGCTATAAACTTATTTATTCACTAAAATATTTTACTAGTTTGATAAAAAAGAAAAGAGACTCAAAATAAACTATAAAGTTATGTTACAAAAAACAATCTTAAGAGGTAATAACATTTTCTGTAATTAGTTAAAGACTCACCTTAGGCATTTACCTTTACCTTGCTGAAGATAGAATGGTATTGAAAAATCTGTAATCTTAACTAATAAATGTCCCTTGAAATAAGAACAAATAAACATAATTTTTTTTCTGTCATTGGCCGTATATCATCGAATTTTTCCCCCATTTTTTCTTTAAATAAAAATACGTCTTCAGTGATTGTTTCCAAGCATATATGTTAATACTAAAACCAGCATTTGTTTTGTAGGATTCGATATCTTATCATTTTAAACCAAACTTATATATGTAGCTTGGTCGACATTTCTTACGCGTAAGCAAGCTATGCATCATTTCCGATATCCTGTAACACAAGGTGGTGTGGCTTTATTCATAGTTGCTTCATCATGCATGTTAGCATGTAGTAAATTAAATGTGCTCATTTTTATTTTTTTCAGAATATTTTGCTAATTAGAATTAGAACAAATCAATATGAAATCTTGTCATTTTTTCTGATGTACATATTTCATCTGTCTAGAAGGTTTACCCTCCCCTCCTTGTTTTTGGTCCTGCAATCATTCCAGTGGATATTTATCTTCGCGGGTTGTCTTATTTATACAAACCAATTTCATGCATTACTTTTAAAGTTTTTTTATTTAGATAAAAAAAAACGGAAGGTGTATATAAAAATTTGTATTTATAAAAAAAACTAATGAAAATGATCAAGGTAGTACATGATGATGAATTATCTGTAGAATTCAGTACACTGTTTACTATCAGGACGTACATAAAAAAAAACCCTGGTAATTGGATAAAATAAGGGAATGCATACTGTTGCTAACACTATAATAACCATCAGAATGCACTGAACCACGGATATAATTTTTCGTATTGAGAGTCATAATTTTGAAGAAACAAAGGGAATCACAAAGGATAACTTCTGAACTAATTAATCTATATTTAAAAACCATTTCATTTGTTGTATAGTAATACTACTATTTCCATTCCATCTTCTCGGTTAGTGAACCAATCTATTTGATCACTTAAATAAGAATTATAGTACCAGATAATGCTTTTTTAATTTGTAGTTGTATATGGAGGAATTTAATTGAGGCAAAATACAAGTGTAAAACGGATAATAAATATGCTCCCTCGAGTCAATCCAAATCTCTTTCATCCTTTCTTTGCCCAAAATACATGCAATTACTAACCCACCACCGCTTTCCAATCAAACACAACATACAACACACCCCTTCTTGACTTTGAAACACCCCATCCCTCAACCCCTATTTATTTCTACAACAACCTCTTCCATTAGAATAATCCCACTCTTCACTCTCCCATTAATACACTGCTAGCAAACCCAAGTGAGGAAGAGAATCCCCCTCTCCTTGCTTTCTCCCATGGAAATGTGGTAAAAGAAAGAGACAAAGTGATCAGAACCCACCCCTCCTCTCTTCTCACTGATGAAAGCCCTAGCATTAAGAGCTTTTTCTCTGCCATCTCTGCAACAACAAGATTCCTAATTAAGTCCCCAGCATGTATTCCTTTCCATGTTCCATTTGCTTCTCATGCGGGGGTAATTTCCTTGTACTTTAAAGAACCTCCACACACACAAAAGCATTTTTTTCTTCCCACTATTAATGCAAAAGTTGTGTATGCAAAAGCTAGCTATATAGCAGGGGATGGGAGACATGGTACTCTCTCTTATCGTCATTCCCTTTTTATTTATTTCCCTTTCCTTTCTAGTTTATCTTTCTCACAGGCGATTCCTGTTGCCTTTCATCCACTTTTATATATTTTATTTAATAACAATTTTATCTTTCACTTTATTATGTTAAATTCTAATATATGTGCATAACTTTATACCCTCATTTTTTTGTACTAGAATTAAGGCAAGATGTTACATACATGACTGATGGCAAGACATTTTTCATTATTATTATTATTGCAATAGGATCGGTGAGATGCACAGTCACACGGGGGGTAGGTGGAGAGGCTATATAAGGAGGCATGTTATGTTGGTCCTGTGGGTTCAGTTGAGACCAAAAAGCAAGAGCAACAAAAAGGGCTGCTTCTAGATTGTTTTTCTCGCCCGGTTGGCCGTTTTTGATATCTAACTTTCAGTTCAGTAATTCCCCACCATCTCTTTTACACCATCGCCCATCATCATCATCATCATCGTCGTCGTCATCATCATCATTCATCATCATCATGGCTTCTTCTAATAGACACTGGCCAAGCATGTTCAAGTCTAAGCCCTGCAACCCTCATCACCAATGGCAGCATGACATCAACTCCTCTCTCATCTCAACCGGTTGCCATAGAAGCCCTTACACTTCAGGTTTGTCAAACTCAAAACACTTAAAAACCTCTCTTTCATCACTCACCATATCTATAACAGACCCTTAAAAAAACCCTTTCCAATTCTAAACCCAAAGGTCAATTAGTTAACCTATAATCATACTACTTTTACGCTATAATATTCACAATATTCACATATATAAGTAGTACTAGTATCCACCATCCAGCACTTCAGTTTCACTTTGCAAATTTATTCTTTGGTACATAAAATATGGGTAGTTATAATAAAGTTCTTGACTTTAATTTTTCTTTTTTCTTTTTGTTTATTAACTTCATAGGAGCTGGTTGTGAGGAGAGAAGTCCAGAGCCAAAGCCAAGGTGGAATCCAAAACCAGAGCAAATTCGCATATTGGAAGCTATATTCAACTCTGGAATGGTGAATCCTCCGAGGGATGAGATAAGGAAGATAAGGGCACAATTGCAAGAGTATGGCCAAGTGGGTGATGCTAATGTCTTCTATTGGTTCCAGAACCGCAAATCCAGGAGCAAGCACAAGCTTCGCCATCTCCAGAACTCAAAGAACCACAACCCTGAAACCCAACAAAACCCAGTTTCTATCCCCCAAATCACTGCACCTTCATCCTCATCTTCCTCCTCAGAGAAATCTCCCCCCAAAGAAATGATACCCACCAAGGTGTTTTCCATTGGATTCTCTAATGTCACCGATATGGTTCCCAATTCTCCCACCAACTCCGTTAACCAGACCTATTTTCAGACCCAAAATGAGACCACTCTCCTTTCACCAGCACCACCCCCTGCTACTTCTGCCGTAGCTGAGGCTTACTTCTTCCCAGTGCAACATCATGGGCATGGAGTGGTGCTACCTAGTGCCGTGACATCACAAGGGTTTTGCTTCTCGGAGCTGTCCAATGTTGTTCAAGCTCAATCACATGGTCAACATAATGTTGGTCCTTGCACTAGTCTTTTGCTTAGTGAGATCATAAGCCATGGTGCTGCTGCCTCAAAGAAAGATCTAGACCAAGACAAGTCTCTGAAAATTATGCACCAACCTTCTCAGCTTAATTTCTGTGTCTCTCACACAACAACAGCTCCTACTACTGCGACTGTTGTACCTCCCATTACTGCCACCACCACTACTGTTCCATCCCCCGTCATTGCTCATGTACTTCAAGGTAATTTAATCTATTTGGATTTGACTTCTTCCAAAGAAATAAAATAATGACCATTAGTTGAAAATTTTAAAATATCAGCTGTTGAGAGGTTTTGATTAATTTATAAGTATATGTAAAGCAAATTATGAAATTATTAAAATTTTAGTAGTTGATTTTGGAATAATCAACAAGTTATTATTTTGTTTGTGCATGGTGATATACAAGTGTTCTCCCTACTGTATCATTTTTTAACTATTTATTAAAAACATTATCGATGTTACATTCTAAATAGGACTATTTTGTTTGTCACTTTCAAAATGAAAAATGGTTATGAAAACAAAAGGCATAGAGTGTATTGACTATATGTGTGCATGGCTTTATTGGCTTGAATTAACATTAACTTATATTTGAGTTCTGGTAATGTGTTTGGACATGCGCATGAGAAACGATTTGGTGTATCTTAGGCGTTGGTGATCCAGCTGTTACGCCGAGATCAACGGTGTTCATAAACGATATGGCATTTGAGGTAGCGGTGGGACCTTTCAACGTGCGTGAGGCCTTCGGAGATGATGCTGTGCTCATCCATGCCACTGGTCAACCAGTTCTAACAAACCAATGGGGCATCACTCTTCAGTCACTTCAGCATGGTGCATGCTATTATTTGGTGCGCACGTAACACTTATTTTATGACAAGAACTTTTTTTCTGTTGTGATCAAAGCTTAAGATGATGGATTCTTTTAATATATAATTTTGCCATTTTGCAGATATAGGAAGTAGAAAGCTGAAGGATCGAGGGAATGGGGTTTTAGATATATATGGCGTTTTTTTTCTCTGCTTATTTCCATTACTCTTTCTCATTTTCTACAACTTTATTATCTATTTGCCTAGCTCTATGTGTGTATTATTACCATTACCATTAGGGTTATTAAAGAAGTATTCTCATTAGAATGACTTGTTCAAGTACGGATATCATCATGACTGTGTTGACCAAAATATGTAATTTTTCGCTTATATTAGTTTAAAGCAAAGTATCGTTATTAATTATATGATATGATAGAGTGATGGATGTGCTTTTATTCATTATTCCGTTATTCTCAATTAGTAAAAGGTTAATAGTAAATCGAAAATGTAGTTAAAACCATGTGTGAATTTGAACCGACTATATATATACACAGTGATTTAGAATCGGAAGTGCTATTGAGTATTGAGAAAACTGTATCGATCTCAGATGTTTTGCTTTTGGTCAGGTCGCGCGATTATTTAGAAGCTACTATTATTACTTCATGACGCTGCTTATTAAAGTGTCTCCTATGGCTTCTGCCCATGCTACATCTCACTGAAAATCAAATGTACTTGGGTTTGCTCCAGATTATTGCAATATCGATATGTTGAAATTTTGTAACGATAGATAATATATATATATATATATATATTTGTGCGTCTACGTGAGGCCCTCCCTTGTTTTTTTCTCCGTGTAATAAGGTGAAGGAAGATTTACTAAAAGAAAATCCTTATTTTAAAATGTTTTTGTTTGTATCCAACGATGTTTGTAATTATCTAACTCTATATTTATGACTTAGAATTTTAAGAAATTATCCCGAGAATAAAGATTATTCACAAATAATTTTTTAATGTGTAAAAGATTTTTGCTGAAAGTAAAAATATTTATTAGTTCAAAATCATGAAGAATGTTCGATGCATACTTTTTATAATAATTTAAAATATTTATTAAAATATATTTAAAACTTTTTAACATGTGTTTTTAAACACATTAAAAAGATTATTGTTTAAATAAGACAAATATCATTATTTTATTTATTATAGTATTACTCCCTCTAATTTTATTATTATATATCATAAATTTATAATATTGACAATTTATATATTAAATTATACAAGTATCGAGTGAGTATAGTATTAATTAAGATTACTGATGGCATTTTCGGATTTTGAATTAATAGTGAGACATTATTGGCGCTCATTCCGTTAACACATATTTTCTTTTATCCAAAAACGTGTGTATCATAAATTTGTGTTTTCATCTTTAAGTTGTGTGAACATTTTTGCTACTAATTCATAGTGCTTTTTATATTTTAAAAATTATTAATTAGTTTTAATTTTTATGAAAAAAAAAATTTCACGTCTCACTTTTTATTATAATTCAACTGTATTAGTTTTGTGACTTAAATCTGAATTATTTATGCTTTTGTATTTTGACACTAGTATTATTTGTATTTTGAAAATTTTAAGCCAAACGAGATGAATAATTGAATATAAAAAGTGTTCCATATTTCGTGGTAAAAAGTAGGTCCTAACCTCACTGTATGCCATTTAAAAGCGCATCTTATTTACACGAATCAGAAGGGTCTGACCCGAAACGGAATGGTACCAACGTTATCACACAAACTGCCAAATTCAACGTTGTCTTGTGGGGGCGAAGAAGGACAATGGCAAATGTGTACCCAACTCAGTCACTGTTCCTTTTATTGCTATAAATTGAAGAAGAGAGAATAGGAGAGTGGTTGTTGACGAGAGGTCACAGCTTCACAGGCACAGTCACAGAATTGGTTTACGTGTTCTTTGCTAACAACAGTGTTTGCTCTCATGTTTTGATGCCTCGATTTGACACAGCGATTTGGATATGTCAAGAAGAGCTATCTGCTCACACTGAAGCCAAATTCTTCACGCTCTCTTTCCTTCTCTCTTCCTCCAATCTTTATGCTATGTCACACCCAAAAATCCCTTTTCTTTTCCTCCATTCTTTCATGCTATGTCACACCCCAATGTCCATTTTCTTCTGCATGAACTATCACGTATGGTATATATGTGTCACATAAATATATATAATGATGATCACCAAGACTTGTTCTCCCTCCTTTGCAAACTCATGATGTGAATGGCATTTCTCTCTCTCTCTAAATTGTTTAGTAGTGATGGATGGAGAGGAAGCATGGTTGAGGAAATGAGGAGAAGCTTGTGTGTTGTGTGATGTGTATGTGTGTCTCAGACTTTTTTGTTGGCACAGAGAGTTTCTGACTTTGCGGTCACATGGATGGAGGTGATGTTTGGTTTGGAACGGACTATAATTCAGCATATTGGTGTTGTGGTGCCTTGCTTTGTGGCCACATCACCCACCAAGGACGAGGGTGTTAGGTAAAGGAACAGTGAATCACCTGCACTTTTTTTGGATTCTCAATTTCTGTCCATTGTCCTTAATCTTTTTTAATTTTTATTATGTCGCTTAAAAACATCCTTCTTATTGTTGAATCACTTTAAACACCTTATATGTTCTTTTAAATTTTGGTATGCTTGATTTACTTGTTTATCACGATAAGTTCTTATTTTCACTTACTATAAGTATTTATTAAAAATTTAATTCAAATTGAGATATTATAAAATAGCTGGTTACGTCACATATTTTAGTGTCTCGTGACATATTATAATACTATAAAATAAGTAACTATCGTTTTACTATTTATTTCCTTACTTTCTTTCTTTTTCTTTTATATTTTTATACTTGAGTGTACACACCAAAATAAAAGAGTATGAAATAATCTGAGTTTGTTTGTTTTAAAATTTAGAAAAATTATTTTTAAATTGTTAAACATAATAAAAATTGTATGTGTAATTATTTTTAAATGTATATTTAAATTAAAATGTGTATTTTTTATAAAACAATGAGAAAAAAATTCTTACTTCTAACCAAATGAAAATTTTATCATTAAATTGAATTTTAGTAAAAGTTGTTCTATGTACTAAACATCGATTCTACTTTGTGGTGATATTACATAAAATCTATACAATAAAAAAATAAATATTAATTAGTCTGTGATTTAAGGGTGTTAGTTAAAAATTTTGAATTATTATTTTATTAAAAAATTATCAATATACTATTATGGTTTTTAATGCACTCCTAACATAAGTTTCAATAATATTAGTTTATTATTATTTTTTTAATTAATACTGTTAGAGAAACCAAAGAAAAAAGAAGAAGAAGTCTAAAATATTAATTTCCTTAAATTGAATTCATCCCTTTTTAAGAGTACAGAAAGTTAATTAATAATAGAAAATAACAGAATAACTGTTATTACAGTTCAGCTAACAAACTAAATCTATTATTACATAATGATGATTTAACATCCCTTTTATTCCTGTCAAACTCAGTGTGGAGTATTTGTCAACAGTGAGTTTGTCTCGAAGATCTAAAAATATTGCTGGACTAGGAGACTTGGTTAAGAGATCTACAACTTGAAATCTTGCTGCAATATGTTTAACATGAATTTGACCCTGAGCCACTTTTTCCCTGACGAACCATAGATCTAACTCAAAGTGCTTTGTTTTAGTATACATAACAGGATTGGCTGAAAGAAGGACAACACCTTGATTATCACACCAAATTAAAGGAGGTTGTTTACTTTTGATATGAAGCTCAAAAAGAAGGTTTTGAATATATTGAATCTTAGTAACCAGACTTGCGAGGCTGCGAAATTCAGCTTCTGTGTTGGATCGAGAGACCACACGTTGTTTCTTTGTCATCCAAGAGACAATATTGGAACCCCAAATACACACAATTCCCAAAGGTGGATCGCATATCATCTTGATCACTCGCCCAATCAGAATCAAAGTAGGCTAGAATGTTTGTATCACTAGAGTGCTTGTAATGCAATCCATGATGAAGAGTGCCCTTGAGATATCGAAGAAGATGTTTTGTTGCTTTCCAATGAACTTTAAGAGGATGATGCATAAATTGACACAACTTGTTTACTATGTAAGCAATATATGATCTAGTGATTGTAAGATATTGAAGAGAGCCAACCACAGACCTATAAAGACTAGAATCATAACAACCTTCAATATTGTCATTGGTTAGTTTCAAAGATAGAGTCATTGGAGTTTTAATTGGCTTGGTCGTGGACATGTTGAGTTTAGAAAGAATATATGTTATATACTTTGTTTGAGAAAGATGTAAATCACCTACATTGTTTGAGTGAACTTCAATGCCTAGAAAATGATGAAGTTTGCCAAGATCTTTAAGAGGAAAAGAGTGATGAAGAGTCTGAATGAGGTTTTGAATTGCAAAGGATGAATTGTTAGTAATGATGATATCGTTGACATATATAAGAATGTATATGACAGTGGTGTTAGAGATGGAAATGAATAAAGAATAATCAGATCTAGCTTGAACAAAACCCAATTTGAGTAAAGTGACAATTAGTTTTTGAAACCAAGCTCTAGGGGCTTGCTTGAGGCCATAAATAGCTTTGCGCAATTTGCAAACAAGATCAGAGTTCCCTTGATGAAATCCCTATGGCTGCTGCATGTATATATCTTCTTGAAGATCTCCATTAAGAAAAGCATTATCCACATCTATTTGATGCATTGGCCATCCTTTTGAGACAAGGGCAAGAACCACATGAATGCTAACCTTATCTGTCAACTTTTCCACTATTACACCCAAAAAACCAAACTCTGCCTTACGTAAAGTTGCCAAAGTACGCTTAACCTCTGGATTTGAAATCACTGCTTATATACCCGGTATTGGCCATAATTTACAAGAGCATTCTGTAGTCTTAGTAAGAGGGGGAAGGGTAAAAGATTTACCCGGTGTGAGATATCACATTGTTCGAGGAACCCTAGATGCTGTCGGAGTAAAGGATCGTCAACAAGGGTGTTCTAGTGCGTTGTAGATTCTTATCCAAGACTTGTATCATTTGATAATGCCATGTGAATCGCTAGAAACATGTGAAGTGTATGGCTAACCCAATAACGAATGTTTCGTAAGGGAACTGGAGTAGGCTACCATGAGACAAAAGATCTTCTTTCTAAAGAAATTCGATTCGGAACTATGATATGTCCAAGGTCCAATATGAAAAGAATCTTAGAGGTTTTCCTTAACTTTGTCCATGTCAACAAACAATTCGAAAGGTTTGATGACTGAACTGAACGTATTTGTGTAATCTAGTCCTTGTTGTTGAGTGAAACCTCCTGCCACTAATCTAGGTTTATGCTTGAGAATAGAACCATCTGGTTTATACTTATTTTTGAAAATTCATTTGCAAGTTATTGCTTTTCTGCTTGGAGGTAAAGTAACAAGATCCCAGGTATGGTTATTCATTAGAGCCTTGTATTCGTCTTGCATAGCTTGTTTCCAGATAGTATTTCGAAGGGCCTGATCAATAGTGATTGGTTCAGATGTTGCCAAGAGCACTTTAGGCTTAAAAATGCCAGCTTTGGCTCTGGTGATCATAGGATGACAATTATAAGTAGAAGGGGTAGATTGAGCTTGAGTGGCAGATTGTGGAGGAGACATGAATGAACTGAATTAAGGAATAGGTTGGGCAGAAGCAGCATGGTGCATGGTTGTGGGTTGAGATTTAGGTTGAAGTTGAGTTGAGATGTTAGTAGTTGAGGAAGAGTTTGTGGGAATGATTGGTGTAATTGAATCAACAGAGTCAAGCATGATTTAGGCAGATTGAAATGGTGTTAGAGTTGATGCTTTAGATGGCATAATGGGTATTGTGGGTACAGCTAGAGCTAGAAACATTGGTGGTTGCCTACAAGGTGGTTAGTGCTGAAAACAAATGTACCAGAGAAAGTACCTTCATCAAAATTTACATTCTTAGATATAATAACTTTGCCATTTTTTGCAAAACATTTATACCCTTTATATTGCAAGTTATAGCCAATAAAAAAGCATTGAGAGGATCTGAAATCTATTTTATAATTATTGAAAGGCCTCAAATGAGGATAACAAGCACAACCAAATGGTTTTAGTAAAAGATAGTTAGGCAGCCTTTTAAAAAGAGTTTCATATGGAGATTTCATTTGAAGGGTAGGTGTTGGTAATCTATTTATGACATTAATGGTCATGCTAAAAGCATTAGCCCAAAACATATGAGATAGACCAGCTGAGGATAAGAGAGTTAGACCCACTTCTATGATGTGTCTATGCTTTCTTTCAGCTGACCCATTTTGTTGATGAGTGTAAGGGCAACTAATTCTATGAATTACGTCATTTCATTAAACATATTGGTAAGACATGTAAATTCTTTTCCCCTATCAGATTGAAACAGCTTGATATTTCTTCCAAATTGGTTTTCAACCATGGTTTTAAAATGTTTAAAATGATGTATAGTTTCAGATTTATTTTTCATAAAATAAACTCACGTGAATTTGGAATATGCATCAGTAAAATGAACATAATAGCGGAAACCTTCTCTAGAAATATAGTGTGAAGGTCTCCAAACATCACTATAAATGAGATCAAGAGGAGCATAATATATGGTAGTGGAATCAGGAAAAGATTGAGCATGAGATTTACCAAGATGTGCAAACAGAAGTGTCTTTATTACTACTAACACGTATAGAAATATTATAAGATTTCATAATAGCTTCTACCATTTTTCTAGAGGCATAAGCTAATATATGATGCCATGTATCATAAGATTTATCCACTCGTTGAACATTCAGAGCAGTAGAAGAAATAGAATCATGAGTAGTAAGATTCACATATGAAGCAGTTTGCAGAATTGAAACTTCATCAAAGACATACAATCCATTTTTAAGGGTCCTTTGCAAAAGAATTTCCTTCGAATCCTGAGATTTTACAAGAGAATGATTGGTATGAAATTCAACAAAAACCTTATTGTCTATGCAAAACTTAGATACACTAAGCAAATTTTTAGTGATTTGAGGTACATGCAATAAATCTTTCAAAGTAAATACTTTAAAGGACATGGGAATATGAAAGAAGGAAGTACTTGTATGATGAATACCTATTGGTTGACCATTACCCATATGAATCTTGTCTTGACCAGAAGTAGAAGTTCTGGAACCAAGATTGGTCAAATCAGGAGTGATTGGTAGCTCCTGAGTCTGGATACCACTAATCATTATAAGCCATGGTTTGAGAACCTATAAACATTGCTTGCATTTGTTGCTGTTGGTTGCTTGAGTTGGACGAGTCAGAAATATTATTGAAATTTGGTTCAGCGAATTACTGATCATACCTGTGCCAACAATGAAAAGTTATATGGCCAAATTTGCCATAAACTTGACATTGTTGTTTGTTACCTCTACTAAGTTGCTGATTTGACCTTCCACGGCCTCTTCCTCTTTGGTGAATTCTTCCAGTAGAACCATGTATGATAGACCCTCCTCTATAATTGTGAGATTATTTTCTGATTTGAGACTAACCTTGAGCCAAGTTTGCTTGAGGAGAGACACTGTAACTTCTTTTATGCCTTTCCAAGCGTTCTTCTTGAGCCATTAATATGGCTTCAATCTGTTTAACAGAGTACTCTTCTGTGCGTGTAAGAACAGAAGTAATGAGTGGGTCATATTCTTCGGGTAACCTATCGAAGATGGCATCAATGTGCTCAAATGTAAGAAGAGGTTACCCAATAGCAGCAAAAGTGTCCACAATTTTTTTGATTTCAAGAAGAAATTGATTTAAGGCTGTGATTTTTCTATGCGGTCTTAGTTGAATCTTGAGTTGTTTCACTCGAGCCTTGGTTTGGGAAGTAAAATAAGTTTCAAGATTGCTCCAAATCTGATAACACCATTCGTAGCCAACCATGCGGACCTTGAATTGAGGTTTCATACTTTCGAGTAACCATGATTTTAGAAGGTTATCTTGTTGATCAAAATTTTCATAATCTGGATTGATAACTTCTTCGTCTGTGTCTTCTTTACTCAGATATTGAGGCGGAACATGCTTGTCTCCAAGAATATGATTCTTTAAGCGATACCCACGGATGGTAGATTCAGCTTGTTGTCTCCAAGTGAGAAAATTGTTCTCACTGAGTTTTGATGAGATAGGAGCCAAAAAAGCTTGTGGAATGGATTGTTTGGAGGTTGTGGAAACCATGAGAAAACTAGGAAAAAAAAATTAATTGCTCATGATACCATGTTAGAGAAACCAAAGAAGAGGAAAGAAGAAGTCTACAATATTAATCTCATTGAATTGAATTCATCTATTTTTAATAATACAGAAAGTTATATATATATATATATATATAACTAAGAAACTAATAATAGAAAATAACAGAATAACTGTTATTACATTTTAACTAACAAACTAAACCTATTATTACATAACGATGATTTAACATCCCTTTTAAATACTATTAAAAAACTATAATTAATAAGACATAAAAAAATTATTCTTTAGCTTAAATAATTATCAATCAACACAGCCCCTCAAATTAGCATTATTACTAATTAAAATTAGCATTAGAAAATCACTTATTAACTCATGTATTGAAGTGAAAAATTAAAATGACTTATAATTAATTATTGAAGCTAAGGGTTAAATTGACAGCCCTTAACTGCAAGAACTCAAATGATATCGATGGATAATTACAAAATTAAATGTTCAGTTTTCATATAAAATTTAAGAATTATAATGATTGATTATGATTTTAGGAACTGATTTGGTATTTTATTCTTTTTCTCACGAGTAAATACTAAGTATGTCTGGTCGGTTGAAAATTCTTATGAAACCGAGAAGAATAAATTTCTTTCTCTAAAGTGACCTTGGAATTTACATATTCTGTGAGACTTTCACAGAAGTTTACAAATCAGGGAAAGTTAGTCTAAAAGACGAACTTTTTAAAACACGTTAAAAATATAAAATGAAATTATTAAAATTTTCCAAAATGAAAAATCATATGATGTCAATGATATTTCTCTACTGTAACTCTGAAAAATAAAATAAAAAAATGGATTTACTATGAATTCATATTGCATACTGTAAATACTATTATTTTCAATAATCACCAAATCTAGAAATTGCCATGGCCTTTTTTCTGCTCGATATGAGGCCCTTTTATGGGCCAATACAAATGAAAAAATGAGGGCCCATATTTGTCACCTGAAACATCAAATCCATCAATTGAGGCCCATACATTCTGCCTTCTTTTGTGGTAATTATTTGTCCCCGTATTAAGGCCTATAGTTCCACACATTTATTTTTTATTTATTTATACAATTACTTATCTATTAATTTATTTATTTACGAAAAACAGATTGGAAAAGATATAGTTATGAATAACCTCGTCATATGTCGAAGCAATTAAGGACTTAAAGGTTTTCAATAAAAATTTCAACTTTTATTTACATTTTTAAAGGTTTTCAACACCCGTCCAAATAATATATACTTGATGTTTATTCATTTTATGTCAAAGGTACAATTATTGGTAAATAATGGTTTTTAACATATCAGGATTGAAGTTTATAAACTATAGTTTGACCAGCAAAACAAAATATCCCAGCTGTAACATTACCCAACTGTCTGAAAAGTAAACTCAATTTATAATTCTTAAGCATTAAAGGTTACATAAAAAATAAAATTACGTTCATCATATCGTTTTGTTCAAGGCAATATTGAATTAAGAAACAAACTAGTTATACTTTTTAAAATTCAAACAACTCTTTTCAGTAATGGTTTCGAGTACTGATTTTTGAGATATTTTTTATTTAGTTAAAATAACAAATCCATCTTTATAAAAGCAACTTAACAAAATAAGAAACGAAATCGACGAACAAAGGGTTTTGAAAATATAGGTTTCATAATTAGTTTTATTACTCTAACTTATCGCTATCAACAATAGAATGAAACTCATAATTGGTTTTACTATTATTTGAGTTAATTTTCTCAAATGTTATTATAACATTTATTAGATCATTTGTTGATATTGTGAATTTAATGTGACTAGAAAGCAATTTGATATGAATTATTAGAAATGGCAAGTGTTGACGTAAATTATAAAAACATAATAAGCTTTCGTAAACCCATTTTTTAATAAATATTTGTTTGAATCGGCTAACTACACAACTATTTTGACTTGTTTGTTTAAATTTTTCTAAAAACCATAAATTACATTCTAATTTGAAAATATAATTAAAGTATATAAATTCAACTCTAATATGTTAATAATAAAATATGTTTAGCTTTTAGTTGTAGCAAAATTGAGTTATTTTAACGTCTTAGTTAATATCCGTTAAGAGTTTGATTGGCAAAATAAGTATTGAAATCAAGAAAAAGAGTGTTTAAAACAAATTATCTCTAAATAAAAGATTAATACAGAAATTGGAGTTAATTGTTTTGCACTTTGGTCACCACTGTCATCATTCCCCCAAAACAATTTGCCAACAAAGAAACCCAACATTTCCAGCATTGCTGTTTCAGTTACCCAGTTATTATTATTATTATTTGGCTTTTAACGTTGTTCTAAATCTGGATATCAAAACAAAGTACTTTTCTTTGATTATAAATAAAGATTACCCATTTATCAAAGTCAGAGTTTTTCCTTGATTTTCTGTCTAGCCAAACACCAAAGAGAAAAGTGAAGTGAATGTGGCAAATGGGGGCCTATAGAGCTGATGATGATTACGATTGTCTGTTCAAGGTGGTGTTGATTGGGGACTCTGGTGTGGGAAAATCCAACCTTCTGTCGAGGTTCACAAAGAATGAATTTAGCCTTGAATCAAAGTCCACCATTGGGGTTGAGTTTGCCACCAGAAGCATTAGCGTAGATGATAAGGTTGTCAAAGCTCAGATTTGGGACACTGCTGGCCAGGAAAGGTGAAGATTCATTTTCTTATGCTAGAGTTGGGTTATTCCATTTCGGTTGACATGTTAGTTATTGTCCTAGATGTGTTTTTGTGTTTTTTGAAGTGTATGAATATCCATGATTTTATTGTAATGGGTATGTGGCTGCTCTAGTTTTCCTTCACCCTTTACGCTGATAATTAGACGAGAAGATGAATTGGAAGCTTTTCTGAATTTCAAGTTTGTACTCATATGTTTGGAAAAGGGAATATGTAATTAGAAATTTGCCTTTTTTTACATATAAATTTGAATTTTATTTGCGGTTGCTTGTGTTACTGCATTATTATTGGATCCTCTTAACTTTTTAGTTCAAATTGACATTCAAACATAGCATTTATCATTTATGCATTGGGTTCTTGTTGAAATAAATATCACGCAATTAAAATTGATATGTAATAAGCATGTCAACCATATTATTAAAACCGTACTTGTAGCATCTTTGAAAAAGACGTTAGAGTTGCTGATTAAGATACAAGGAACATATACTAGGCAATATATGACATGAAGTCATCACTTGGCTAGTTTTGCTTGCCAAGGTTACCAATGTCTCAAGTTTGAAATAGTGAGATGTTGTAATTACCTTTAAACCATTTTGTTGGTATGATTTACTCTTATTTGCCCAGTGCTGAAGTTGACTTGTTATATCAAAAAGATTTGTGGAGACTTATGTGTTTTAAAAATTTGAATTCTGGTGTTGCTAAAATGTTGGCATGATTTATTAGGTTCTGAAAAATAGAAGAAGGTCAAGGCTGACTGGTGTTACTATTGTTATGATTACTCTTACCATTGTTATGCTTGGTTTAGCTGCGGTGTTTAATTTATAAGAAAAGATTGCGCCTTCAACACTGATCATTCAATGCATCATTTAGTTTGGTCAGGACTATAAAGTTAAATTTCATAAAACATGAATTTCCTCTAATGAAACTTGGCGGTGTTGTTGATTCATAATCTCAACTAGAATCATTTGAGTAACATCACCGAAATTTGGATTCCACATGAATAAAGATTTAAAATGCAATGTGTTATAGACTTTTCATGTAAGATATCTGAATTTGCTTTTCCTTTACTAAGGTACCGAGCAATCACCAGTGCATATTATCGCGGAGCTGTTGGTGCATTGCTAGTCTATGATGTTACCCGTCATGTTACATTTGAAAATGTGGAGAGATGGTTGAAGGAGCTGAGAGATCATACAGATGCCAACATTGTGGTGATGCTTGTTGGGAACAAAGCAGACTTGCGTCATTTACGAGCGGTTTCCACTGAAGATGCGACAACCTTTGCCGAACGAGAGAAAACATTTTTCATGGAAACATCTGCCCTCGAGGCCATGAACGTTGAAAATGCCTTCGCAGAAGTGCTGACACAGATCTATCATGCTGTGAGCAAGAAGGCCCTTAACATTGGTGTTGATCCAGCAGCATTGCCAAAAGGACAGACAATAAATGTTGGGTCTCGTGACGATGTATCATCTGTTAAGAAAGCTGGATGTTGTTCTGCTTGAGCATGCAGTTAAAATTTCTGTATTTTTACCTTAAATCTTTACCCTGTTCATATCCATGTGGATAGCCTTTTACAGCATGAAATGATTGTTTAGAGAGCATCACACCTTAAACTTACTGATTGAATCTGTAGATAAATAAATATGTTGTTCAATGTCAGCCAAATGTTCAGGAAACATGTGCTTTATTTTGCTTGATTCTTATTTTCTTCTTGTTTCATGAAGGTATTCATCTATCTAATTTTAGATTTGTTGAGAACTTTTAGTTTTTGTTACATTTCTAGCTTAAAACGAAATGTTCTTGAGAATAACGAAGAAAACAGAGAAAGACGTTTTTCTTAAGAAAAACAAAATCTTTCTCGTAGTCTGCAAAATTGTTATTTAAAAATCAGGTTTGTTTCAACTCAATTGGTTTGGTTAAGTTGTGGGATAAATTGTGGGTGTACTTTTGATTTCTCGCGATACAATGTGTCCTTTTCTGTTCCCTTATCTCCCCTCCCCTCCCTGCTTAATTTCAATAATTAGTTTTAATGATCCAGATTAAGTTAAAAAAATTCAGGAACCGATGAATGTCAATTTGGGTTCAAGTTTGAATATCAGAAGATAACAAACTAAAATGCACCATAATCGGTACCATAAATGGCAAATTGGGATGAAGCATTAGAATATGTACAATCTTTTTTCCTTAGATCCACATGAAAAACATTTGAATATGCAGTCTTATTCCTTTTCCTTACATCCTTATCGAAACAGTGATATAAATTAATTTAAAAGAAAGCAATATAACAATTGCGATAGACTCGAATATAATAACATTAAAATTCCATAGACCATCATAATCAAGGTGTCAGGGCGCTGGCAACCAAAAGCAGTTCTTGTGTGGCTTGATTCCAGTGAATGGTGCCTGCAGTTTCGGTGTTTTCATGAACCCAAAATAAAGGATGTAACATGGCCCAGATATTGACAACTTTGTTTAGTGCAAATGCAAAGATAAGTTATTCTAACAAACATGACGGCAATAAGGTGAGGAGAAAAACCAATTCTTCCCGGCAATACTAATTTATCAATTTTAATTTTTTAACTATATATGATGAAGAAATTTTGGACTTAGAATAACTTTTGTACCATCAGATGAGCAAAGCACCAAGTCTCAAAGTACATCCAACACAAAAAGTAGAGGAAGTCTCAAATGGACATAGGATACAACATGCTCACTTCATTAATGCACCAAAAGAACGTTTCTGCAGTTAATTAGTTTGGCAAAATAACCATCCAAGGCTACACTGGGTTGGAGTGAAATGGATAGAAGGAAAGTGTTGTATACACAATCATATTTCATCAGCCCATTTTAATTCCAAATGAGCATAGCGTAAGTATGCAACCTTCCAGAACCATAGGTCACTCTTCATGGGACATGTTTACAATAGTATCACACTCATGGAAACTAAAGTTACAATTGTTCATCAATATGTACGGTGTTCATAACTGAAAGCTTCCTTGCATAACTGAATTGTAACCTCAGTTACCATGGCAACAATAACAGACTACAAGCAACACTAACATAAACAAGAAGATGTTTCCTAGTGATCAATTCAACCAAACCAAAAAGCCATAAAATTGAAGGATGGAAACAAATAAAAAAGATAAACTTTAATAATTATCTGACCGCCCCCCCCCCCCACCACCCCAAACATAATTCAGATTCTATCTACAATTTGCAATCACCATAATTGAGGAAAATTCATGAAAGTGGAGGAACTCACAGGAAGTGGTGAATTAGGGTCGAGATTTGTCGTTGTCACGCTCAGAGGGGGGAGGGTTGTTGGAGTGAAAAGAGGGTATGGGGTTTTCTCCTTTGATGATCCAACCGAGGGCAAAGAAGGCAGTGCCAGCAAGAATGGCAGTGCCCCAAGCGTGAGAGTACCATTTACTGTATTGCCTAATCGCAAATCTCCATTGATCTCTCAGAGTTGCCGCATCCGGAATCTCTTTTTCTGGGGGGTTTATATGCATCTTTTGCCCTGAAAATTTTTTTGACCCATTATCACTCGGACTCGGAACCCCAGTAGAAGAAGAAGAAGAAGACGATGATGAAGGGTACTGGGTTTTGGGCTTTGTCTCAGTCATGACGGTGGTGGTGGAAGCTGCTGTTGCTCATCCTTTGCTTTGCTTTGCTTTCATTTCATATATATGGATATATTTTCTTTTATATTTATTTAAATTAAATTTTAAATATACAAAATTTATAATTAAAAATCCTAAAAATTATTAGATTTTAAAAAATAAATTATTATTATGATTTTATAATATTTTAAACACTACTTATATAAATTTAATGGTGAATTATCAAAATGATTATAATAGATTTTAAAATTTTAAATATTTAAAATTTAATTTTTACTAACTTTTATCGATAAAATATTATAATCTTATCTTTATTTTTAAAGATGTTTAAAATTTTATTTTATATCCCTAATATAAAGTTCAACGATAAATTGAGTGACTGCAATTAAAATTTACTTAATAAAAATTTAAAAAAAAATGTAAAAGATCTAATAAAATTATATAATCTTCTTTTGAAATATTATTGTAGAAGCTTTATTTAATTTAATTTTTTATTTTAATTTTTTTTAATTTTTTTCTTAATAGTATGCAAACTTGTTTCTCACATCTATTCTAAACTCTAAACCTATTTAACTATTTTTTTTTTGTATTGTTTTACTTTCAAATGTAAGAGTTTCTTCTTTGAAAATATCATATACTCATTCTAATTATTTTAAAGTTTATTATTTTGGTTTGATCAGAATATAGGTAATGATTAAAGATATTTTATTGAATTAGAGAAAACATAGAGAATTCATTTTGCTATAATTTTTGTTTAAATCAGTGTTATCTGCTTAAGTTAAATTTAGACAAAAATAAATCTAAATTTTTTGTCAAATTTGCTTAAGCTAACGCACATTTGTTTAAGCGAATTAAAGAGAGAGATGAATATAAATTTTTTGTCAAAAACTAGCTTAAACCACAATCTATGCGCTTAAGCGAATAAAAACATATATGAATCTAAAAATATATTCGCTTAAGCTAATATTCATTGATTAAGCCATTATTATGTTGTATTTCATGGCTTAAGTAGATTATGTTTTGCTTAAGCGAATTACTTTCTGTGAATTTTTTTTTTTTATAACTTTTGTTTAAGCGAAAAAAAACTCAATATAAACGAATGTTGTAGAATTTGTGCAATTCAAAATGATTATTATACAGAGAGAACATGCAAAAGATCTAAAATGACATTGAATAATGTATTAATACAAAATCTCATCGAGACAGTAAGAGTGGATATAAAAATTTTAATTTTAAAAATCATTAACTTTATAAATAGGGTTTGTGGAGAACTTTAAAGATCTAACATAACATTTAACATTTTATTGATTCAATTTTTTTTTTAATTATGTATTCAAATTGTATTTAAATGCGTATCTGAATGCATATTTTCTTAAAATAAGTTAGAGGATCCAAGATACATAAAGATAAAGAAGGAAAAACACAACGTAGAGAGTCTTAAAAACAAAAAATAATAATAGGTTTTGAAGCTACAAAATAAAAAATTTTGAAGGTCGAAAGAGAAATTTTAAAAAAATTTATGAAGGATTAAATGATAAATATATATAAACTTGTATTATTAAGTTATAAGTAAAAGATATAAATCGTTTATAAAATTTAAAATATATTCAATAATCATTCACTCGTTAGTTACTTACCTTGGTAACTTAAGCTAGTCTCCACCTAAATTTAAGCATATCCATCTCTAAATACACTAATATTAAAAAGTTACTTTTTATTAATATTAATATGAATTTGTGTTTAAATTTATGTTTAAATAAACATAAATATATGGTTATTTTAACGTTATTAGTTATATTTTTGTTTGAAATTCGTGTTTATAAATTTTTAACGTGCTTTAGGTATGTTTAATTTGAATCCACTTTCTTAATTTTCTTTAAATAAAATAATAATAAACACTGCCAATTTTTTTCCTTGAGTGAGTCTACCTAACCAGCTTAAGATTAGTTGCAACCCAAGATAGAAACAAGTGCAAAGAAAGAATTACTGGATGTTATGCTAATGCCATCACTCATTTGATTGAAGCTCAGGGATTCTTATATGGAGTTTCACATAAATCTGTTGATGATACGACTGTTGGAACCGTTCAAAAAAAAAAAACTGCAGATCCGATTTTTATGCTATTTGAAATAAAAGTCAAATAAGTTTATTTCTGCCTTTTCTTCTAGAAATAATTTCTATTCTCCAATTTCATTTTAAATTTATTTTATAAATAGTTGCTCTGCGTACGAATAAAATACGATTTCCCGAAGTTACATTTCTCTTTTTTATCTGCTTTCACCCTTACGTCAATACAAACCAAAAACAACAACATCAAACTTGAACATTCTGCGCTGAATCACCATAAAGTGATTATCTTATTTCTTTGAATCCTTGTTGGCCATCACTTGTGCAAAGAGATCTGTTTCCAGAGGCTGAGCTCTTGCAGTCCGCATCACAATCCAACAATCATATTTTGTAGATAAAGTGTACCAACGCGTTGCGGCGATTTTGGGCTAAAGGTGCCCTCAGATATATAGAAGCTAAGATGGACATGAATCCATGATTCCAAACTTTTAAGCCCTAATGACAATTATGCAACATGTGATGTGTCCTATTTAGCTCAAGAAAGAGTATGTAAAAAAGGAGACAAAAAGAGACACTGTCTTCCGAAAATTCAATGCCCAATAATTATACTTACATTCAAATATTACAGCAATACAAAATTCACAAACTATTTTCATGACTAGAACAAAGATATAAGTACAACTCGGAATGGCATTCCATCACCACGACCATTCCTCTTCTCCCTTCAGGCAAAACCATTGTTGACATAAGCAATACACTTTCCAATGACATGAAGCCAATCAGTTTAAAAAGTCAACTTGAATCCTCGTCATTTTCTATGAGGAACAGGCTTTTCTATAGCATCAGCCTATATGTCGAATGAGGATTTGAATCCAAAATTGACACACCAGATCTAATAGCATTTGAAGATGGAAAAGAATTACAAAAGAAAATATACAAAAACTTATTGAGGTTCAACCTTTGTTGATGGAAAGATTCCACTATAGCTAAAATCTTCGTCGCCATAAGGATGTTTAACATTTCCTCCACTCACTTCCTCATAGGTTTCTGATGCTGAAGCTGATTCAGCATTGGGGTTCAATCCAACAAGCTCGATTATGTTCTCAATCTCTTTCACAACTTCAGCCATTGTAGGTCTCTCAGAAGCATATTCTTTGACACACCTCATTGCCAAGATCACAAACTTTTCTAAACCTTTTGGTCTTGTTTGTTTTATTACGGTTGGATCTAGAATGGAATGAAGGTTGTATAAATCTTTTGATGTGTCCATTACCCTCCTTATCTCTCTTACAATATACTTTCCTTGCTCTATAGGCCTTCTTGCTGTTATTAGTTCAAGCATTAGCACTCCAAAGCTATAAACATCACTCTTTTCAGTCAACTGCTGAGTCATGTAGTATTCCGGATCCAAGTATCCCTATGAGCATTAAAGGAAATCAGTTTGTATCAGCTATCCCTCTTGTAAATATCAAGTTTAAAGCTCCGATTAAAACATTGATTCAATTTCTGTTTTTATTAAATAGTAAGTTTCTTCAAACAGTTTTAATGTTTATATTCTAAGCTCTATGCCAAGCAGGCAAGCACTGCATAAAAAGGGATCAACATTTGAACACAAGAAAGGTGTAGATGTAATTAGGTTGTAGCTAAGCTTTTCATGGCAGTCTCAAGTATCCACAAAACTTCTTAATTCTTTTCGCTTAGAGAAATTTGTTTGATTGTGTAACATAGCCAAAGCTGATTTTATGTTTAGGAAATTTTTAAGGTGGAGAAGCGTTTGAATTTGGTGATTATCAAATTTAACATCCCTTTTAAACAAAGTTGTACGATACTTTATTAAGTAAGAGTGGAAGCATTCTGTACAAACCATTGTCCCTTTGACTTGAGTAGTAACATGGCCCCTCTCACTATCAACAAGAAGTTTGGAGAGACCAAAATCTGCAACTTTTGCATTGAGGTGATTATCAAGTAGGATATTGCTTGATTTTATGTCCCTGTGTATGATTGGTGGGTTAGCAAGTTCATGAAGATAGGCCAGACCCCTGGCTGCACCCAATGCTACTTTCAGCCTCCGTACCCAATCCATCCAGATCCCAGACTTTCCTGTATTACAAATTCAAATGAAGAAAACTATTTAAGAAATGTTCCAGGGTAACTTAAAAGACTTCTGTTTTATTAAATCTTTTAATTGGTTTTTATACTATAATCAATTTCTTAACATATCCATTTTATAGTGTGAATGATTTTCTATGAATCGGTAAATAGATAACGGGTATATGGGACTTATGACAGCTCAATGTTAAATCATCTTGATAGTAAAACCAATCATGGTGACGTACTGGTTTGCAATGAAATGGACATATGGGTGGTCTACTTGTTGATGGTCAAGAGAAATGATATCGCTTAAATTTATAAAAGAAAATCCATAATCTCTCTAATCCTCATTCCTTTCTATTTTTTGAGACTATTGATACAATATGGTACGTACGGAATGGTGAAGGAGTTGGAAGTACCTGATAGACTATCCATTACAGTGCCATTTGGAATGTACTCGTACACCAACATTTGTTCACCCTTCTCAAAACAGAAACCCACAAGACCAACGAGATTCTTATGATGGACCCTTGATAGAAGTTCAATCTCGGTTTTAAACTCAACAGCACCCTGCATAGATTCTTGTGCAGCCCGTTTGATAGCAACCAAGTCCCCAGAGGGTAGAACACCTTGATAAACCTTCGTGAAATAGGACTAATTAGATCTTGCACCCCAGTAAACAAGTGGCAAATAATTAGGGAAAGTACTTGTATTTTGTTATACTAAAAATTTATTTTAGAAACGTTAAAGAAATATGGTTATCTGCATGTGAAAGGAAAAAGGTAACCATAAGATTAATTAATAAAAACCTTTCCATAGCCTCCAGATCCAATAGTGTTGGCTTCTGAGAAGTTGTTGGTGTATTTCTTTAGGTCATCAAAAGAAAACCATCGTGATCCTTTCAACTGAGGAGCAGTGCCACTATTCTTGTTTTGTTCCCAATTTACTGTATTTATGATGACATGGGATTAATAAAAGATCATTAGGAGAATGGGGTAAAATTCAACCCAGCTCGGATCAATCATTTCTTACCAAAAGGGTTCAACTCTGCAGATCTTTTTGCTATTCTTTTTTGGCGGATGGCATATATTCCTGCAAAGAGAGCTAGTACAATGAAGACCAAAGCAGCAATGACTGCACCAACTATAACTCCTGTGCCGCTTGACTTTGATCCTTTTGATTCTCCTAAGTGACATAAGAATGACAAAGTGAGGGAGGAGAAAGAGCATTGTAAGACACAACAGATATAGAATTTAGCACTCTTGGTTTATTTACACTGAATCACCTCCATAGAATTCATAATTATTGCCCCTGAAGACATAAGGGGAGAAAAATTCTGGTGGTTTGTAAATTTGGTTGCTAAGCATAAAAGCAATACTTAAAACTCCCGTTGCATTGAAACGATCACTTTGAGCTGGGAAGACATCTAAAGTCAGCTGAAAATTATCAGAAGTTGAATTTCTGAAGGGGTTACTAAGAGAAACTGAATCCACTGGAATATGTTGTGCACGAAAAGCATTCAGCAGAGTCTGCTCAAGATCCTTATAGTAGCTTGTGTTGCTATAATTTGAGAAACTAAGAGCTCTGGATGACAGAACTCCAGTATAAGGAAATGCACATTTACAGTTGGGGCTAAAAATCTGATTAGAACTGCATGATGGAGGTGCACAATTATTTGTTGGTGTTGAATATGAGGGAATGGTTTGGGGCACTTGGCAGTAACTTATTTGAGAAGCTCCACTTTCAAGGCAAATTGGATTGTTAGCTAGTCTGCAAAGGCATTACGTAACAGCCTCAGTAAATAAAAATCCATCTGCCAGTAGTTGAGTCCATGCAAATAGCTTTACGTAAAAAAAAGCTATGTCATAGATAATGAAGCTTACATTAGCTGAAAATTTGGTATTTTATTACTTGGCTGGAGATTGGTTATTTGATTATCCTCCAAATTAATGAGTTGCAGACTGTCGCTGTAGCCATTGCTAAGGTTTAATGTGCCACTGAGCTGGTTGTCCCCGAGTATCCTGTTACCACATTTCAATGCAATAACTTTATATTCATAATCATCATTTGTTCATATAACCAAGGAAAACTTTAACTAAATGTGGCCAAAAGTCTTTTTGTGCTCTAATGTTGAGTTTTATAAACTTAGACTTCAAATTGCAACTGATTTAACAAGGATACACTGACAGAGGAATTGTCAGCATTCTGTCATATACACAAAAGAGAAGGTTGAAGTGTATACTTGTATTAGATACGCAGTTTATGCACCTGACCGTATACGACAACCAAAAATTTTCCCCAAAACTAAGCATGTTTTAGCGAAATCTGATATAACAGAAAAATCAAACGCGACAAGTATATTTTGTTTATATCTGAAGGTCTACCACCCGCATAAAAATTATTATTGAGTTTTTTATTAACAAAAATTAATGGAATTCAAGTGGATGAACTGCCAAGTTTTACTAGTTTAAAGTAGTCTCACTGTTGATCTGGTTACAATTCACAAGATATAATTATATCAAACATTTTTTATCTGGTCTAGTTCTTACAACTCTTGTTATATACTAGATAGTATATATTCTTTCTCGTATCCTTATTACACGAAGTTCTCGTTAGGTACGGTAGCATAAAGGATCATCAAACAGAAATAGAACATGCTTAGAGGCGACGAAAATAGTGAAAGAGAGAACTAGAAACAGGTAATGTGGGGAGGAAGAAACAACATACGCTGTTGTCAGCACTGGCAGACTTGAAACCCATGAAGGAATAGTAGAAGAACTGAAACTATTGTTGCTCAGATCCCTGCAGATAGTTTTCCATAAAAAAAATGCAGAATTAAAACTATTCTATTATACATGAATGCGCGTGTTTTGCATGTTGTCTAGAGAGAAGATATTGCTATAAGCATTTCTTATTATGGGCAATGATGTCAAGGCTAGAAAAACCGTTAAAATTTTTACATAATCTAAACATTACTTGCAATTAATAAAATAGAGTATCACTATTTTACCACTTACACATAGGTGAGACTATTCATTCCACTAAGATCCGGCAGAGAGCCATTCAGGTTATTGTGAGCTAAATAGCTGCAAAAATAAAGTCAGTGCCTTCTCTCAGCAAAATTGATTCTTTAGGGAAAGAGAGACAATTTTTATACATAAATATGAATCTTAACAGTGCGTGATTCTCTATTTTTCTTACAGCTCACTAAGTTTCCCAAGTGTGCTGAAATTAGAAGGCACTGCCCCACTTAACTTGTTCCTATCAAAGCGCCTGTGATCAAGAAAAAAATATTCAATACTAATTAAGTCCAAAGAAATTCAGAGAAAGCATAATTGTGTGAATAAAGTCACTTGACACTGGCGAAAATATACTTACACCACCTCCAATGTGCTCACAAGAGTAATGGTGCTAGGAATACTACCCTCTAGTTGATTGTCATCAAAAAGCCTGGCAAAAAGAAAATAGAAGAGGGATTAACGCATCTTAAGAGTGAAATTATAGTATGCATTTGAAAAAATCATACTCTCTTTGACCGGGTGTGTAACATGTTCAAAGCCTTTCCACAGAAATAAGTACTACAAGAGATAACAAGACTTACGCATGTTCCAGTTTCATATTGGAGTTAAAAAGTTTTGCTGGTATTTGACCAGAGAGCTTATTGGTCCCCATATGGCTGTAAGCAGTGGGCAAAATCTTAGGTCATTCAGTGAATTGGAAAATATCCAGTGACGTTAGTGTAATAATTTCAAGGGAAAATTGACAATGAGATTTGACATACAAGTGTTGGGCATTAAGGAGCAGGTCAAGTCCTAGTCGTCCTTGGTTATCAGATACAGGAATAGGCCCTTCAAGTTGGTTTTCAGCAAGATCAAGCCAATTAATATTTGACAGATTGCCAAAAGCGCGTGGTATATTTCCACTGAACTTATTAGAATTCAGTGCTCTGCATGAAAAGCAACGCGATTTACCATGTGTTAGTACAAAAAAGAAAGATTGAGATTAGGGATTGAGTTGGATGATTTTAAGACACAAAATTAAGGGTGCAACCTAACAAAAGATGATTCATACTTTCACATGAAGCATCATTGATCATCCTTTTGTTCATCGGAATAACTTGGACTAATCATTTTTATGTGTGCACACATTTTCATAAATGAAGTAGCAGAATTGTTATGATGGATTACTTACAGAAAGTTTAGCTGCTTTAAAGATCCAATTGAATCTGGAATAGGACCATTGAAACCACAACCAACCAATGCTCTGAAAAGCAGTTGAAAAGGAATGGATAAAAAAGAATACTATATTTTGTAAGTGAAAGTAAAAGGTAAAAGTGAAAAAATATTCTATAACACCAATTCAATCAAAGAAATTCAGTTTGTATTCAAATCATTTATTACTAAATAAACTGTCATCCTTACAGGGATTTTAGCTTTTTCAAATTCCCAATTTCTTGTGGAATTGTTCCTGTCAAGCCCGTGTTGTAAGAAAGATCCCTATATGAACAAAAACAGGATGTTATTTAGTTGCAATTAAGCATTGCATCCACAAACCTAGTCAAAATAAAATGCCCTTCTTGGGTGGTGATTTTGTTGATAGATTCGGTTAAGGGGAAATGATTTGGAAACTTTCATATACCAAAATTCATAGCTTAACATAGGAGTATGAAACCAGGACAAGACGCTTCTAAAATAAGTAAATAACACGGTATCTATCACTCTTAAATAATTTAGAATAATAAGATCATAATCACAAGTTTAGAAACATGCACGCATCTGAGGGTTAGAAGAAAGCAGAGAACTACACGTACACAGTGTCTAGTTCAGTCAAAGACTGGATTGCCGAAGAAAGCTGGCCCCCCAAATTCAAGCCTGGTAATTTCCTGAAATTACGTAGTAACAGTTCTTTCATATTTACTTCTAGAAGAAGAAAAAACAATAGAAAGTACGAAATAATCTTTCATATCTATTTTAATTGAAGAGCCTAAGAAACCAAGCACTAACAATTGTGTAATTCTTGAATTGGTGCAACGAATCCCATCCCAACTACTGCCGCAAGGATCTGTTCCCACCCAACTTGCTGGTTTGTTAGTCCAGGATTGCGTGAGAGATGTTAGGCCAGCATCTGTAGTAATACAATTTAAATAAAAAACAAATTCTCAGTGTTCACTGATCCACCTTCTCTAAGAGTGATTGCATTCAACTCTAAACCTCAAATTACATGAAAAAATGCTTTATATGTCAACCACTTTTTATATTTCATTCTAACAGACAAGGTAAGTAATTAATTCAGCTTTGCCAAACTTCCTATATTTGACATCGAAGCCAATTTACTAGACTGAAAACAAATTAAACTAGGCAACAACTGATACAATTTTCATCATCTCACTCTTAAGCACTGCCTAATGAACCTTATTAGCACCAAAGGAGCTTCCATTATACGAACTCAAATTTATAAAAGCAAACAAAATCATGTTTTATGATCTTGATGGCAGAATATATCTTCCTTAGTTCCAGCCACAAGCACTTTCCTAATTTACATCCATAAACACGGATTTTCACTTTCATTATGTTGAGATATAGAACAGAAAAACAGCTAAGAGATACAGAAACAAATCCTAGCTGCTTGTAACTTGTTTCCCTCCAAGAAACTAAAATAATACTTATATCATGAGTTGCATAAATGAGAAGCCTTAATAATAAACTCTAATGACTAATGAGATGACCAAAGTAAGGCTTACAAAAGCTAATGCAATCCTTTCCTTATGATCTAGCTTTTGAGATTAAGTTAGGTCCAAGTCCAAATATAAGATGGTATCAAAAACCTATCGTAAATCTAGTATTGACGTACATCGAACAGCAAACAAAGAGCAAAAAATCACAAAAGTTGAATTGAACTTACAGTCTCTACTGTCTGTCTGAGCTGCTACAAGAAGAAATTGAAAAAGAAACAGCAGCAGAAGAATCATTTTATGTCGTTGGTTCATTATTCAAAATAACTTGTGATGTTGGCTCAGAAATAAAACATGGAAACTTTTCACATGGAAGCAATGATCACCAAAGAATCAAAGCGGAGCAATAGTCCATCATCTTTTAATGACAAAACAAAGGCTCGGTGTTTTGACAAAACTGAATCAAGAGTGGTAGACTTAGCGCGTCCTCAAGGTAGTTAACTAATACCTTTTACTTAGTCAATGACTAACCATGCAATTTTCAACTGTTCGGATGGTATTTGATGATCCCAAAAATTAAATTTGAAGTTGAAATAAAATATTGTCACGAGGTGGCCACTAACTGTAATCACTTTCTTAATATATTTCCACAAGAAATGCCACAAAACAACACCGATGTCTTAAGGGCTTTTGATAGAGTCTTTCATTTTCAACCACATAATCAAAAGTAGAAACATTCAAGAAAACATGGAGTGTTGGAATTAACAGCCACCTAAACAACGGTTTATTTTCCCTCTTTCATTAGCATCATTTAAACATTAAAAATAAATAAAAACTCGAGGTAGTTTATACTTGGTAAAATTATTGAGAATGTGAAGGAGAGGGTTAATGAACATGAGGCACTTCATCGACTCTCATTTTTGAAATGGGAAAATAAATTACATTATCACATATTGTTTGTAAATTGCCATCTGAATAGGGTCTTGCTTCATCTATAAACTCCCCTTCGGCTTTTTGTTCCATGACAACATGAAAATTAAATGCCTCTTACTATAAGACAATTCACCACCCTCCTTGCCGTCCATAACGATGATAATAATAATTATATTAATAAATATTATTATTATCATTATTATTATTATTATTCACCATGATTTCAACCTAAGATATTATAATCAAATCGGACTATGCACCCGGAAAGCAGAGAATAAACATTTTTAGAAGAGATTGAATGCTTAGATAATTGCATAGTTCTTTGGACAGGCTATAAGCAGCTTTAGATCTTTGTATTTGAGCAAGTTGGAGGGGCAACCAAAGTAGATGACGGGAGACATGTATTTTGTAGCAGACAAATATAAGGAAACAAATTTTAACAATGAAACATAGCTCTTTGTTTTATGAAAAACAAAAATAATGTTTTCTTTTTACGATTTGTAAAAAGTGCAGAGATGTCAAACTTCGAAAATTCCTGGAAAACCTCATAAAAACTATTTTTCATACCTACTTCTTAGTTGATTATTGAGATGATAGTAAAATTCATTGAACCACGTATTTTAGAATTATTTCTGCTCCTGTTCTTGTTTTTGTTAACCGGAAAAACATTGTGGACATAAAAGGGGTAATATTTTAGTGGTCTAAATTTCCTGAAAATTCACCCAAAAAAATCCATACTGATATATTTTTTTTACTTTCTATTCATGGAAAAATATATATTTTCGTTCTTTAGAGCAAACAAATTGAGCTGGACTGATTAAATATGTCAAAATATAGAGTTTTAGTTTTAATTTTAGATTTTTTTCTCCGATATATTTAGACTTGTCTTTTATTAGAATTAGAAACTTTTATTTTACCTTCTCCAAAGAATTAAACCTCAAATTGAGTTTGATAACTTGACACCTTTGTTGCTCTTCATGAATAATAAATATGATAAATTAACAATGTTTATATCGCATGTTATGGATAATTTAATTATATTATTTTGATTATAATAAAACTTATCAAAAAATTTCCCACTAACTAGAGAGTTGGTACTTCACGGCAGAAAGTGGGAACGCTGACTTTCTCAACTTTGCTTATTGGCTACCTATGGAGAGAGACAGAGTAATTAGAAAAAGAAAGCTATGGTTATGTGAACCCTAATGCAAGTGGCCTTCTGTTTAATACTGGTTACCAATTCTTGTTCAAAAATTGTTGCCCAAACGGAGATGGTCCAACCTACTAATAATTATTAAGACCCAAACTCTTTCAACATGTTTGGAGAGATTCTTTTGGGAACATTATTTGTTTATTTTTAAAAATTATTTCATAAAATTATAAAAAAAAAATATAAATTTAATTATATATAACTTTTTTTGCTAATTGTTTACTGTGACTTATGATTCTTAAACACTTTTAGAGACATTTTATTATTAAAAAATTAATATTTAATATTAATAGTCTATATATGTGTTTAATTTAACTTATTTTATAAGTATTGAAAGTGAAAGTATATTCATAGATTTTTTTTTCTCTCGTTTTCCTTTACTTCCTTCCTTGGATTTCTTGAAAAGATTATCTAAATTATAATAGCCCACTGGAGAATAAGTAGCTTTTGTAGAATTGATATCTTCATTGAATTTACAAGAAAGCTGAATAAAGAATTCTAGATTGTACTAAATAAGATTTGGAACTCTCAAACCTAATAGATATAGTCCTAATCATTGATTTATTATTTTTTTTAATGATATTGATTTAAGAGTTTGATTTATTCCACAATGTTTTATAATTTTTTTGACTTATATATCCTATAATTATTTTTATAGAAATTATTTCATTTCGAATAAATCTATTTTAGTCAAACATAAGGATTAAGTAATTTAACATAAAACTTATGTTATTGCTTATTCAAATCCGAATCACAGATTCACAATCGACCACGAGTACAAATGTAATTAATTATATTTTAATTTGATAGACAAAATTTTTTGAGTCAGTCTGAAGCATTACCCTCCATGTTTTTCAATTCTTTAATTAGTGTCTTAACAATTGTTCTTTAAAATTGATCTGGCACTATTTTTTTCTATCATCCTCGCATCCTAATACACGTTTTGTGAAAGAAAAATTTCAACTTCGAATAGAAGTTGTTAGTAAGTAATATTTTCATGTTTGCTGTAAATGAAATATAAGACAAACGAGCTGTTTATATTTTATTTTATATATATATATATATATATATATAGAGAGAGAGAGAGAGAGAGAGAGAGAGAGAGAGAATAGCAACAGTTTAGAATACAAATATTAAATAAAGAATTCTCATCATGAAAATGTTTATCTTTTTGGAATATTTCAAAAATATTAAGTTAAGAAAATAAAAAATGTTAAACAAATTAAAATTTTATTTGTTTATATTTAAGGAAATTATTTGTTATCAAAGCAAAAAGCGTGCAATCATGCCCCGCATTGCGGTCAACATCTCAAGAGGAAATATGCTATACGCTCCTGCTTTCTTATTTGAGCCATGAATTGAGCAATTCTTGATCAAATTCCTTAATCTCCCTTTAGTATGTAGAATTAGAAATTGAAATTAAAATTGAATTTCAGAATTTTAATTATCATGTTTAGATGTATATTTAAAATTAAAATTATAATCATATAAACTAATTTGATGAAATTTTATATTAACTAAATTTAGTTAACTTCAATTTCTAACTTATACCTTAACAATTTGAATTCTTAATATCATAATTCATAATACATTTTCACTTATTTCGTAGTTTCTCATCTTGCAGGTTTATGGTTCTTTTTCAAATACTTTCTTTCTCATGTTTTTTTTTCTCTCTTTATTTTTTTATTATTTCTTTTTCCTATGCATCTTTCTTCCTGTTTTTTCTATATTTTTTTTCTTTTTTCAACTTCACTTTTACATGATTATTAATATCACTTCTTTTCTTTCCTTTCTTATATTCTCTATTCTCTTACTCTTCATTTTTCATTGATTATTAATAAAAGTAATTTTTCTCTATTTCTCTTCCTTTTGTTCTTCTTATTCATATTTTAAGTCTTCTTCTTTCTTTCTCCTTCTTTACATTTGTTACATATTTATCTAAAAACTATATTATATTAAGAGAAAAGTGCTACATGAAATAAAGTGATAAATACACTCTAAAAATAGACTTTTGAGGTATACCATGAGATTGATAAAAGTTGTTATAATCAATTACGTTTTACTAAATAAATTTGTTTTGAGATAAGGACTACATGATACTTATCATGTAACCATAGAAGAATCTGTTGCAATATTTTTACTTATTTTATCTCATAGTCTCAAAATAAGAGTTCTCCTTAGCAGTTATATTCAATCTATATTTTAAATTTTAATAATTAAATTATATTTATGAACATTTATATATTTTCATCTAATTTATGAGAAAGATAGTTTATGATATTATTAAAGTTTAATAATAAATTAAATATAAAAAATAAATTTATTGTGTCATTACACAAATATTTTTAAGATAATCATCTCCTAAATTTTGAGAGGCTAGCATTTTTTTTCTTTTTTATTTTGTATGTTATTTCATTTTTTGTCAATTGACTTTTTGTATTCAATCATGAAATATGAGTGAAAGAAAAATTGGGTTAAGTAAAGTATTGATTTCTACGTACCATAGGTCGCACGAGTCAATCAATACTTTAGTACCACATAATTTTTTTGTCAAGCAAACAAATGTTAAAAGAAAAAATTTGTTAGTAATTAAATTAATCACAATTTGGTTGACATGATATATATATGGGGATTAAAGTAATTATAGTATAATCTTTTAGGAAAAATAATATTATAAAATAAGAGATTTATTTTTAAAAAGATGAAGAATCTATTCTATAGAAGAGAGAAATAAGTAAAGCAAGATACTTTTTAAGAAAAATATTTACTTATAGTTATTACCCATCAATTAATAAATAATAATTTTTAAGTGAATTTTTATAAAAAAAAATTAAATGTTAATAATATTTTAAAATTTAATCTAAATATTATATTAATTTTACACAACATTGGAATGAAAATTCATCCCTCACTATTTTATTTAAGTCAACGTTAGTAACAGTTTAATATATTTATTTAATAATATAGATAGATAGATGGTAAGAAATTAAATATTTTTTATTAAAAAAATTAAAGATAAATTTTTAAAAAACCCATTCAGTGATTTTTGTCATTGGCACATGTTCTAATCATTTGTGACTAATTTTTTGTTCCGTCATCTTATTTAGTTGTTTAGACTATTTAAAAGAAAAGATAATTTTTAAAGTGTCTTTAAAAAAATATTTTATTTTCTTTTTATGTGAAATAATCTTAATTGTTAATATTATATTAAATATGTATAATAAATGTGAAGATTAGTGATTCGTTTTAAAATATATATATATATATATATATATATATAAATATTTTTAATTTTTAAAATATTTAAATAATTATAACTTTCAATTTAAAGAGAATATAAGACAACCTTTTAACTTTATCACAATAGCAAGTATAAAAATAAATCAAATAAACAAGATGATTTATCTAATTTTTCATCGATGCTTACAAGTGTTTTGTACAATGAATTAATATTTTATATAAAAATAAATTTTAAAATATAAATAAGAAGAGAAAATATTTAGACACACACATATATATATATATATATATATATATATGAATATGACAAAATTTTTAAAAAATAAAATTTGAGAAAGAATGAAAATTTGTCAATTTTTTAAGAAAAAGTTGATAAAAATATTATGTCATTCTCAAGATAATGCACTCTGACTTGTTTATATATTATAAATTTAAGTCTCATATATCAAATAAGAATATTCTAAGAATTTTTGTACTCATTAAATAATATATTTTGTTCTGTATTAATTTAATTTAATTTAATTAATACTATTTATTTTATTTTATTTTCTAATGTAATTTGACTTTAATTTAAAATCTTAATAAACTATATTAAATTTTAAATATACTGTTTAATAAAAAATTAAAATTATTTAATTTTAATCAATTCAAAGTTTATAACCTCAATTAAAACACAAAAGGCTTCGGATAAGAGTGGTTGGACAAATACCGGTGAGGTTGCAACATTTGTCAAACAGATGTTGACTTAACACTAATCCCATGAAGAATAATCAGAACTCTTCAGTCATCCACATTTTTAAATTTAATAAAAGTGTACTAAGAAAGAAAAAACGTGCTGCCGCTTATTATCCTTGCTGCAAGCTCAATACTGCTGTGCTATGCAGATCAAATTACGTTTACTATACTCACAAAATACTACTCTTGGTCATTATAATTTGACTCTCTTAAATGAAAAAATAAAAATATATTTATTTTTAATTTAAAACAAATGAAGTTTATGAAACATTTTAATTAAAATTAAGGCTAAATATTTTTTTTACTGTTAATTATATCGTGCTACACATTTTAATTAATATCTTTAGTTAAATTTGTTTGTTAATTCTTAGTTATCACTACAAGAACAACGTATATATTTAATAGCAATATAAATCTTTTGTTGTTGTGATGGAAATTAAATGTTCAAGTCTGTTTTTGTTAAAGAAAAAATAGACTCACTTGAGTGAAAATGGAGAAAATAACAAAAAAAAATTTACGCAAAAATTAGTTTAAATGAATTTTGTGCACTTGAAAAGAAAGGGATTGGATATGAGGGAAGAGGGGACTAGAGATGATAGAAACGGAAAAAGCAGATCATATATAAGTGGTGATAGAAGGAGAGAGGGTGAAAGAGTTGAGTATGAAAAAAAATATACAAATTTTATTTAGATTCAGTTACAAATGATTGTGCATATGATTTAGTGCCAAATTAACATAATTCTAATGCAACAATTTCATCTAAAGGTGCCAAATAGCATCAAGTGCTTAGATAACACTCCTAAACTTTGATCTTAGAAATAAAGTTTATTAAATAATGAATGATATTTTTATTAATTAATAGTCCATCATGACATAGTTAGATATGTACTATATAAATACACTCTTTATTATTCATTAACATTTATTTAAAATAAAAAAATTGAGACTCAAATATTTTTTTTGTAATTTTTAATAAATTTTAACTAAAAATAAAGAGTGTGTTATAAAGAATGTATCAAAAAATATATTGCTAACAATTATTATATAAATAAAATAAAATTTAATTTTCAATCTTTTCACCAATGGGTGATATAAACATCATACTCCTGCCGGCCTTGTACTTTTGCCGGCCAAGCCAACTTTCGTTTCACTTTTTTGTTTTTTATCATTTTCCTAACGTATGCCTATAACAACGCATTTATAGTAATATCACCACTTTTTTAGTGGCATGTGTGCCTCCAACAAATGGTAGTTTCTTGACCGTATGAATACAAATATTTAATTGAATGGCAAAGGATATGGCTTAGGCACACTTGAAGTCTATGACAGTGAATTGAATTTTGAGCTCATGCTATTTTGTTCTCTCAACTTATATGCATCGATAATTTTAGCATTTCATTTTATAAATATTTCATTTAGCTTTAAATTTTTTAAAATAACTTATTTTAGATTTTTTTTACTGCACTTTTTATTATCGTTTTGCATAAAAAAGGACTAAAATAGAAATTGTTTTGTAAAGTCATTAATTAAAGTAAATTTATATAAAATTATAGGGTAAAATAAGAAATATTTATATAACGACTAAAATGGATATTTTCTCAAAATAACTGAAAAGATATTAACTCCTGTTAAAAAAATGAACTTCTAAATAGATAAAGTGAAACCAAAATAAATATAAACAATTTAAAGCTTCAAAAAATGTAATGTTTAAAAGTAAATGGTAGTTATATTGGACTCCAGATTATGCTCATTTACTTTGTCATTAGTTGAAAAGATCATGCTCATATCATCGCTTGATTGGATTGTCATGAGAACATTGAATCAAAACTTACCCTCATATCATCCCTTGGAACATCGAACCAAGGGCCTGTTCGTTTACATGGTTTCAATATGTCACACTTTCCAAAAGTTTATCAACGACTAAAATTGCTTTATACACGAACTATAAGACCAGTCGATGAAAGAAATTGTTTTTTTCAACAAATCAAGTGGGAAAGGAAAAGTTGATTTTGGGGAACTGAAATCAACTTCTTAAATAATAATAATGATGATGATGTTGTTTGCCCAGCGGCGATAACGTAATTTTCTAAAATTTGGCACTTAAAAGAAATGCATGGCCCGACCGGATCAAGTCTTGGATAAGAAAAAGGTCGTAAAATACCATAATAAAAAACCTGAAAGAAGCAAAAACTATTACCAATAATCAAGATTTTTAACCATAGAATGCGAAAATAATTGCATTACATGTTACCAACTTGGTGTGGTAATACCGTAGTAACCATATTATAAAGCTTAATGGACACAATGTTGAAGTGTAGTAAGAGCACATATTCCTCCTACTAATTGGAGTAAAATAGGTGACTTGACATTCTCCAGGAAATTCACTTGCGTGCTTCGGCCTTCTTCTGCTCTTTGGCTGAAACAGGTTAAACCATTAGTTTCAAGCATTTGGATATCCAAATAGAGTTAGCGAACAAACAGTGTTGAAAGCTTACCAGCTTTCTCTTCTTCTCGCTTCTTAGCAGCTTCTGCCCTTTGTTGACGTATAAGAGCTAAACGTTCTGCAAGACAGAGGAACTAAACATTAATCATCGTGAATGAAAACCCTTCATAACAGAACATTTCTCAAATCATACAGCTTAGTACTAATCATATCAATCAAAAGTTTACACACGCAATAACAATATCAAAAGTAAGGCAGAAAAAAGAAAAAGATGTCCAAAAAGGCAAAAGCACATAATTAGAGACACTATTGAAAGAGCTACTGGTACCTAAATCTTTCCTTGCTTGTTCAGTTTTTCCTTGCTCCTGCAGCCTCATATAGCGCTCATGGGCTCTCTGTTTCTCTAGCTCCTCTCTACAAACAGGAGGGAAAATTTTGAAGATATTAAGAAACATGGTTCAAAAGCTTCACTTTCAACATTCCCCTATTATAGAACTCAAAAGTATTAGTCACAAGAATATGTTCTGCTTCCCTTTATCAATAAGTGCATCATTAACAACCCCCCCCCCCCCCAACCCCCAATTGTTGTTAAAAACCCAAGTTACACTGGTAGCCCTAGGGTTTTATGATCCTACAAGTTTTCACTCCCTTCAGGTTCTATTACAGGCAGGGTAGTGGAGTGGTGGGACTGTAGTATTGAAGGGGAAAAACACATCTTCTGCACAGATTGGGTTGTGCAACCCAGAGAGAAAAACACATCTTTGTGAGTTTGTTTGCAAAAAAAATTTCTCTTCTTCACACAACAGCATCAAAGGCTTCTCTAGTTCTCTCCTATCTTTTTTTACTTCATTTTGTACCCACCTCTCTGTGTTCTCTTTTCTGTTTGTGCAAGACTTCACCAGAACAGTTCTCTTCGTTTTTTCAGAGTTGAGTTCTCAGTTTGAGCGTATCTGTGCTCTGTTCATTCACCGTATCTCTGAACTTCTCTGTTTATAGGTTATTGTTCGTATCTATTTTATCAATTAATACATATACAACATTAAATATAATTCAGTAATATTATTTTAGGTAGGATCCTACAAACCATGTCATAATGCCACAATTTGTGTAACCCCTCCCCTCTTTTCTGGTGTTAGATAGGGTATTATTGTATTAGATTTTACAACCTTACCCCCCCCCCTTCTCTTTTAATCAACAAACAAATGAAAAATAGCCAACCTTTCACGCCTTGAAAGTTCTGTTGTTTTTCCAACCTGCATTCACAAGAAAAAAGCATTATTCTTCCAACCTACGATAAAGATGTCTCTACGTGAGGACCAACAACGGAAAGTTAAACTCACATCCACATCTCTAGCTTTCAAGCTCTTTGGCTTTACCATGTTAGGATTTTCAATCTCAATAATCCCTTGAGTTCCTTTTTTCTTCTGTGTAATCATAGATACAAAAACAGTAAATTTCATATTGAGGGGAAAGACACATAAACAGACAAATCCTTTAAAAAAAAGGAATCCATCTACATTAGTAATTACTGTGAGATACTAACTGTAGATTCTTCTTCAGATTCTTCTCCAGATTCATCCCCAGATGCTTCCTCAGGTTCCTCCTCTTCATGCTCAGCTTCTTTCTAATAAGGTGGTGAAGAGAATGATCATGTAAAACAAGGTAAGAGATATATAGAAAATGGAAAACAAATAAATACATCATGTACATATAAAAATGAATAAACAAAAACTATTCTGTGTGTAAATGATCACATGTGTGTGTGCTCTTGTGAGAGAGGAGCAGAAAAGGAAGAGATAAGGATCCAGAAGAAAACCTGTTTAAAAGTTCGAGGACGGTTAGAGGTTCCAGCAACTGCAACAGTCAAAAGAAACATTTTAGTTATCACTTATCAGTAGGCATCAACGAGAACTTTTACTTCAGCTAAGTTTAAAAATAGAGGGATTAAAGCTATAATTTAAGTTGTCCCTCCACAAAATAATACAATACTGGACCAGACCTATTGTAGGTAGAAGTCGCAACTTGCAACAAAATAATCTGTATTTGATTGCCCAATATGTGCATCACTAACTCTACCCAAAAAGATACTAGAAAGGAAAGACATCTGGCATTGAACTATTTGAACAAATGCAGGTATTACATGAGCTCTTCCACCCATTTCCTTTGTTAAACCTTCTAACAGGTGTAAAAATTGTCAGATCCACTGACACTTTCTAGAACTTTTTAAAATAACAGGCAGAGTCCATGTCTGATTTACTGGTTCCACGTCTACAATCCAAGCCATTTCTCCCTGATATCTATTTATACTTTTTAGAAATGTAGTGTTAACAACTCTCAATAGAAATATCAATTGTACCCTAAAAACAGGCTGTTTAGGTTCTCCTCTTTGATCTTTACCATACCCTAGACAATTTCCTCCTTATGGGTAACCAAATAGAAACTCCCTAAAACCACAGACAGTAAAGTGACAAACTCAGCAAGTTAAAGAGACACTTATGTTCTCCATTAGCACTTATATTTGATGGTTTGGCTACCTTTCCCTTTCAAGTTTCTACCATAAAGATATACAATTTTTCCTGTACATCTAAGGTCCCGACTCGTGTCAATTACAACTATAGCTCAGTTTAAAGCTTCAGAGAAAAGAATAAAACAAAAAGCCACAAATCAAACAACTACTTTCAATATATAACCAGTAATTTGAATAAGAACAGATATTTAGAGAATTCCCAAGCAGCCACTCTCCAGATCTAACAATCCCAACAAATTTCATTCTCATATTAAAACTTCATTCCATTCTATAACTTCAACAATTACATTCAAATATAACCTAATTATCCCATTTAGCTAAAATAAAAAATTCCAACATAGTATATTGAATTTAGGTTGAGTGAGAGCCAAAAAACAATACCACAAAGAAAAAGGGGTAGCAATTGAAGTTCAAAGGGAAAAAAACAGAAACTTTTGTGGATAATGAGAAGAGAGGCTTACGTAGGTCTTCCGGGGTGGAGAATTGGCGGCGACCGGTGGGCTTGCTCTTGAATTTTCCTCTTCCCATCGTATCGTCGATTACACCTACGCTACGCTACAATGTTCGAATAAAATTCTCCTTCCTTCTGCTAATTTCTGATATTAAAGTTTGACAACAACAAAAGAAGATGCACTTTCTTTCACTTTATTCCAAATTCCAAAAACCCTAGTTAAACTCCACACAAATTATGATGAATATTTTACTTTTCAATTTTTTTTCTCGTATATTATTTGTATTTATTTTTTGTCATCTTTTCTTATCTTTTTGGGCTAATTCAAGTGGGCTCGATAGGCCCAAATTGGCAGCCCAGTACTTTAGTATTGGCCTCCAAAACCTAAGACTTCGTGTTTTCTCTCGGGTTAAGGTCTCAAGGCCGACGAGCATCGTAGCTCAGGAATTGAATTCAATTTCTTTGGTTCCAGTAAGTGCAGGAATCTTTTTCTTTTAATCGTGCACAGACTGTTGCAATTTGATTTGAAAGCTCAGTTTTTTAGTTTAATTGTAATTGGAGTTGAAAAGGGGGAAAATCTTGCATTATTATTATTATTATTATTATTATTATTATTATTTTTAACTTGTTGCAAAAATTTGCAAACTTTTAGACTTCATCTTCCTCACGCAGAAATTTGTTTTGTCCGTTTTCTTTTGCTGTTTGTTTTAATTCTGAAATGAAATTTAATTTTCGTAGCATGGCCTAGCCTACCAAGTGTTTGATAAAACGTGTGTATTGGTGATAAGGTTACAAATTGGGAGGAGATGAAGAAAGGAGTGCATCCACAGAAGCAATGGATATCTTATGTTACTCAAACGGGTAGGTTGATGCATGTGATGATGACAAAGATACACCCTGTTGGGAAAGTTTACCACTTCCGGGCTAAGCGTCAAATGGCTGAGAGTTTAGGACAGATTGCCAAGTTCAGACGTCGTTTCGGGCTAGAAAATCAAAGCGGCAATGAAAAATGACTTATCCAACGACTAGAGGGAACTTTGGTTTTGTATTTCATGCAGCTTGGTGGAAAATAACAAGGGAATCAATGATACTCTGAAGCAGGTTATTTTTTTTGTAGAATTCAACATATATCTAGTTAAAATGCAGAAATGTTTCCTTATCCAATTCATAGTAAGTGACGTCTTTAGCAGTTTAAATTTGCTTGTGGGTTTTCTCAATGCAAGTTCAAGTTGGGGTTCTTTGTTGGCACTTTTGGATGTTACAGAGAGAAAAATTGATGTTGGGGACAAGGACACACTGACATTGAAGGATCAAATTATTACTTTTAATTGAATAATCATATGGAGTGATTGTTTGGTCCAGTAGCATAAATTTTGTCTGAAACGGGTGCCACCATGAATATGCCCTTTGAACTTGTTCGTATGTTTTTGTGTGTGATTGGCTCTGTGTCTTCGGCACTATTGTCTGTTCATATGTTTTAGAAGTTCAAGAACATAATTATACTACAACGCTTATACAGCTGTTTGTTTTACTTGGAAACACTATTATATCCCATAATTGAGATGTGAGAAAAGTATAAAATTTGTGTCATTTATAGCACTGGATTAGCTTTCCAGCAGCAGGATGTCTACTATCCAGTCAAATTCAACATATACACCCAAAAAAGAAAACACATTATCATCAATACTTATTCTCTTGTTATACTTAATACTTCTTATTTACCTTGTCACTCAAAACTTCTTATTCATTCTGAATCAAGACTTGAGCAGACCATGCAGCTTCTGAACCAAATCATCCACATAAGAGTTCTCCAAACCCTTACTGAACAAGAACTCCCTCCATTTGGCATGATTGTTTCTCACCATTTGACCTACTTCACTATCGTTGTCCATTACGTCTCTCACTACCTTGCACACAGCTTTTCTGTTAAATAGTCCATTTTCACTTTTCTCAACCTCTGCTCCGACTTTCAAGTCTCCGCTCATTATTCTTGCATTAATGAACTGATCTCCTGCGTGGGGCAGCAGTACCAACTGACACTCATTTATCATCGCCTCTGTTAATGACCCAGATCCACAATGAGTGACAAAACAACCCACCGATGGGTGGCTCAAGATCAATTGCTGCTGAACCCAATCTCCATGAACCACCCCTCTTCCCTTTGTTCTCTCACTAAATCCTTCAGGCAAAGCTGAATTCATTGTTTCAGCTTCAATTGGGGGTTTCAAGGCAGCTAGAAAAGGCATTCCTGTAAGTTCAAAACCCAATAACAGTTCCATGAATTGATTACTCTTTAAATTGCATTCGCTTCCAAAGGCACAGAAAATCACTGTTTTGGGTTTGAAACTCCCTAGCCAAGTCACCCATTTTTCTTCTAAAATCGAGGTTGGTGTGTCTGGCAAAACTGGTCCTGCCAAAAGCACTTGCTTTCTCATTTGACTTTCAAGATAATCACAATAAGGGCCTTCCATTTCTCGGCAAGTTTTGAAAATGATAGCATCACAGCGGGTGAAAGAGATCAATTGACGCTCCATAAATGAAATGCCTTTGCCATAATCCTTTACAGTGGCAGTGGCTAACTCTCTTGCTTCATGAGGTTGTAGCCTGATGGCTGATGGTGGAAAGCTTGGTGGAGGGTTTGTCAGATCAGCTTCTGTTAATGACTTTTCATGGAGTTTTCTTTCTGGGCTTATCAGATACCCCACAGTGGCAGGACTTATTGTGCAGTAATGCAAAGCCTTAATTCCTAACCTGCACGCCATTGCAGGTAACCAATATGTGAAATCAAAGAAGACCATATGGGGTCTGAGATCTCTTAGAGAAACTTCAATGACAGGTTCAGTGAGGTCCATTGCAGTCATGAGAAGGGAATGCAGTGAGAAAGGGAGGTCTGCAGTCGTTTCAGAGCCGAGAGGGAGACCATTGACATGTGGTACAGTGATTGGAATGAAGTAGATGAGATTTGGATGGTGATTGAAATGACTCAATTTTGGTATAGTATTTCTAGGCATGAGAAAGGAAATTTTGTGGCCACGTTCTGCAAGTTTGTTGGAGATGTGTAGGTATGAGGTAAGATGACCCAAGGCAAACCATGGATACATTGCAACATGATAGGTGTTGGCATCCATGGTTGATAAAATGGAATTAAGGTTATGCAAACGATCTCAAATCACCAGAATGTGATATAGTTAACTGGGAAAGAGCCCAAAGGGTGTGCATTGCATTAGTAATTCTTTGAAATTGAAGCATAGCTACAATGAGATGAAAATCTTGCTTCATGCCCTTTGTCATTCTAAACAATGCCAACGGTTTGGAAAGTCATGAAATTCATGGGTTATATCTCGCGTGCCTCTCTATCCATTCTGCTAGGAGTTGTTTAATTATATTTTGTTTTCCGTTCCATCTGGCATATTTGTTTTTTTAAGCAGTCATGGGATAGCAATAATCATGATATCAAACTAACAAGAAAAGTAAAAGGAGAACGAATCAAATACGATGTAGAAGATTACGATGGTAGCCTGTACATCTAATTCTTCGACCGTATTCGAAAAATATAAGCTCCCTTGCAAGTTGTACAATCACCTACAAACATATGAACTGGTGCGCCTCAGTTCCAAAAGCTCTACTCCCTCTTTTTGTTCTATTTTTAAACTTTCGTACAACAATTAAAATAATAATAATTTAATTTTTGTATCAAAAATATTACTTAATTTTGTATTATATTCTTCATTTATTATATTAATTAATGAGCTAGATTGATAAATAAGTATTTTAAAAAGAAATTATATTCCAAATGTGTCTCAAGACATAATAAAAACCTACATATAATAAATTTATATTAAAAATCACAAAAATCTTAAATGATATAATTATAAAAAAATTACTGTTTATTAATTTCTTATTGCTTATCCTTTAATAAACATTAAAAAAATAAAAATAAAAACGGATTTTTCATTTAAACATGGATTAATTATTAAAGGCAAACTTATTAAAAAATAATTATTTATTGAATGACTTAATTATTTTTTCATTTCTACAAATATACATTTTGCGATAAACTCTTAAAATTTTTTTTGTTATGACCAACAAATGTTGATCCGAATAGCAAGCGACTCAATATCGTTTAAGTAAAGTTTTAGGTTTAAGTCCTTGTGTATACAAAAAAAATTTCAATGATATATTCACCCACTATATTCAGGTGAGCGACCTGTGTTAGATTCAGATTAAATTTAAATGAGAAACAAAAAAAAAGATTTTTTTTTTGTTATACTTTAATCTTTAAAATATTAAAAAGTTAGAATTTAATCTTTATTATCGACTCTCTTTCTTTAAATATTAATCTGACTGACAAAAAATTAACATTTCATGTGACATATCATATTATTTAATTTTATAATATTTTATTATTTAAAATTAACATTTATAAATAAATCTTAAAATACATTTTTAATAATTCCAAAAATATCATTCTCTTTTTCCTTCTTGAATTGCATGTCATCAACATACATGTATGTCTTTGTTTTGGTATTTGGTATTTAAATAATTGCAAAAGATAATGGTAGTAGGTGATAAGTAGCACATTATTAAAAATGTTGGAATGTTAAAAGAAAATTAGAAATTTATAATCTACATAGTAATTGTATAAAGAAGAGTTGCAAGAAAAGAAAGGAAAAAAATGGTTTGAGGGTGGAGGCAAGATAACATGAAAAGAAAAGGAAAAAGAATTCTTTACAAATATTAAAATTATATTCATAAACTTATTTGTAAATATTAATTTTAAATAATAAAATATTATAAAATTAAATAATATTAACATATCACGTAAAAACACTAAATTGAATTAAATCCTAACTTTTTAACATTTCAAAATTTAAATCTTAAAATAAAAAAATATAAAATCTTATAACAAAATATGTTATATTTATAGGGAATAAAAAATTTAATTAATCCTCATTGAATTTATAAAATATCAATGAAAAATAAACAAAATAAAATTGCTTAAGCTTCAAATCCCAAAAAAAGAAAAATAAACTAAAGAACGAAAGTAGTTCATGACATTGAAGTAGTTCTATTAGTGATCTTATTTACTCTCCTCTCATTTCCGTCTAGTCAAAAAGTAAAATCCCAAAAGCACAAATTATCACCATTAAACCAGAACAGTGGCTATTTACACATTCCTTTGGTGAAAATATAATTTAACTGACGCAAGTGCAATCTGATTAAAAGTAGAAACTCCAAGTAGCACCTTCTTTGGCTAGCACAGCTCAAAAGATGTCTTAGTTGCGCTCTGAATGGATAATGTTATGACGAAGTTTAATACTATCTATCTATAAAGCAAAATATAATACTTTCAGTTTAATATCACCATTTCTTTTCTATCAAACATTGATGATGTTTCCAAGTAAAATCGTATCGGGAAAGGGTTATGCACTACTTTGTTTTCAGAAACACAAGATGCAAAAACATTTAAGGATGCCTATTTTAGAAAAACTGATAAAAACTCAAGGCATAGCTTCTGTTGCCTGAAAATTTTCACTTGGGGGAATATAACCTTAAATCTATATCACCATTAGTTAGTCAACCCAATATAGTAGGGCCTCACAAGCTTTCTATTCTAACCTTACACACACCCGCAAGAAAAGGATCACCGGAATGGCCTGGCTAAAGCAAAATAGGCATCTGGATTTATTGACATCAACAACTCTACAACGATAACCTTTTTTGGTAGGGACACCTTGAGACCTGGATCAATGATACCTGCTTGAGAAAATCCAAGAGAACGCTGAGCAACTCGAACAACAGGTTGTGCTAAAACATAAACTATCAATAGCAATAAGAACCTACCAGGTGAAAGCTTTTTCCCTCCATACAGTTCCCTTGCTAGAGGATTAGCAGCCCAATGATTTACAGCCACTCGACTCAAAGGTTGAAAACCAACTATCTTCCCCTCACTAGAGAAAACCACCTGAATATCAAACAATTGCAAGGGCCATTACATTAACAATTGCAGTAATAAGAATTCTGACAAAATTGTAAATATCCAGACTAGGTTGAATATTACAAACCAAACTCGAGGCACAACACAATTTTTCCTCCATGTGTAGATAATGAAATTAGAATCCTATTGACTAATCATGTCTTAAATTCACAACAAAAAAGCAAGCAAGCCAAAGATTAAGCATTCTAATTACAAAAAATCTGGAGTACCTGGTAACTAGCAATGTCCTGTATGGACACTTTTGCATCTGCATCTATATTATCTGAAGTAGAAAGAGTATCAACACCTTCACCTCTCAAGTAAGCAGGCAATTCTCCAACCCAGACACCAATACCATCTTCGAACTTAATTTCATCCGACCAGCCAAAAGCATTCTTTACTTTAGAAATAGCTAACATGCAAAACTCGTCCAACTATCAATGTAAAAGATCCAAACAAGGACTTCTCAGAAAGAAGTATAAGACACTGTAAACCATTAAACCAACAGTACAAATATGCCAGGAGGAGCTCATTAATAAAGCAAGTACCAAACATGACCAATAATCTTTGCACTGCAGAGTCAGGGTTACAACATAGAACAGCAAACAGTTTAAACTAAAATGACAATGGCACTCAAGCCAGTGGCAAAATTCAGCAGCTTTTCAACTTTATAAATTATAACTTAAAGAGAGATCAATCCATTTCACATGAAAAGCCTTTTCCATACAGTGTCTTCATTGTCTCAAGTATGGTTTTATGCATGCGCACGTATATATAGGTGAGAACCTTGTGCATTGTGTCATCCTTTTTTATAAACTGTCATTTGTAGTGTCCTTTGTAGAGAATAATATTCAATATAATTACATTAAATAATAGAGAAAAAAGGATAGACTGCATACCTTTGTTGCATCAAAAAAGTCATGCATCGCAACATTGACTTCAGATGATGGTAGATATCTATGTTCGACAGGGTCTTTCCTTTCCTTGCATAAACGAGGCAAACAAAATTGACCTAGGGCACTAATTGCTACAAGAAATAAACCACTTGCAAGGGTGACTGACAACAATTTTGATAAAGAATTTCCCTACAAAATATAAAAATTAGTTAAATAATGTACTCAATTCAACAGTCATATTAAAAAACCAATTAGTGTGGATAAAATACAACTAATAAAAAAAATTCAAAGAAAACTGTTCTTGTTTTCTTGTTTGTGTGTTACGAAGTAGGACAGGGGAAAAAGAAAAACAGTTAGTTACTTAGTTGGGGGATGGTGTTAAATAAATAAGGAGAGATTAAGGGGAAAGGTGGCCCAATATCTAGAAATATCCCTAACAATATGGCCCAATATCTAGAAACATCTCTAACCATATGGTTCAATATCTAGAAATATCCCTAACCATATGGCCTAATATCTAAAAATATTTCTAGTCTAGAAATATCCTTACTTTAGACTTATCCATTCTCTAGAAACATCTCTAATCTAAAATTATCTTATTTAATATCTACTATAAAATAATCTATGTTCTAAAATCATCCTTGTAATACTATAAATACCCCATTGTACTCCTCATTTTAACATCAAGTTGAATAAGCAAATTCTCATTCTCTACTAAGAGTTTCAAGCTCTAGTTCTATCTTGTCCTATTTGAGAGTTTTAAGTACTACTTGGTCACTTTTCCTTACTATTTTCTGAGCCATTTGATATCAAGAGCCAGGTTCCTAGCTTCCTACACTCTTGGTCATCTCTTAACAAGCCAACACCGTAGACGTGCCCGAGAGAGGTTGAAGATAGTGACATCATCAGTTGCGTGAGCACCACGCATTCAACATTGTTGCACCGCTATTGGCTCAAACCTTTTCATAATTTTATTCCCACCCATACAACAAAATGCCATCGAGACGCCAAAACAGAAGGAATGCTCAAGAGATCGAGATAGAGGAGTTACGCCGACAAATTCAAGAACTACAAGAAATTGTGGAGGAACAACAAGCTCTACTCAATCGTCAAAGGAATTTCAATTTAGAAAATGATTCTGAAAAAAGTGACTCTTCATCTAACACCAGTCATTTACGAAAAAAGAGTACTCAAGGCTACTTCAACAACATCAAGATAGACATTCTTGAATTTGAGGGGAGACTACAGCCAGATGAATTTGTGGATTGGTTACAAATAGTAGAGCGTGTGTTCGAATTAAAAAATATTCCGGATGAACAAAAAGTCAAGATTGTCGCTGTTAAACTGAAAAAGCATGCATCTATTTGATGGGAAAATATAAAAAGGAAACGTGAGCGGGAAAGCCAAAGCAAGATAAAGACATGGAAGAAAATGAAAAAAAAACTCACACGTAAGTTTCTCCTGACCACTACTATCAAGATAATTTTATTAAGCTCCATAATTTATGCCAGGATTCTACGACAGTAGAGGAGTATACTAGAGAATTTGAATTGTTAATGATGAAATGCGATATACAAGAGAAGGAAGAACAAACAATTGCTAGATTTATTAGAGGGCTAAATCCTGAAATTTCTCAACTTATCCAACTACAACAGTATTGGACCCTAAATGATGTCATCAAGTTAGCTATTCGAGTCGAAAAGCAACTCTCTAAAAGATCAATTTTCCAACCATCATCCTCACGAAGCCCTTTTACCCCTCGCAAAGCTCAACCATCGCAACCTACAGCTCCAAACAAAACCCTTTCCAACTCTGTTAAAGACACTAGCTCCAAACAACCAACCTAATCCAAATCGCCCAAATGCTTCAAATGCCAGGGTTATGGGCACATTGCTTCCGACTGTCCCAATCGAAGAGTTGTCACTATCATTGAAGGAGAGGCCTACGAAGCATCTGAAGAAGAACCTAAATTCTACCAAAATGATTTCAACAGTCTTCCAGTGTTTGATGAAGAGTTGACCCCAGCAGATCATGGAAAAGCCTTAGTGGTTAGACACAGTCTTCACACAGCAGCCGTTAGAGAAGAACCATGGATGAGACAATATATTCCATACTCGATGCACCACTCAGGGTAAAATTTGTGATATCATCATTGATAGTGGAAGTTGTGAAAACGTTATGTCTAGCTACATGGTGGAGAAATTGAAGCTCCCTACTGATGATCATCCACATCCCTACAAGCTACAATGGCTGAATAAGGGTAATGAAGTCAAGGTTAGTCAATGTTGCCTAGTTGCTTTCTCAATCGAAAAAAAATATCAAGATAAAGTTTGGTGTGACTTCCTTCCCATGGATGCTTGTCACCTTTTATTGGGACGTCCATGGCAATACGATCAGAAGATTGTGTATGATAGATTTAAGAATACCTACTCATTCGTCAAAGATGGAGTGAGAATCAGGTTGACTCCATTGGGTCCAGAAGAAGTCAACCCAACCTCACGCAAAGTCAAACTACTCGTATCCCTAATCTCTAAACCACAGCTTAAGATGACGCGAGAAGAATCTCAATCAACAAGCTTATTACTCATGGTCGAACAAAACATTGGAACACCTATTCCACAAGAAATAGAAAAGCTCCTTGCAGAATACTCAGATGTGGTACCTGAAGAAATTTCTCTTGGTTTACCACCTATAAGGGACATCCAGCATGCCATCGACTTCATCCCAGGAGCTGTTATCCCAAACAAACCTGCTTATAGGATGAGTCCACATGAACATGCTGAAGTACAACGTCAAGTAGAGGATCTTCTCAAAAAAGGATTGATCCAAGAGAGTGGCTCAGAAACCAATAAGGGAAAGTGACCAAGTAGTGCTTAGAACTCTCAAATAGAACAAGAGAGAACTAGAGCTTGAAACTCTTAGTAGAGAATGAGAATTTGCTTATTCAACTTGATGCTAAAATAAAGAGTACAATGAAGTATTTATAGTATTACAAGGATGGTTCTAGAACATAGATTATTTTATAGTAGACATTAAATAAGATAATTCTAGATTAGAAATGTTTCTAGAGAATGGATAAGTCTAGAGTAAAAACCTTTTGTGAAAGGGAAATACTTGAGGGAAATCTCTCTGTCCTATTTTCTGTTTTTTTTTTTTTTTCCCATTCAAATCAATGAAAGTCATTTCTTCTTTCATTTCCCTCATGGGTGTTTCGTAATAGTATGAGTACAGAAAACCATATCTTTGGCATTTATCTCAGCATCAGCAACTAGGTAAGTTTCTACACTGTTGTTCCTGTAAAACAGAAATTAGTTTTCCCCATTTTTGGTCCACAACAATGGAAGCTTCAAAATAAAGTTTAGGTTGGTATTTTTTTTTTTTTAAAAAAAAAAGATAAACTGAAACAGGAAAACAGTGAAATTGGGCTTTGATTCTCCTGTTCACATTCAAAAGATCCTACATGTTTTTTCACCATGATATTGAACAACAAGGATATTATTCTAAGACAAACTTTTTATACAGAAAAGGATTATCATGTAGTTTCATCTTCCTCTAACACTTGGACCTGAAAGACTGTTCCCACATAAGATCATGTCTTTTAAATCCTAACATTAATAGAGATTTAAAGAACAGACAAAAGACCTCCGATTACCTTTTTATTGGACACTTTGGCAAGTTTGGCAGCCACACCAAAGGATAATTCCCCATGGAATTTATCAAACCATGAAAAATCGCGTCTTGTTTGTAGATGCTAAGTTTTGTGGATTTTAAGGGAAAAAAAAACAACAGACATTTGATTACCTTTTGATTCGACACATTGGAAAACTTGGCAGCCACACCACAGGATAATTGCTTATCAGGTAGTGAATAAGGATCGACATAGTACATATCTAGTGTCTCTGCCAAGCCAACCTGCAATTTTGTTAAACTTATAACTGGATCAACTTCTATTGTATACATGATATCAATGACAGTATGAAACAGTTAACACTGATCATATAACTTCAGTTTACTTCTACAGCATAGGTACACATGCAATAAGTAAATCAAAATAAGCGGCACAACAACTAAGTATTAAAGTAAGACCACCATATCTGAACTTGCCAGGCAGAATGTAGACATTATCCCTAAGGAAAGGGCTCAATCAGTTTAGAAAGTTTTCTGGAACTTTTCAGATTTCTTATATATTTAAGAATATCATAACTCTTTCAGAAATACAAAGTTCAAATAACTATCCATGTTTCTGTTTTTCTATTCTTGCTTTGCCTCCCCTTCACTCTTATTTTTTCTGTAATATTTAATGTGAATTGTGACCCTTTGTAAATTTTAGTTTGTTTAACTGTGCTTTTTCTCTTCCAAATAAATTGTTAAAACCGGTTTTAAATCTAAAGTGAAAACTCAGATGAAGTTATACATATGTTTAAGGGTTTCGATGAAATAAATTTGAAGGATTGCTTTGACCCCATTCAGTCCATTTAATCACCAACAATTGTAACTAACTGTCAACTCTTAGATGGTTAAGGCAGAGTATCATTTGGCTATCTAACAACTTGAAGTGAGAAAGCGAGGAGGCTACCCACAACTCATAAACAAGAATAATAAGCCCAAGGTCTTACTAATACTATCTTCTTTCCTTCTCTTTTTAATAAAACTAAGTACAAAAGATAAAATCCATTTCTAATCTTACTTTAAATAGTTGAGCCATAACTCTCAATAAATGAAAATAAAAATTAGCATTAAAAATATAAAGGCCAATGCAGAAGGAAAAGTTAAAGTACCATTTGAGAGTGGGTCAAAAGAACTTCCCACCTATTCTCCGCAGACTTTTTCCAGCCCTCAATTTTAGCATCTCCCATTATCTTGGTGTCAATCTCTAACCGATATGTAGGTACATATTCACTTGTCCAAGCACTGAAATCTGAACCACCAATTTTCTCTAACTTCTCATAACATGATGGCTTCCACCAATGATGTTCTGATTTTATTTTCACAGGCTTGAAACCATCCTTCATTAAATTATAGTTATCCAATAGACTCCTAGCATTTTCAACTATCTCATCTTCAAATAATTTAGATAAGATGACTGCAGAATCTTTTGAATGTACCCTTTCAGGCTTTTGAAACCAGTGAAAAAAACCGCTTCTATTACCACCTTGTGTTTTGTCAAGAAATTGTCTTTGAGTGCTTTGAAGTGCAGAGACACAAACAGCTTCTGCAAGCACGGAGATAAGATATTCATCGGATGAGCTGAGAGTAAAAGATGCAGGAACCTGCTTATATGAAACGCATAAAAAGAACCAAATGCATCAGTATCAGGCCCACCTGCAGGACAGACATTATAATATAACATTACAATTTACAAAAGTATTAGAGAATGGAGATATAAAAACTCGAAAAAACTTCAAACGGATAAAAAAAAAATGTAACAAACCTCTCTCGGTTCCTCAAGATCATCCATCTTCCGTTCCTCCCCTGGCTGAAACACAATCAGATCAAAGTTCCAAACTTGCTGCAAAACTACTTGCCTAAATGTCATAGCAAGTACATTCTTAGATGTAGTGCTCGAAAACACATCTCGAGAGAATGACTTCCTGAGCTTAGCAACTTTTTCTTTAACTTTCCTAGCAGGTAAGAACTGTCAAAACAACAAACTTTGAAATTTCACCCTCAAGTTGCATTGCTATAAGTTTCTACCAAGCACAACATATATAAATCCACACCAAAACATTTGGAAAAATCATGCTTTCAAACGTATCCTACAATTGCGGCCTGCACTTTTGGGATGATCCAAAACCATACATGCGCACAACACAAAGCACCTTAAATATGCATATACCACGCTTCATCCCTAATGCACTCCCTTTTCTTTATATTTCAAGATACAAAATTAAGTAAAGTAACCTATAAGCACATTATTGCTCAAATAAGCGTACACCATGTTTCATTTTCAATTTCATGTAACGAATTGAAAAATAAGAAGATGATGAAATTGAACAAACCAGTCGAGTGGAGACAGTTCCATGGTCGCTGGAAGGAGCAGGAAAAACGGTTTCCACGACCATGGCATCCATGCCGGCGTCGATGTGGTCGGTGGCAACTTGGCCGCCGTCAGCGGCCGCCGCTGTTAAAGCTTGGTAGAAATCGACTGCGCCGACGAGGGTGAGCTGACACAAGTCATTCTCGAAGGTTCTAACGCATGGGAGGGTTTTTCCGTCTGACTGAGCAATGGCTTGGAGTACTTGTTGTTCTGTGACGGGAATGGTCTTTGGAGAAGAACATGAGAGGACAAAGATGGAATTTTTGGAGCTGGTGAGGTGAAGGGTTGGTGAGAATTTTGCGTTGGGGCGAATGGCAAGGAGAGGACTCAACAGTGAGGTGCTGCTTCCTGCAACAGCCATTGCCGTCGGTGGAAGACACAGGTAAGTTCTGTCTCTGCTCTTTCAGGTGTTATTATCACTTCCATGGTGTAATGGGCCACCTCTTCAAAACTGGATCTCATTATGCTGTTGGCCCAAACAAAATGTCCCCTAATAAATCATTTTTTTAACCTGAATAACAACAAAAAAACATTATTAAGATTTTTATACAATAGAATAGAATTTGCGTGAAAGATAAACCCTTTTTAATATTAAACTAATTTTTATATTTGATAATTTTTATTAGGAAGTTAAATAATTTATTTATTTTTGTAGTCTTCTTACTTGTATGTTTATTCAAATTTAGTGCAATTTTAATCATTTTTTTTTAATATGATTCTTTTGTTAATATATTATCTAATTGTTAATGGTGTTTATTAATTTATATTATAACAATTTTGCTTAATTTCACTTTTAGTCTTTTAATTTTGTGTATATTCAATTTTAGTCTCTTTTTTTCAAAACAATGATTATTAATAGACTCAAAATTATTGGATAACTCTTTAAAAAAATTTACATTATAAATAATTTATTGCATTGAGCTAAAATATTTTTTTTTTTGCAAAACTTTGATAAGTGGATGCATTCCACTATTTTAAGCTCGAATAAATTTTAAATTAATCTTTTAAATAGTAGTAGTTATATATATTAATTTATTACTTATTTAAATTATTTTATCAGTCTCTCTTATATCAATCTATCATTTAGTTAAGTGACATGTAGATACTAAAACAATATTATTTTACAAAATGTAAGGAATTAATTTAACAAATTTTGCATCATTATTATTGCTCTCATCTCTGATGTTCCCTCTTCTCAACTACAATATTTCTTTGTCTCCTCTCCCTCTTAAACACATACTCTTATTCTTCATTCACGTATCATGTTCATATTATTACCTCACTCCATGCCACAAGAAATAATGCACATTCAAACAATATAAATAATGCCCTAAATGCAAACACAAAACTCTCAAATCCCAACAATGACAAACACATTTTTGCAAATCCTTAAAAACATAATGGTGTTGGAGCTAATTGTTGGGTTATATTGGTATGCCTCCAAAGAGAAGAGAGAGAAAGGAAGAGCGAGAGAAAGTTGAGGCGAACCACCATAAATAGTGTGATTGTGAGAAGAAGAGACGGTGGCAACTTTGGAGGCACAAACTATTGTGAACAATGTGGCTCCAAGGAGAGGGAAAGAAAGAGAGGTAATGGGAGCTTTCAAGGCGAAATCACCGTGAATATAGCCTTGAGGAGAGGGAAAGAGAGAAAGAAAGGTGATAGCTTTAGGACACATACTGTCACAAACAATGAGACTCTAAAGAGGTGAGAAGAGAGAAAAAGTGAAAGAGATGTGAAACAATGTTGTTTTAACATTTATGTATTACTTAACGGAAAAAGTTAATATTTTTCAAGTACTGCATGACAAACTAATATATGAGGAACTAATAGAGCAATTTAAATAAGTAATAGATTCATATACACAACTCTTAATAAATAAGAGATTAATTTAAGAGTTTACTCTTTTTAAGCTCTATAATTTTGTAGTTGTCATTGTAGGCTTGAGCTTTGAATTGAATATCTGTTTCAATTTCACCTTCTAAGTGATAAAAGATGATGCATATGATGGATCCAATGATATTACACGTAAAGTGCATTAGTGTTGAAAATTTATAACAAAAAGCATAACAAAGAATCCATTTTGGTTTAAACCTAAGACAAGTTTCAAAATAGAAGGTTGTCTCCTCACCATTTTCAACAACCCTCTAAAAAAAATTATATTTCACTTCTACTATTAATTATTAAGGGTTTCAATAATTTTTTTTGTTTAACCACAAATTTTTGTTTTGCTAGAAAGAAAAAACTAAAAATTAAACAAACATAAAAATTGAAAGATTGAAAATACAATTCAGTAGAATTATTATAGTATATATCAACAAACACCATTACTAATTAGATGGTTACTTAGTAAAGTGATCATAATTTAAAAAAATTAAAACTTCTCAATTAAAAATTAAAAAACTAAAATTGAACAAAAATATAAACAATGAAACAAGTCAAATATAATAACGTTAATCTTTCTCAAGTCTTAACTGATACTGTAGAAAAGCAACAAGTATATTTCTTATACTTCAAAAAAAAAAAAAAACTACTTTTTAAGCTATTTATAAAATCTAACTCTCTTTGACAAAAGTGAGTAAAATTACTAACAGTAAATAATTATTTTTTAGTCTTAAAATATAAATATAAATAATTAAATTATGATAATTAAAAAATATTTAATTTTACTTAATATTTTTAATTTTACATATAAAAATAAACTATATTCTCGTATATGTCATTTATAATCATTTAAAGATGAATTAATATTTTTACTAACATTAAATGTAAATAATTGATAATTTATGTTTATATAACAAATGTCAAAGTGAGACCGTGAAAATTAAAAAAAAAAAAAAATCAAGTATTATAATGAAAGAAAATTATATTTTGAGAACTAATTTTTAAGAGAATTCTCTTTCTATTAAATTTTGTATAAAAGTATTAACTCATATTTTAAAAATTAAAATTATTATTAAAAATAAAATTTGAATTAAATAAAAATTTAAAGATAATTTTATTAAATAGTATAAAATTAAAAAAAATTATTTATATTTTTGTTTACGGTGAAAAATGACAATTGTAAACAAATAATCCAAAAATCAATCTGGGGACTGGATTTAGGTCATCTTTGGGTTCTTTTAAGTGTGTTGTTAACGTGATGCTCAAATTAACGGCGTAAAAGAGTATTAAGCAAGAATATTGAATAATAAATAGGCAGAATTGAATCAAATGTAGATGTTCTTTACAGAAAAGCGCTAAATAGGAACTGAATTGCAATAATTGAAATAAGCATCAAGCTGGAATTAAAATGTGGAAATGTAAATGCAAGAATGTAAAGGTACGTGAATGTAAACGTACGACTTCTAGCAATGAACAGCAACAACCGTTATGTCTCCTTGTAGCTGGTGTTTGTCGCGGTACAGGGTTTCAGCGTCTCAGAGAGTTTAGGTGCGGTGTCAGGGTGCCAAAAGTCGTCCCTTGTGAAATGGTGCTTTTGAGTATTTATAGACATGAAGATCACCACCGTTTTCTTCCTTTTGCGGACACTTCTTAGTAACTGCCTTCAACTGTTGATACTCACTATCCACGATTGCTTGTGATCGTACTGTTCGTTGGGGCTTCTTTCGTAACTGCTATCGCCCATGATCTTATTTGCGTAGTGATGAATATTGATAACTATTGGTAACTGCTTTTGGATTTTTCAAGACTCCTATCTTTCGAGTATTTCTGAGAGAAACCTATGAGACTCTTTTAATATTATGGCCTTAGAATAATTTCTTCTTGACTTCTTTTTTCGAGCCATTCTGGAGTTTTGAGAGCCTGTCTTGGTCTTGTGGACTTAGAACATTTTCTTTGCTCATTTCTGTTTTTCGAGCAATTCTGGAGGGACTCTGGAGCTCGACCAGGTTTGTGGACTTAGAATATTTTCTGACCACTTCTTATTTTTCGAGCAATTCTGGAGGAAATTTGGAGCTCAGCTAGGTTTGTGGACTTAGAATATTTTCTGATCACTTCCTGTGTTTCGAGCAGTTTTGAGTGTCAGGGACTTGAAAACTCCTCAAAAACTCCTCGAAAAGCCATCAATTTTTGTGAACTTAGAATATTTTCCTGTTAGTCCTATTTTTCGAGTAGTTTTGGGTGTCAGGAACTTGAGAACTCCTCGAAAAGCCATCAGTTTTGTGGACTTAGACTATTTTCTTGCCAGTTCTATTTTTTGAGTAGTTTTGGGTGTCCGTGACTTGAAAACTCCTCAAAACTCCTCGAAAAAAGCCTTTAGTTTTGTGGTCTTAGAATATTTTCTTGTCTTTCAAGCAGTTTAGAGAAAAATCAACAATGTGAAAAAATTTCCTAAAATAGCTCGAAATGTGTCCCTTTTAATTGAAACTAAAGATCTTAGATAATCTTCCAATATTCTCTTATGTTCAGGCTTATCTTTGACTCCTTCTTGACTCCCAAAACTTGTTGAACTGTAGTTTCCTTCAAAATGATTTTTTAATTTAGAAATTTTTTCTTATCCCAAACAATTTTCAACCATCATATCTTCATTTAAATTTATTTATATTTAAAATTGAAAAAAATATTTTGTAAAGCATATTCATTTATTATTATTATTCTGTTTGTATATGACGTTGAGTCACTATTATCCAACATTAATCTAAACAAGTATTTAATTATTAAAGCATCAGATAGGAGTGCTTTTAAAAGGACATGGACTAATTTATATAATGTTTTAAATCATTTATTTTTAAAATAGTTAATTACTTATTTTTAAAAGCGTTTTAAAAAGAGAAAAAAATATTATAATTTTAAATGAATTCAACCAAATATGTATTTAAAGTAATTTAAAAAATAAGATAATAAAACAAATTATTCACTAAAATTCTTGTTTACTCTATGAGGTTCGCAATTATGTTTATTCATTCTGTTTATACCTGATTTTTTATATAACAAAAAGAGAAGTGTGAATAAAAAATTAATATAATATAAAAAAATTAAGAAACATTATATACAAATAAAGAGTTTAATTTTAGTATATCATCAGAATCAAAATTTTTATATTATCAATTAATTAAAAATATAGTAAATATAATTTTAATACTAATTATTATAAAAATAAACAAATCATTAATATAGCAATCTATTATTAAGTAACAGTATAAAAAAAATATATTTATTAATATAATTTAAATTAAATTCATAAATAAAACAGGTACTTGGTTGAAGAAATAAGTATGTTTTCCATTATGACATATGCTAAAAGCAAATTTTAAGATGAGAAACTGGTAAATTAATTAAAATTATTTTTATTTTTATTTAAAATTTATCTTTTGACTTTCTTAAGGTGTAATTTCCTGAAAAAGCTATTATAAATATTCTTAATAGATTAATAATATTTATTGGATAATCATTATTTTTTAATTTTTTAAAAACAAAATTAATAATAGATAAAAATATATTTTTAAAGACTTAAAACAAGACTTGTGCCCTTATATTTGATTTGTTTTTTTTATTGACATTAGCATGAATTTTTTAATTCTCGGCATTTTTTCCCCAAACCTTGTTTTTTTATTCCAGTCAAAATACAAATCTTTATAAAGGTAAAGAAAAAGTAGGTAAGGATAAATTAGGTGTATTCTCCCTTTCTCAGCTTTTGCGCGCTCTCTCTCTCTCTCTAGGGTTCGCTGTTCTTCGATCAGGGTACGTCTTTCCTTGTTCCTTTCTCTTTTTTTTCGGGGTCGTTTAGTGTATGATTTGATTTCCAATTTTCCTTTTTCCCGTTTGGCTGCCGAGAAAATTCGTGAGCGAAATACATTAAGGGCGTAACTTCGTTCTTCGTTTTCTTTCAACCCGTGACGAAAATTATTGAAAATTCGGTATAAACTGTTCATCCGCTGTTTTCTTCGTAAGTTTTCAGGGCACTGATGCAGCAGATTGAGAGAATTGTTGAAAGATTAATGTTGTTTCATAGCCTTTTCCCTTGTCGACGCGATTGATTATACATCTAATATTTTTCCTTCAAATTATTTGTTAACAAAAAATACTAACCAAAAAAAAAAAAAAAACGCACATAATTTTATTCTTTATGTTTCGTATTTATTTTTCATTAAAACAGAATATGGAAGCCACTAGTGTTGCTAAGAATTGATGGATGAAAAGGGACTGCAAATTACTTGCTTGAGGGAATTGCTGGAGAAGTTTAATTGTTTTATGGAACTTGGGATGATTTTATGATAAACCGTATCTGTATTTTCAATTTGTGGAATGTGGAGAAGTTTACATATCCCTGAATTGTTTTGCATGTTTTAATTTTATATTGAAAGCAGGGTTTTAGCTATGGGAAAAAGGAAGGCGAAAACAAAGCCTCCTCCTAAGAAACGGATGGATAAGCTTGATACTGTCTTTAGCTGCCCTTTCTGTAATCATGGCACCAGTGTTGAATGCCGCATGTAAGCACTTATTAATTACTTGTAAGGGGTATGTCTATATGTGTGTGTGTGTGTGTGTGTATATTCAAAGGCATTGAGGCATGTATAATCAGTTGGAAACCTTCTGTTTTACATGTTAGAGATGGTTATTACTGGGTTTGAATCTCATTTTTGGGTTATTTTGACAGTGACATGAAGAACTTGATAGGGGAAGCTTCTTGCGGGATATGCCAAGAGAGCTTTAGCACTACCATCACAGGTTTATTTCAATGGGCTGTGTTTGTCATTTATTATGGCATTGATTCTTAGTGAAGCAGATAATTCCAATTGGTCCTCTCTAGCTGGCACTGGGTATGGAAAGGAGAAATAGATAAGAATGACATATTTCGTGGATCATTATAAGAAGCAACTTAATATTGATGATGTTCCCTTCATACTTGCTTTCGATGATCTTTTTTTACCAAAATGAAGTTACTAGGATGCGCCAGTGCTACCTAGCTTTGCAAACCTCGTCCCATGACTTTTTGAAAATGTGACGTGTTATCATTTTTGTGGTGTTTGGCAGAACATCAAGTCAGGAATAGATTTCTCTTCGCCTCTCCCTTTCTTCTTTGCGACTATTCAAAGAACATAAAGTGTTTTTTTCCCTGTTTATACTCAGTTTGAAATAGAAGTGTATTGCTTTTTCTGTTGAAGTTATCTGAAAAGTCAAGATATTGACAATTTCATATATCTTCTAAGTGCATATACACTGCAAATGTAGCTAATAATTATTTTTTACACTTGTGTTTGCAGCTTTATCAGAGCCAATTGACATGTAAGTTAAATCAATATGTTGGAAACATTCTCCATCTTTCTTTCTGTTTCTCTCCTATTCATGACATAAGGGGATTGTTTCCAACTATGCAGATACAGCGAGTGGATTGATGAATGTGAGCGGGTGAACAACCTGGAAGATGATGGTGCTTAGCAGTGATGCTCAGATTCCTGTTCTTATGGTAGTGGATGGAGTAACTGGCCAACTTTATATCTTCAACCTGTATGTAATTATGTTAGTTCCTGATGTGAGCACTGGCGCAACTATAAGAATATCTAGTAATAGCCAAGTTTGTATTAGCTTGTGCAAGAATACGAGAATAATTGTGCTATTTGGATGAAGCTACCTTGATGAGAAGCTGGTATGTAATATTCTATGATGATACTATAAAACTAATGCAGAATATTTACTGGTTGCATACGTAAGGCTCTTGCGTCTTTCTACTTCCCTTGGAAGTGACTTGGGCCAAAGGGGTTGACATGAAGCTTGATGGCTTGGCCTATAATTCACGTTCAGTTGACGTTGTTTCTCTACTCAACTTTTTCTGTTTAATATCCCCTTTTACTCCAATGGGGGGAAACTATTGTCTCTACAAATTATGAGACATTTTACAAGAGAAGAGGAACAATGTTAACTTTAAATTAGTAAGCATTTTTTCAACACGCTGAAGTGGGAAGATAATTAAAAAAATTTAAAAGTTCAAATTATATTTAAATTTTTAGCATTTTTAAAAAAATGTTTGGATCGAATAGTTAAATTTCTTTCAATTCGAATATTTTTATTTGGATATAGTAATTAAAATATTTAAATTCTTAGAAAAAATAAAATTATCATTCTATCTGACAAAATTATGAAATTTAAATTAATAAATTGATAATAATTTAATAAAAATATGAATGAAATATACAATAAATAAAAAAAGTAATTCTAAATTTTTAGTCTCTTATTAGAATTTATATATTTTTTATGTTAGTCTATTAAAATTCTTAAATTTTTAAAAATTAAATATCTAAATAAATTTTAACCTATAGAATTGTATATTTTCAAAATAAATTACTTGAAATATTTCGGTAATTTTTGTACTGGTAATACGCAGAAGTAATTCTTGTAGTACTCTTGGATTATTTCCATATTATTTTGTTCTTAATTTAATTTTTTTATAAAATAAAACAAATGAAGTTATTAAATAAGGAAATAACACCAAAGAAATAGGTACTGGAATAATGGAAATATTGTGCATAAACATTTATTCTAAAGAAATTAGTCTTACTTATCTAGTAGTCTGGCAGTATTTTCAGGGGCTATTGAATTATCTACTGAAGGACAAAATACTGGCCATGATCGTCCGCAAAGGAAAGATCGCAAGTGAATCAAAGGCGTTTATACTTGATGAACCACAAAATAATTATAAAACTTAAATAACGCGACAATCTATCCAATTATAAATTCACTGTTTACTTGATAACACAAGGTAGATCTTTGATGCCCGTAAGTGGTTGTTCCTAACTTCAAATTAGTCAGATGTCTTGGATACCGATGAATTGCTCATAAAAGGTCTGAAACATTTATTACACAACCAATATTATGTACCTTAAGTAGTCTGTCCTGCAGACTGTATCTAGCATTATTTGGAAAATAGAGTCGAGCTTTAGTTACAGCAAATTTGTGCCTCAGTAATAGTTCAATTTTGATAATGCTCACTAGATTCTTGCACTCACCCAAATGCTGATAACAAAGGGTATACGGTATTTTTTTGTGGGTTGGTGTACTTCGGAAGTTACAACTCTTAACCAGCCGCCTCTAATGCAGCACTCCTGTGAGAATGAGCTATTGACAATGCCTCGACAAGGGAAAAAAATTACCTTGTCTTCTTGTTCCTAAGGAGAAAAAGTGAAAAGACAAATCAGAGGAAGGAGGAGGACAAAATTCGTATTCCAGTACTTGCAACTTGAATGCAGCATCTTGTACATCACTTCAAGATCAATCAAATCACATAATAGTCGCTTGTGTTCTCCACAAGATAGTCATATGGTGCAGTTAAGCCGTATTCATATGGTGCATTTAGTAGAGTCACTTTGTTTGAAGCTGAATAACCACCACCTATGCCATTGGCATTATGTTTGGCTCTGGCTTTGATAGATCGTTTGTTATCAGACTGAAACTCGGCAGAAAGCCTTCCCATCTGCTTCTGCAGATCAGCAACTGAATCACCTGTTATCTTTGCCTTGGAGTTCTTCTTCCCATCAACAAGCTTCAGTTCCAACCGATATAAGGCACATGCATCACACTTGCTAATTTCATACTCATATAGGTGCCACTCAAAATGGTTCAGAGGTTGCGGGTCCATATAATAGGATCTCTTCAGCCCTCCAAACTCATTCATCACTTGCTTTCTAGATTCATGCCATCCACGCCCACTATAATCCGGCAATGACCTCTGCTTTCTGTTTCCACTCTCAAATGCTCTTCGCGGCTTATCAAAGAAAAGCCACTCCCTAATAGTCTCACCCTCAAGAACTGAAAGATCAAAGAGCTCTGCAATCAAATAAGAAATTATTTAATTACACAGGAAGAACAATATTCTCAATCTTTATAATTGATACTAGTATAAAATATAACTTTTACAGATAAAGAGGCATCAAATTTACATTACCAGGTGCATTCCATGGAGATTTTGTAGTTGCTGCTCCCTCACATTCTGGAATGCCCACAACTTTTCCTTGTGCCTTTGCACCAAGTGCAGCAAAAAGTAAATTATCCTTCAGTCCAATTCCCCCAGGTCGTAGAACTGGGGCCATGCCTGGTGGTCCCTCCCTTAAAGCTAGAGCAGCATGAAAGCTACTGCAATAGTCTTGACACCAGTTCAACCCTTGAACAGGCCTTGGACAGTCCCAAAGTGAACATTTTGGGCCTAAGAAAGCAGAAGGAGGAGGGCAGACACTTGGCAGGTAGCTATATATATGAGGAACCACACCTTCCTCACAAAAACCTGTACCATTAAATCCAGCATAAAAGCTGTGATTGAAGTCCTTATTCAAATCAAATTGATGAAACTTTTCGAAAGCAGGCCCATCCAAGTTGTTTGCTGCCACATTGGGAACTCCTACAATGGAGTGTTTGCATTCATTAAGTAATAGGAAATCCTGTTGATGTTGGCCCTGATTTACAGTAAAACAAAGAACTCCATTACAATTACACAGGTGATATCCAAAATACATGACCGGCACTGAAATAATGATTGAAATTATAATCCTAAGAACAAAAATTGCGCTTCGAGTTCCTGCGGAGAAATTTGGTATTAACTCTCATGGAGAACTTAAGTCACTAAACCATCAAAGCCAAACTGTTCTGTCATTTGAAAATTGAAGATTAAAAAAATATATTGAAAAAGGCTACCACGTGAAAGACAATATATCAGGTTATGTTCTTTTGCATTATGCATTCAAGATATCAATCATTCTGAAGTCTCCATTATTCTACATATGAATTGAAATTAGGAACCCAACAAAAATACAGAAGCTTCAAAATCAATACTTTCAGAGACAGCTAATGCCACACAAAAAGGAAAAATGGAAAAGGCACAAAAAAGATGAATAATCCCCAAAAAGGTAAAAAAAGGAACTCATCTTGGAATATCACCTTAGCCCCAGCCTGCAGAGTCTGATCATTAGGTTCAGGCTTAGGTGCAACTAATGAACTAGTGGCATCATCTTCCTCCTCACATAGCTGCAATAGCCTACAGATATCCGTCGAGAATGATCCAAGACTGCCTCCCTATAGTCACCCAAAAATATGAGAACGCAAATAATTCCTTTCCAACCAGAAATATCACCATTCAAGTCGACATTTGTCCATCACAAATCCACAATTGGAAAAGAAGAGTGAGGTTACAAGCACTCATGACAATTAAATCAACAAGTTACACTCAAGGAGATTTACTACATGAGCTTACTTGCTGCAAAGAAGAAGCAGGAGATGGCTCATTGAGCTCGGCCTTCCATTCGCGAAGCATCTGATGGACTTGCTCCTCAAGAAGTGCAGCATCAACTGTACGGCTTTCCTTCCTGGCAAACTGCAGATCCAATAACATCACCTGCAAATCATCAACACGGTTCCTTGCCTTGTCCTTGAAGAGCCTGTGTGATGCTGACTTGCAGCTGCTCTTGGAAATTTTCTTCATCACGAAACTTCAAATCCTGCCTACAAGATCACCACAAATAAAAATCTCCGAAAAGAGAGGAAACCCAAAAGATGCAAACAACTTCCAAATAAGTTTATCATGATCATTGTCAATTTGTCATTGATCAGAACAGAAGCATATTCCAGCTCACCCCCCATCCCCACCCCAAAAGTCCAGAAATTCTAAAACCAAGATTCCATTATCCCCATCACAGAATAAAGTCCGATAATTGTAAAAGATTCACTCCGCTTTCAATTAATTAACTTAAAAAAAGGAGGGCAGAAGCAGGAGCAGGAGCCTATTTTCTGATGAAAACGAAAAACGTAACTAAGGATTAAAATAATCAAATTATTTAGAAACAACTTTAACAAAATGAAACAAGAAAAAAAATTAACTGCAGCCAATCAAAAGCATTGAAGAAAGCATCATTAAAACAATCTCCAACTTTTGAAAGCAAAACACAATTTTAGCTCAAAGGGACACAACTAATACACTGAACGAAAAACCAACCAAAGTCATAAACGCTCACCTAATATTCCAAAATTTCTATTACAAACAGAGGGTTCAATTCTCTCTCTCTCTCTCTCTCTTCAATTTTCCATCAAGGAGGGAAACCCATATAAAGAGATGGAAAGGGAGAAGAGAGAGAAAGTGTTTTTTTTTCCCCTCTGCTCTGTTTCCCTCCCCTTCTTTCTCCACTGAGGAGATCATTGATTGGGTGTGAAAGGGGACAATCAAAAGAAGAAAGCATAGGGACATTACATTTGCAGTTAAGTGGAGATTGAAGAATATATGTTGCTGGATAAATCAAAATTAAATATACCCACTGTCTTACCCGAAATAACGGTCATAACCTCCTTTATCATCATCTATTATTATTATTATTAGTAGTAGTTAGTAGCAGTAGTACTTTGTAATTTGGAGTCATTTTACGTTATATTAATATGGAGAGAATCATAATAACATCTTCTACTGTTATAATAATATTATTTGCATACGATTTATGGTGTATATTTTATAACTTCATTTGTAGCAATTAATTTAGGCTTGACAGTGATTTGGATCATATGTTCACCATTATCGTTACAAGTATTATATTACATACATTTCAATTTTATTAAAAAGTAATACACAATCAATTATCACCCAAAGTTAAAACAAAATAAAACAAAGGAAAAGAGATATAAAATTTACATAAAATACAATGTGTATTGTAAAATTGAAGAAATAATTGTCTAAATCAAAGAAGCATTTTCTTCTCGGGATATAGGATGTCGTTGTCTCATAACTACCCCCAATATAGATGGAAGAGATCGCATAGATTACAAAAACAGGGGTCTTCAAATGAGTGTTGCCATTGCCAAGTTGAAGGTTTATTGATGACTTCTTCTTCACAATAAAGCGAATTTAATAATAATAATAATAATAATGTGTGTCCATAAACAGTTTATTTTTTTTAAAAAAATTACATGGACACCGATTGAGGCGTAGTTGTTGTTACTAAACAATTGGAAGACAATAGATTCATGCTTCTTCAAAGTGGATTTACTTTTGAGATATGAAAGGGGAATAAACTCCCTCGCTCTATCTCCTGTATGAGTGCACACTTTCCTTTTCTTCGCTTAATTTCACCATTGGTTTCACGATATATTTTTTGGCAACTATTTATTAGTGGCTCAATGAAATCTCTTCTCAGAAAGGGAGAAGAGAAATCAAAGAAATAATAGAACCCATTCAAGAGAATAAACGGAAAAAAAAAATGAAGGTTATTCAGAGTATGTATTTTTTTTATTTTAAAAAGATAGAACTTTTTTAAAAAATACAATCTAACATACTCATATTTTCTGTGTTTTTCTTTTCTTCTTTGCTCAATTTTCCCATTGGTTTTACAAAATAATTTTTGACAATTATTTGTTCGTAACTCAATGACATCACTGCTCAAAAAGGGAGAAGAAAAATTGAAGAAATAATATAATACATACAAGAAAATAAACCCCAAAAAAAAGGGTGGCGATTCCTCTTTTCTTACCAGATATTACAAATTAAAATGAAAAATATTCTATTGGGTGAATAGGTGAAAGATGATCAGGGTAAGGAAGGAATAAAGGCTACTTCCACTACCGTCCAACATATTCCTGTTTTGATGCTTCTCTTAATGGAAGAGCTTTACAGAAGGCTGTTTATGGATATCATGTCCACCTGCATCCAATGATTTATCATTCAGACCATCCACATGTCCTGTCCATAACCCCTATTTCCTGAAAGGAAACGTAGAAGAGGGTAGTGGGGTGAGTGGTTGTGTTTGCAATCAATTGAGGATCAAATGCGATGGAGACCTTGTCACCAAACTTCATATTCACATAAATGGTTTCACTTTTTTAGCAACTAAATGGTACCATCATCACAAACACAAATTTGCCTTCAACAGATTCTATACCCACGCTTAAATGAACAAGGACATGCGGTCCTTGCTATTCTGCAACGCAGATAAATCCAAGAAATCAACGACTGTGTTATTCATGCTGAAAAAGAGAGGAAGTGAATACATGAAAAATAAATGTTCTTCTAAATGATACATTTGCTGCATTTTCTACCCAACTGATGGTGTCACATCTCTGTCGCTATGAATTATACAATCTCTGTAACTTATTTTGGGCAATAGAATAAAAATTTCAATCTGCTAGTTATCCTCAATACAAAAAGAGAATTTCAAATCTGAAACTAAAAAGCCAATGAATGTTGTAAAAAATATGTTGTTCTTGAACAGAGCCTCAAATGAATCAGAAATTGAGCCAGAATTACATCCATCCCAAAGACGAATGAAAAAAATGTGACAAATAATTATACTCTTCATCGGGTCAAGAAGTTTTCTCTGTCTTTCCAATTTCTGTATTACCATGTCTGAAGTTTAGAATGCCAGTCAGTCCTCGTCCCCTGGCCAGCTGTTCCAATTCTTGAAGTCTATGCTTAAGAAGCTCTACTTCTTCTGCCAAGTTCTCATTTTTCTGTTTCATAGCCTAAAGAATAATGCAAATTCTTACGAGAACATTAAATTATGAAACCATGACTATTCAATAACTTTTCTCAGTTAGCCTGAATTGAGGGAACCTATGAAAGTGAATATACAGAGCTGTTTAGGGTGGTCTTATATTCTAGAGCAAGAAGGAGGACAAATTGCCATGAACTATTAAAATAAACCACTTTTCCTTTAACAGTAGTAGTATTCTACAAAACCCCAGTTCATACTGCTAAAATAAACTACCTGGCCTAAAATATATCCAAATTTAAACAATTCAGACTTGCAACAATATCCGCTTCAACACAAAGCACGTTCACAAAAGCCTTGACAATGTCCTATTACAGCTTAGAGGTCTGGAGCACGTCATTTATAGATTTATGATTTCATTCTCAAATTCAGTATGACTGTCAATTTAATCATCCCAAATAGAATTTTTAAAAGGACAAAATTTATGTTATTCTTTAGAGCGTTGTTAGTGCTGCTTACCAATTAAAATTAGTTGTTTATTTTTATAAAAGGTTTGCATTTAATGTTATCACACATTATCGAGGTAAGACTTTAATTTTGATTAGTAAACAACATCACCACCACCTAAGGAATTGTACCTAAGTTTAATCCTTTTTAAAATATAGAAGTAATGGGAACTCACTTTCATTTATTAAAATTTATTGAAAACTACAAAAGTATGAGTGAGAATTATTAAATTAGAAATAAGACTTACATGATTTTTGTGATTTCTAATAAATATTAACCAATAATAAAGAGTATATTGCAACAATAATGTAATTGGGAATTAATGGCATCATCTGAGAACCATATGGATTGAATATATTAAAAGCTGAAAAGTTAGTGATCACGTATCATGATATCTTCAAATATGAAGCTTTATGCATCATAATTCATAACCTATCACAACATGTGCTCAGTTGCTCTAGAAATTAACTTTTAATCCAAAAAGCAACACTGGGGAAACACTTCAGCTGCTTCTACCCAGGTCATACAAGTAAATCTATAAGTTAGGTTTGAACTTGAAGCACTTTGTAATTTATTTATATGAAAGATTAATTTTTAGAAGTTGAAAAAATAAAAAACAGGAGACTACATGAGCTGCCAGATGTTTTAAAAATCTTCAGTATAAAGTGGCAATAACCCTCTAATAACAGTAAGCAAAATTAATTTCGATTTGCTCTAAAAAAATCATGAACCTATTTACCATGATTAAGCAAAATATTACAACATGACATGGTATTGGTATAACATCCTTTGTATCAGAAAATGGGAGCAGATGATACATGTAACATCTTTAGCATAGGAACTTAGGAAGCATGTAACTAACATTAGGAGGAAAAAACATATAAACACAAGATTAAATAAAATTTGAAAACAAGGACTGAAAGAAATAAACAACTTAAATTGAAAGAGAAAGAAGAGTTGAGAAATTTGACATCCAAGGTAAAATGTAATGTCGGATACACATGTACCAGAAGATTATTTTGAAATTACCTCAAGCTCTTGCTTTCGTAGCTCCTCCTTTCTTGCTTCAGATCTAGCACTTCTTTGTACCTCAAAGATCAAGAGAACTCCTGCGACCTATGAATATAGCAAATAGGCACAGAAGGAAACAAAATTACAAACAAAGCAAGTGAGTATATGCACAAATTATGTTGGTATAAACATGTAAAAATGACTTATGTCTAACGTCCCATGTCTGGGAGTTAAAGAATTCACAGTAGGGTCTCTTTTTCTGTTTTGTCGTGATGGGGACGTGGTGGTCTCACTTATTACTAGAAAATACTGCTCTTGTAATTTGTGAAATCTCCAGAGATCTTATTTAAACTAAGATGAAAACCCTTAGCTTCAAAGATCACAACTCATAAGCAATTTATCTTGCCCTTAGTTTAGGATTTTGTTATTTCATTTTTGTAAAAATTAACACTCAATTTACTATAAAGAAATACTTGAATCATCAATTTGCTGTTCCTATATATCTCCCTATTTGTCTTCATTGTGTTCTCTTTGAATATTTCCTACAATCCTTCTGCATATACAATACGTTTAGCAAGATAACTTCAATTTTCTGCAATTCTCTACCATTAGTTCGTCCACTTATTGACATTATTTTTCTAAAAATATATGTTCATATCCAACACATTCAACTCAATCAGATCCAGCAACGGACAATAAAGTACGACTTCATTGAAACTTAACCAGTTGCGTCAATTAGCTTTTCTGCATAGCATTAGCATGATTTTGTTGGCTGTTAGGAAATATAATTGTTGCTTTTATGTTGTTATTTTTTTTGTTTCAATTCAGTCAAATAGTTGTTCAGTTGTAATCCTATTTCTTAGGGATATGCACATAAAGGTTAGATCATTTTATCTAACCGCCTACGTTATCGAGCATATAAATTGTGGATGTGATTATTACTTTATTTGTATGTCTATAAAGCCAACATGTGACTTTGAATTCAATAACACATTCCTTCAGCATATACATATAGTGCATTACGTCCTGTGTTCAACAAATGGTATCAGAGCTCCTTCACAGGGGCTTGCTCCTAGGGGCCTAATCCTTAATTTAATTGAGTGTGAGAGAAACAGTTGTGAGTGTGTGAAAAAGAAACCGCAGATTTCTTTCAAAGAGTGAAAAAAAAAATGGCAAAAAGTAGTAATAGCAAGTATGTGCAACCCACCATCCCGAAATTTGATGGTCATTATGATCATTGGGCAAAATTAATGGAAAACTTTCTTCGTTCCAAAGAGTATTGGAATCTTGTAGAGAATGGAATCTCAGTAGTACCAAATGGAGCAGCATCTTCAAAGACAGAACTTAAACTAATGGAGTAGAAGTTGAAAGACTTGAAGATAAATTATCTTTATCAAGCTATTGATCGTGAAATCTTGGACACAATCCTTAATGATGACACATCCAAAAACATTTGGGATTCAATGAAGCAGAAATTTCAAGGTTCTACAAGAGTGAAGAGAGCACAATTGTAAGTCTTGTGCAAAGATTTTGAAGTTCTAAGGATGAATGAAGGAGAGATGATTAATTCTTATTTTGTTCGTACTTTAAAAATTATTAAAAGTATAAAGGCGTGTGGTGAGAGTATGTGTGAGAATGTCATCATTACAAAAATCTTGAGGTCCATGATTTCTAAATTTAATTATATCGTGTGCTCAATTAAGAAATCCAACAATTTAGAGACCATGACAATTGATGAGTTGCAGAGAAGTTTTCTTATTCATGAGCAAAGAATGAACTGCCATGAAGGAAAAGAACATGTACTACAAATTACTAATGACGATAGAGGAGGAAGAGGGAGAGGCTTTTCTATATGTGGTCGAGGTAGAGGAAGACAATTGTATTTTAAGTGTCACAAGTTTGGACATTCTCAATACGAACGTCCTAATTGGCAAAAAAAGGTAAACTATGCTGAGGTGGAGGATGAAGTAAAGGAAGAAGATAAGCTCTTGCTAATGGCCTATGTTGATCTCAAACAAGGCAAGAAGGAAGATGAATGGTTTCTTGACTCAAGGTGCAGCAACCATATGAGTGGAGACAGGAACTGGTTTTTAGAGATAGGTGAAAGCTTTAGACACTTTAAAGCTTGGCAATAATACTAGAATGTTTGGAATGGGGAAAGACAATGTTCGCTTGAATGTTAATGGAGTTACACACGTAATTTCAAATATTTATTACGTTCCTGAACTCAAGAACAATCTATTAAGTATAGAACAACTTCAAGAAAAAGGCCTAGCTATTTTGATTCAGAATAGGAAGTGTAAAATTTATCATCCCGGAAGAGGGCAAATTATGGAGACTGAAATGAGTGAAAATAGACTGTTTTTCTTAATAGATACTATGGTACCGAAAAATCCTACATGTTTTCAGATGGAGTTATGCAATGAATCTCATCTTTGGCATTATTGATTTGGTCATTTAAGCTAAAATGGCTTGAGGACACTTTCTTCTAAGAAGATGGTGAATGGACTGCCCTCTATCATGAACCCAAAGGATCTATGTACATGCTACTTAGTAGGAAAACGACATTGAAGCTCCATGCTGAAAAAAGGTTTGTGAAAAGCATCAAACAAGCTTCAACTTGTACATGCAGACATATGTAAACCTATCAAACCAACTTAAAACAGTAACAAGAGGTATATCCTAAATTTTATTGATGACTTTTCTCGTAAAACTTGGATTTACTTCTTAAATGAAAAGTTGGAAGCATTTTCTATGTTTAAAAGTTTCAAAGTCTGTGTTAAAAAAGAAACGAGTGCATGTATTACTTGTTTAAGGACAGACAAAAGTAGTGAATTCACATCAAATGAGTTTGGAGAATTTTGTAGGACTCAAGACATAGTAGACAGTTAACTGCAACTTATACTCCTCAGCAAAACGGAGTCACTAAGAAGAAAAACAGAATGATAATGAATATGGTATGGTCTATGTTGGTTGAGAAATAGGTTCCCAAGGTGTTTTAGCCTGAAGCCGCAAGATGGTGTGTGCATGTTCTCAACATGTGTCCTACAGTAGTTATGCAAAATAAAACTCCCAAAGAAGCATGGAGCGTTTTCAAACCGATAGTGGAGTATTTTCGAGTCTTTGGATGCAAAGCTCATGCTCATATACAGGATCAACAAAGAAGCAAGTTAGATGACAAAAGCAAGAAGTGTGTCCTACTAGGAGTGAGCGATGAATTAAAGGCCCATCGATTGCTTAATCCAATCTTCAAGAAAGTCATTATTAGCAAAGGTGTAGTGTTTGAAGAACAAAAGAGTTGGAATTGGGAGAAAAAAGAAGAATGCAAGCTGGATATTTTAGATTGGGGAGAAGATGAGGAATATGAGAGTGAAACTGAGGAGCAGGGAGAAGAAGAAGAAAATAATGGTGTTGTCAACTCCATGAGTCCTGGTGCTCATCCTAATGAATCACGTAATAATGTTCATGAGGTCCCAGTTGAAGGGAGGGTTAGAAGAAATAGAAGACAATCAATTTGGATGACTGATTACGAAAGTGAAGAAAGCTTCTCAGATGAAGATGGTTTGAATGCAATAATGTTGGTAACTGAGGATGATTCAATTTCATTTGAGGAGGCTGCTAAGAGCAAAAAATGGAGGGACGCAATGATGAAAGAGATGGAATCAATAGGATAAAACAAGACTTGGGAGTTGACTGACTTACCAAGTGGAGTGAAGCCCATTGAAGTTAAGTAGATCTTCAAGATCAAACTTAACGAGAATGGAGAAATAGATAAGTTCAAAGCAAAATTAGTGGCAAAAGAATATACTCAATAATATGGAGTCGATTACACAAAGGTGTTTGCTCTTATGGCCAGACTTGATACCATTTGCATCATACTTGTTATGGCAGCTCAACATAGTTGAAATGTTTTTCAATTAGATGTGAAGAGTGTTTTTCTTCACAGTGAACTCAAAAAAGATATTTATGTGCAGCAGCCCATTGGTTTTGTGAATAATGGTAAAGAAGATAGAGTTTACAAATTAAGAAAGACATTGTACGGTGTTAAATAGACAAGCACCGAGAGCATGGTACAGCATAGAGGCTTACTTTGTTCATAAAGGCTTTGAAAGGTGTTTTTGTGAATATATATTGTTTACAAAGTCAAAGGAGGGAGGTAAAATATTAATTGTAAACCTTTATGTTGATGACTTGATATATACTGGAAATGATTGGAGCATGTGTGATGAGTTTAAAAGTTCAATGATGTCAGAGTTTGATATGTGCGATTTAGGAAGGATGAAGTATTTTCTTGGAATAGAAGTTATGCAGAGTTCAAATGGAATTTTTATATGTCAAAGAAAATATGCTTGTGAGGTTCTAACAAAGTTTGGCATGAAGAATAGTAATGCAGTAAAAAATTCTATTGTTCCAGGCACAAAACTGTCAAAAGATGATGGAGGAACAAAAGTTGATTCAACCACGTTCAAGCAAGTAGTTGGCAGCCTAATGTATCTAATTGCAACTCGCCCTGATATAATGTATGGAGTAAGTTTAATTAGCAGATTCATGTCTTGTCCTATTGAGTCTCATTGGCTTGCAGCAAAACGAATATTATGGTACTTGAAAGAAACAACTGAACTGGACATTTTGTATAAGAAAGGTGGAAGTATAGATATTATGGCATACTCTGACAGCGATTTTGCTGGAGATTTAAACGATTGAAGAAGCACTTCCGGCTTCGTGTTTTTACTTGGTTCTAGAGCAGTTTCGTGATCTTCAAAGAAACAGCCTATAGTGACATTGTTTACTACCGAGGCTGAGTAAATAGCAGCAGCGTTTTGTGCTTGTCAATGTATTTGGCTTAAAAAGGTGTTGGAAAAGCTTGGCATTAAAGAGCAGAAGAACACCTTGATTCTGTGTGACAACAACTCAACCAAACAATTATCCAAGAATCTAGTGTTTCATGGGAAAAGCAAACATATTGACATAAGATTTCATTTTTTGAGAGACTTGGTGAAGGATGGAGTTGTCAGGCTGAGCTACTGCAATTCACATATTCAAGTTGCAGACATAATGACCAAGCCTCTCAAATTGGAGTAATTCTTAAGGCTTTGTAGCATGCTAGGCATGATTAAAGCTTCAGAACTAAACTAAATGCTATAGCATATAGTTTAAGGGAGGGAATGTTGGCTGTTAGGAAATAGAATTGTTGCTTTTTCTGTTTCAATTCAGTCAAATAGTTGTTCAGTTGTAATCCTATTTCTTAAGATATGCAGATAAAGGTTAGATCATTTTATCTAACCACCCACGTTATCGAGCATATAAATCATGGACGTGGTTATTACTTTATTTGAAAGACTATAAAACCAACATGTGACTTTGAATTCAATAACACATTCCTTCAGCATATACATTTAGTGCATTACGTCCTGTGTTCAACAGATTTGGGGTTCTCAACTTGAAATCACCCAAACTTAGTATCACAGTATCTATTGTGAAAGAAACTCTAGAGTTTAGGTAAACTCCAGGAGGCTAGTAATGGCAACTCGTAAGCATAAAAAAGCATTAGTAAAAGAAGATATCTCAGTAACCAACCGCAATTAAACTGCACATTCAGAATCAATATCGAACATTCTAGATTTATAACAAAGGCAACGAAAGAACTAAAGTAAAAACAAAAGCGAATAGCGAACAGTTTAGGAAATGGGAGATTGAGTCGATGAGAAAATTACGGAGAAGACGAAGAGTTCTCCAATGAGATCAACAGCAGCCTGAACTGCTTTCTCTTCATTCAAGGGGCGAATTTCGACGTCGGTTGCGTGACCGTAGATGCGGCGTTGCATCTTCGTGGTGAGTTGATGATTGGCCTGTGAAATGAAATGAAATGAAATGAAATGAAAAAGAGAAATGGATAGTTTGATTGGATTGGGGGAAAAGAAGAGGAGCTGACCTGAGCCATGTCGATGATGAGTTGGCGGAACCTTGGGTGAATAGCAGCTTGCTTCTTCAGCCTTGAGGCAACGGGTTTGCTAAGGGTTTTGACCGCCAATGTTCCAAGCTTCAACAGCGGAAGCACCATCTTCTCAATTGATCAAATCAAATTCAATACTATAATATTGATTGAGTTGTTGGTTTTCTTGCGGAAGAAGAATAGGGACGAACCACCATTGGAGTCAATGCCCGAAACAATAATATTGCATTTTTAATTTCATCGTATTAGGAAGCAGCGAAGCCAAATAGTCAACGTTGCGTTGGTTGTTCCCACTTCGTATTACTCTTTATTCACTTCCCATTATACATCTCCTTCGACGGCTCTCCTTTTGTTTCTCTTCCCGCAAGATCCCCACTCTATTTTTTCGTTTTTCATGGGAAATTAAATTAATATCTTACTCTGTTTTTCAAAGGCTATTTAAATTAATTATCTTAGTCCTTTAACTATTTTACATAAGTCTTTATGTTTTAAAATTTTTATAGTTGAGGTTTTAAACTTACAAATCGTGTTTTACTTTATTGCATTCTGCTTATCTTATTGCCATGATAAACCTTAATCACAAAATTTAATAACCTAATGTTGTTTGTGAATTCAAGGATAAACTTTGTTAAAATGCCTTCAATTTACTTACGTGTTTATTTGAAAATTTTAAGGATTTAATTTAAAAGTTATATATAATAATATTTAAATAAATATGAATTTATTTGAATATGAATTATATAAACAAAGATTCAATTCGAAAGTTATAATTAATAATATTAAAATAAACACAAATATATGTCTATTTAAACGTGAATTCAAATGTATTAAAAGTTAAATATTACCTTGAGATATAATTAGAAATTATTATCGACTTGTTTGATGAAATTGTTTTACTTTAATTTATTAGATGATTTTTAAAATGAATTACTGAATTATTTGAGAATTTTTAAATGGGATTCCGTAGTCTAAAAATACAATGATATTTGATGCTGTTTACAATTTTTTAAGTAGATGTTACTATCCTGAATTTGATATGTAATGTCTGTATTGATCTCATTCCTAAACTTTGTAATGGAGGCATATCCTGTGAGTATAATCGTATGCTGATATTCATCTGCATTCACTTGTGTTCTACGCAAACCATTATATGCTTACTGTATCATCCTGTGTCCATGCAAGGGTTCAAGTGTGTGCGTATCATGCAGATAAACCTCCAAATCTCCAAAAGAACAGCTTTTTCAATTTATAAATTTCAATTACCTTGGCAATGCCAATGATCTCCAATGTATTGCAAATCTGCGTCTTGGGATTTTTCTTGAAGATATATATGCTACATCAAGTACTAAGAGCGGTATAAGTTCTGTCATACTTTCAAGATGGTATGGAATCATCGGAATCCATTTCTTTGAATTGTGAGCATAACATTTTATGATGATCATCCTATATTCTAAAATGTGATGAATACTAGAATCTATTTTCAAACGGAAAGATATTCTTGGCCATAAGAGATTGCAAGGGAGAACTTACCATGGAGAAGTTTGTCAACATCTCCTGAGGAAGGATCCAATATATATGGTAGAGATAAAGACAAAGAGACCACACTCAAAGTGTCGTTGGATGATGATAAGAATGATGGTAACATATTTGTGATCGCTATTGTGGGCATGGGTGGGATTGGAAAAACCACTTTACCTCAGTTGACTACAATGATGACAATTTGAAGCAAAAATTTGATCTTCAGGCAGGGGCTTACTTTCTGAAGAATTTTGATGTTCTCAAGGTTACAAAGACTAAATCATTGCAGCACAAAAGTGTCTTTAAGTGTCCTACCTCTCTTCTAAAGCTTGAAATCTTTTAAGTATCCTCTGTTGGAAAACGATGCGAGATGAAACACCCTCCGATTTGGCCTTAATTTTCCCACATTCGAGGTGTTAAGGTTAAAGGGAGATGGATTTCTTGAACTACGATCTACAGGTAATTATGAATTGCCACTTACTCAATTTCATTCATTTTTTCACTTGAGGTTAGTGGAAGAATGTCGGCAGTGTAGTTGGTTAACCAGAGGAATGTTTTGGTTCAATTCCTCATATTTTGGACATAACCTTAGTGGTGTTAAATTTGCCTGAGTTGAGCTGATTTGACTCTAGAAAGAATATCAAATATCATTCGTGTTGGCCTAGGCCTAAGTTGTGAGTGAAAACTTCCCTTTGTCATTAACATTATACATTAATAACTCAACCTTCCTTTATTGGATTTTATAAAATAAAGTGCCATTTCCACTGTTTCTGGTCTGTGCCATTTGAGGCTCGGTAACATGAAGCTATAACCATAAATTGGCTTAGTTGTTGTTCAGTTTGCATTGGTCACTCAATCAACCCGTAGCAAATCTTTCTTACTAGTTAGTAACATTATTTTGAACGACTATGCATTAATTATTTCAAAATAAAAATATTTTTTAAAAAAAAAAGCAAGGAAAGGCCACGTTTCTGGCACAGTTGAGATGCTAGAGACTAGAAATGCTTCTCACTTGTCAGCAGAATTGCAAAGGGGAGTAACTGTTTCTTAAAGAAAACTAATTATTCTTATAAAAGTCATTTTGCTAAACAAAATACTTTTCTGAACTTTAATTTTGTTTTATAAAGAGAATTATATTGATTCAGTATTCAATCGATATTTTTTTTAACATCATTTTGATTCTAAAGTTATTAATTATTAAGACCAAATTAATTTCACGCATTGATAAAAAATTATCAGAACTAATCTTATTAGACGACATTAGGAGTTACTCCCTCCGGTCATTTTTATAAGAAACAAGATAGAGCATTTTTTTTGTCCTTATTATAAGAAACAAATGATATATTCAATTAACCCAATTCATAGGGAGATTGAAGTATTAAATTCTAAGAGGATTTATGATAGAATTAATATGGACAAGCTAAGGGTTAACACATTTTGTTAATTGAATCTTATAAATTAATTTTCTATTTGAGTGAATTAAATTGAAACTCTCCCCTCTTTTTGTTTGTTTAATATTCACAACATGTTCGATGTATGATTTATATCCAATGTTAATGAGATGACAACCTAGATCAGCACCCTAGTATTGCATTAATTTGTGTTTAAATTTTGATGGGAGTTAGCGACAATTTTTTTTATCATCAATCTCAAAAACAAAATATTTGTTTCTTATATTTAATATATATATAGCTATTTTTTATATATATAAGCGAAAGTAGTACAATGAACTCTTCTATTTACTTTTATTTCAAGTTCAAAAATTATGTTGAAATCTACTTTTTAATTTTCTATTAATTTAAAATTAAAATAAAGATCAATATAACTTTGAAGATCCAATCTATTTTCTTCACTCATTCAATATTTTAAACAAAATAATTCATAAAAAGTGTCAAATTATTTTATTTTACTAAGAATTTATTAAATCCTTAATTTAATTTTTCAGACGATTAATATCAAATATTTTAGTATTTGAAATTTTAAAATTTCAAAGTTAATCCTTAACTTTTGTCTCCAATTAATCATTTTAATTTTTTGAGTCATACACCATGAACACAGAATACCATAATGTTAACATGTTACATTAAGTGAAATGTATAATTAATTGTGTAAAAAAAATATTTTATATAGTGTGATATATATATATATATATATTATTATTATTATATTTTAGTCCCTAAAATTATTAGCGTAAGACATTTTAATATCTTCTTAATACATTTTATCTACTCATCTTTCTTTTCATTCATTCATCCTTAACACTACCATTGTTAGAAACTACCATCGACAACCATCATCTGTATCTACTAATATTAGAAACTACTATCATTAAAAACAACCATAACAACATTGTAAAATTAATCCCTCTTAAGATTATTAAAAGTTTTTATTTATCAATCCATCTTCTTCTTGTTCTTTTTTAATACTAATATTATTAGAAATTAGCTTGTCAAAAATTACTATTGTCGTTTATCATCATCTTCTTCTTCTTCTTTCGACCAACTCAATGCTAATAAACTATTTTGTGACCACAACCTTGTTAGTCTCTTTCTCTTTCTCATTCTAAGGTTTTCTCTTTTCCCTTTCCATTTTCAAAATCCCAACAAGGTGGTAATTTTCAACGAGTTAGAAGTAGAAAGACTAGAAACTATAAGAGTAGTCATTTAAGGATCAATGTGGCTAAGTTCTTTGGCAAAGTCATGTAAAAGAGTGTTTAAAATAATGATAAAAGTGTGATTGATATATCAAAGTAGAATGTTAATTATAATAATAGGGTGTGATAAAAAAGAAGAAGAAATAACAAAAGAGAAAGTGAAATAAGAGAAGATGGGTAGGTTATAAAGTTGGAGATCAAAGTAGAAGAAGACTTGGTGATGTCATTATTATCGGAGACGATGAGGTTGGTAAAAGGGTGATGTAGAGTGAGTGGAAGAAGCTAAAAAAATATCAATTTTTTGTTATATATTAATGTAATATGTCACTTTAATTGTTATGGAATGTTAAGGATATTTGATTGATTCAAAGGATTAAAGTGATTGATAGAAATAAAAATTATAAATTGAGGTAAAGATTTTAAATTTTTAAAACTTAAAATAGTTCACTTTAAAGATTAAATTCAAGATTTAGTCACAAAGAATTAAAAATTAAAGATTATTTATTCTCCTAATAACTTACAAAAGTTAAAATACTACATCTGAAAATTATCAAAACTTTAACTTAAACATTTTAAGTATGGTAATATCTTTTTATTTGTTGAGTGTGGTAAACTACTAAACCATTATTTTTAAAGTATAAAAATATTTTTATGCCTTTAATAAAATATATTTTATTTTAACCAGTGTTGTAAAGACACTAATTATCATTTTCTTTTTTAATTTTGCAAGTTTCTCTTTCATGCTCCTGCTAATCATGCGCTTCCCTATTCTTTGACACTCCAACAACCTTGTATCCTTGTATCAGTGCCAAAGTTGTGCAAAGGAACTAGATACAACTAACGAAAATATTAAATATAGATTTATTTTAGTGAAGATGTATTATTGTATGTATTATGACATGTTAATACTAGGGTGAATTTTAGATATTTATATTATTTAATAATTTTTTTAAAATATAAAATTGATTAATTTAATCATTGAATAATCTTATATTATTTTTATAATTACATATATTAAATTTCACATAATTTAAATAAATTTAGAGAGGTTAATAAATTTTCATATTTATTTATATTTAAAAATATAGTATCTATTAAAATAAAGGAACATAATGAATTACCTAATAATTCTATTTTGTATAAAATTTTATAAAATCTATTTATTTGATGAGAATATTTAATTCAAAAGATAAATAAGTGAATTTTGTAATTTAAAACAGATTATTAAATAATATAAATATTAAAAACTTAACACTATATATTTAAATATATACATATATATTTTATTTTTATTCCATCTTTAGTTAGTTTGAGTGAAACAAAGTTTTTATACCGATATTAAAACAATTTTAAAATTATCATATAATTCTAAAAACTAATGAAGTTAATATTTAAAAATAAATAAATATATATATATTGGTTGCTCCAACTGATTGTTGGAGGAAGAACACTGCACAAGGGTGTGAAATAGATAGCACTGTTATACTCTATTTTTGTATTAAAAAAGATAAGAGACAGACAAGAAAAACTAAATGAACTGTAACATTGCTTTGTTTTTCTTTCAAAAAACAGAGTAGGTAAAATCGTAAAAGAATGAAACATTGTTTATCTTCTGAAGCAAGTGAGAAGTGATGAGTAAAAAAAAAATATATATTTAACAGCAGTCACGTGGAGTAAGATATGACTATTCAGACCTCTTATTAAACAAAAAAAATAAAAACAAAATCTTCTGTAATTTGTTATTTCTGTTTTATTTACGCTTTCTGCTACATAAATAGCGTATGTAATTTCAAAAATGGCAAAACCACAAAGCAATAGCTTTTTTGCAGTGGCAAGCCCAAATTCCACTCCGCAAAAACGTTATAACAGGACAATAACCACTATTTGATATCACTGGATTCCTTAAAGGGTGTCCTAAATTTACATTAGTCCAAATTGAAAGGTTACGTTTAAAGATTGGCAATGTCAAATAATAAGACCTCTTGCCTCTTCGTTGAAGCAAAGCACTTCTATTAAGTAAACTTAGTTACTCTGAATATTTGTAAATAATATGAAGCACAATATTAGCACAATATTTATTAATGATCACTAGTCTGCAAAGGGATAAGCCTTGAGTCAAGTTGGAAGGTTGAACCACAAGGTATAAAGTGAAAGCATATTTGAAGCCAAACACACATGTTATCCCAAAATTTTCTTTCAAAACCTTTGATTATAACGAATAAAAGCAATTTCTCGCACCACACATGAAACAAAAACGTAAAGGCATTTCTCTACTACAAAAAATGGACATGATAGCCCTCTTCATGAGGCGCATTTAAGTCTTGCAAATGTTAAATAGCCTGTGTGACCTCGAGCTTCACTACAAGGTCTGGCCATGACAGAAGAAATAGGGCTGCTAAGCACATAGCTTCCATCCGAACATTGCTTCCTCTTGCTAGGAAGAGAAGCATTACAACCATTGCCGTCGCCTTGTAATCTTTCCATTTTCCCTTCCTGAACTTCATATGTGCGCAAGAGTATCTCAAATGTCCTTATATCTTTTACATTGCCAAAAATTTAAATGCAGATTCTGTCAGTCTAATAAAATTTGCGTGTATAACGTGAAAGAGAAAGAAAAGGCACAGAAATATAATGAAAATCAGAGAATATAGATGACAGAAAGAAGTAAAGCACAATAACTACCTGTGTAGCAGGTTCGAAGTGTTTCACATGATCGTTGAACTTGTTCAATGCAAGGAGAGAAAGAGCATAATGTGCCATCTTGTTTTAGCATTTTTGCAGCTGAAGGAATTGCGAGCCAAGGTTGAGGTAGATCCAAAAATACTGAGTCAGCCTTGCCCATAAATTCATCCGGAAATCCTTCACCCAGAATGTCCCTAACTCCCACACTAAGTAAGTTGCTTAAACCTGTCCTCTCAAAATCATCCCTACAAAGAAGAAATATTACGCGAAGATATGATTCAACGTTATACATAACCTAGTGAAAATAAAATAATTAAATAAACAAACAAAGAGTACAGTACAGTGTATTTATCAACTGGTTTCTAGATCTTTTTTATTTCCCAGATCCTGTTGAGTGAAATCCTTGCATGATCCAAGAAAACAGCATTGTTTTGAGAGGCATAGACATTTTGAATAACAGAGCATCGGATCACCCAAATATCTTGCTCACAATTTAGTAAGAACAAGGCCACAAAGCAAAATTAATAAAACAAGAGTTTAAATTTGGTCCATGGCCAATGTAAAATTTTTTATATTATCTAATTGTATGTTAGCACATCATTTAAAGAGTTGGACTTCCAGGGGACAGGTTGTGATAGTCAAATTTCTTTCAATGATTCGACAATACATGATAGGATGAGAGTGGAAATTAAAGCCACAAAAGTAAACCACAACATACAGATGAATGCTACATACAATACAAATATACAAAAACAAATTCTAAAGAGAAAATCACAATATCATTTTCCTTGTTTGTTACCTAGCTGATGCAGCCCTTTGTTCATGGAAATCAAAAGTATAGACGTGTCCTGTAGGAGCAACTGCCCTTGCAAGTGAAGTAGTCAAAGATCCACTTCCAGTTCCAGATTCAAGGACCAAACACCCAGGAACAATCTCCAAGTACATGATAACAAAGCTAATATCTGCAATATAGAGAATCTGAGTCCTGTGGCTTAACACTAGAGTCCATAATTCTGGTGTGGGAGCTAACAAGTACACAAACCCCCCCTTACTGCTGAATACTTTAGACCCAAAAGGCTTTCCTATCCAATCTGAATGTTTAAAAACGCCAAAACGATTCTGCAGGACTGAACCCTCAGACACTGTTACAGCCTTCATGTTGTCATGTCTTTCATAAACAATAACCAGATCGCCATTACTAATTGTTTTATTAAATGACAACCTTTTTGCAGAATCACAGGCCAACATCTTAGAAGTCTTCAACTCAGTTACTCAGCCAAAAAGAACAATTATCTGATAACCGAAAAAGTGAGAAACTAATGACGTGTTGTGGAAGTATAGCATTCAAGTCTAAAGTCATGAAAACATTAACCACAAACACTTATGCATTCCATTCAGCCCCAAAACTCAAACAGAAAATTTGAGCATAAAACTTATGAAAGTAAAACAAAATGATGAAAACTTGACACTCTGATCCCTGAATAACCTAGGTTAGCATCAATGAATGTAGAAAATTTCTTTGTTATACTATGGCCAAACTCTAACACTGTTGCTGTCCTAATGATAGGGTGAAGTGTGTTTTCAGCACCAAAATCCCTTGTTTTTTATTTTTTTTCTTTTCTTAACATAACTATAATCTATATAAACTTAGAGCAGAAGAAGAAAAAGCGAACATAAGTCACAAAAAAAAAAAATCACATGCTCATTGACATTCAGAAACTAGAAAAGATAAGAATGAAATAAGGCTGAAACAAACCAGAAGGTATTTGAGCTGAGCAAGCGTTAATCTTTACTCACTAATTAGTGGGTTTTCAACTTCAGGAAGTTGGGTACGCCTCCGATTAGAGTTTCAAAGCTTGCTCTGCGCTGCGTTCCATGGACCAGTAACGGCACCGATCTATATGAGGGGCTTTAACCTAAGAAACGAATTTTCAAAATACTAAACAACCAGCTAATGTTGCGGATAATTTAAATCTAAGGAATCGTCCAAAAAATTAAGGAAAAAAAATAAAAAAAATAAATATTAAATTACTAGAGATAATAATATACATAAACTTACATACATGCTGAAAAATATAAAATTAATATACAAATTTGGAACAAAACAAAAAAGAAAAACTCAAATTAGAGAAGGAAATAAATAACAAAAAGCAAAAGGTGCAGGAGCAGTCATTGCTTCTACTTGAAGCTTTGAAATTTGAAACAAAACAAAGTAGGAGAATCAAAACAGAGAAAGAAATAGAAAAAACAAAGAGAAATGAGAAGAAATGAAAGGAGAAATGAGAGGAGAGAGTTGAAAGGTGAGTTGAGGGGCTAGGGTCTGCGAGAGGGAGGGAGAAGATTCAGAAAATAAAGGGAGGCTGAAATCCCAATATTTCCCCCTTTAAAAGCCCCAAATGTTAAAAAAACAAAGGGCAGATTCGGAATTTTTAAGGAGAACAGCATAGCGGCTGCTACAACTGCAATTTCCAGCTGCTATTCGTGGCACGACAGCAGCGACACTAAACCGCGACGCTACAGGGTTGCCATAGTGGAACTTCGCCCACTACTACTAACAATTCTTTCATGCTGTATAGCAATTTATATTTTCAATATCTCTATAAATATTATCATTGATTTTACTATCTAAATCATTTTCCCAACTTTACAAATTGATATAAAGAGAAAGGAAACTAGCCTACGGTGGCTGATCATATCAGAAGAACACCAGAAACATAAATGAGAAAAATAATTCAAATATGATTAAGAAGAGTAAAGAGAGAAAGAAGAAACCATTAGCAACCCCCCTCTCTTTTTCTGGAACAACTTACATGGTAGCATTAAGGTTTGAATAAGGTTTTATGCAAATTATCCAAACGCCTCACTACTAAGCTAAGTTCTAGTGGCTTTAGTTAAAGTTGTATAGATAAACTTAATAATTTTTTTTGAAAAATCCATTTTTTCATAGCAACTAATAGGTCAATCGATGCCCATAGCACACCTCATTCTGGTGTGATTTAGTAGTTCTATTTATCATAGTTCTGAGTATCAAAGTTCAAATCAGTGTACATTGTTCACTTCATCAATAAATTTCCTTTAATTTTTTTTTCCCATAAAGCTCCCAACTCCCAAAACCAAAGGAATCAGAAATCAGAAATCAGAATAGGCTGCTTCGAAAAGGGTACAACAACAACAACAACAACCAAACCTTATCCCACTGAATGAAGTTGGCTACATGGATCACACGACATCATTGAGTTTGGTCAAAAAACAAATTTTCAAACGTATTATTCCTTCAATTATCAAAGAAGGTATTACTGTATTATTCCTTCAATTATCTTAATCTGTGCCAGTCAAAACCAACTAATGTGCTGTGCGATACAGATTAAAAAACGTGAGAATAGACATACAGAGTAGTTAATCTGAAATTGTTGTGGGAGTTGCTGTTGTCATCTCTATATCTTTGACAAACTTTGTAAGCTAGCTGTCAATCAAATTCATGAAAATCAAAGATGGCAAATGACAAGCCAACGAGGCCAAACACTAGTTTTATGCACACCAATAAAATATATCTATATCCAGACCAATAAAAGATTAATAATAATGTTAAAAGGAAGAGCAATATAGTTCATACTATTATTATATAAATAATCACCAACAATCCATCGGGGTCAAGTTATACTAGGTTATTGATCCCAATAACCAAACCTCCCATTCATATTGAGGGGAAATCGAAGAACTCACACATAAGGTATAAATCAACGTAAAGATAAGAATTGAAACTCATTTTCTTATCTTACATGTTTCCACATTAAAATGTTCATACTTTCATCAATCACTCAGCACCAACTTTATGAATATTATATACATAGATGATATTGCGTGATAAAAAGCTGCTAACAAATTTTGTAATTTAAGCAAAGTATAGAAGCTAGAATGCACAATAGTACTCTGAAAAAAGGTTTGTTAGCAAACTAGCAAAGAATTAAGTGTAGAGTATAACACGCTTAGAAAACAAAATAAGCAATGACAAGAACAATCTTGATGTTAAATAAATGAATCCGTCAATTCAGCTTAGACTTGCAAACGTGAACTTTATTGGATTAGATTGATTTTAATAATTCTAACTCAAAGTTCTTCCATCCTTCTAAACCGATAGTCATTGCCAATTTTTCTCAGGTGTTCTAAGTTTTCACCTAAGTTGAAATTCTAGCTTACCCAACTAAACACTACTTAAAACAAGTAATGGAATATAGTAAAGCGCGAACTACTAAGCCGCAACATCAGTGGAAGTACCTGTTTGTAGAATACACACACTGTTACTCATTATCTTAAGGGTAGAGACTAGAGAGCATAATGTCAAAACCACATCAACTTTGACAGTCCCAGTGAAATGCATCACACACATTTGGAATGAAATTGCAGCAAGTATAAAAATAAAAAATAAAAAATAACTTAAAAATTCTAAAGATAATAGCGTTAGAACTTAAGGAAAACCTAGAAGTAGAAGTAGATTAAGAAGAGAGGTCTCACAAGGCAACTGAGGTACAAAAGAATATTGGAGTTCAGAGGAGAAAACTTGTGCGCAACTGCAAAATAGAAATTGTTTCAGCCAAAAATTCCCAAATCGGCAAGAGGAAAACAGTGTGTGATGGTGTAAACCTAGCACTGATGCATGAAATGACAGGTTGGCAGTGTTCCCACGTGTTTGGTTGCCGAGAAAGACTTGGAAAAGAAAAGAAAAGAAAATCAAGATTTGATAGGATCGTTTAAGTTTAACGGGTCTTTTTTTGTTTAATCAAAGAATTAGGATAAATTTTAGTGTACACTTTTAATTTTTGATTTATAAGTATATTTTAGTGTATGTATGTATATTTTGGTGGATAAATTTTAGTGTATATTAAGGTGGAAAAAAGAATTTATGTTGAATTTATGTTATGGACAGTAGAGCTGTCAAAAAAACTCAATAAATCAAAAACCCTATAAACTAAAAAGCTCATTGGGCCAGGGTTAGGGTTAGGGTTTTAAGAGCCAAATTTTTTTAATAATTATAAGTTTTTAACTTAATTATTAAACACACTTGCGTCAATTTATTTATATTAATTGACAGGAAGTAGAAATCTTTTGCCCAACTACCCTTCAAGTGTCGTATATCATGTATATCTCTTTTGTATATTCTCAGTTTTGTTGTTAAAATTTACCACAGTATTATAATTAATGTATATTTCACAAATTAAACAACAATATATTTCTTCGAAATAAATCTCTTATTTTTTGTCAAATTAGTTCCCGCATCAATAAACTATAGTTTACAATTAATAACTTTTTCATATCATTCATTCAAAGAAAAAATACAAATCTGAACACTCATCATTGAATAACTAAATAATTTAAAGTTACAACAACTATGAAAAAAATATGGCATAAACATTATTATTTATACTTCGATGAGAAAATTTTGAAAAGAAAGATGAAATAATAGAAAATATACGCGCATATCATATTGTTTTACTGGAGAATGGTATACTGAATTTAATTTAAAAAATATGTACTAACATATTAAAACTTGAGCAAAGAGTGATGAATAGATGACAATTTGACTACCTCAAAGCCAGTAAATTTGAGACACTAACAGATTGTATATTTTGTAATTCAAAAATTTACAATTTTCATTCTTAAACTTATGGCACCTAAAAAAACGGTGCTAAGCTACCACTTATAAATTTAAATTATCAAAATATTAGAATAATTAAGACCCTCAAAAGTTAATTCCAGTCAGCAAGTGCCATTTGACTACAACTTGCAAATTGACACAAAAAACTGCAATGTCAATTTTTCTCCTATGAGACAGGGATAGAAGGCAGAAGAAAACATATAACTTAAAACAATTTGGCAACCATTCATTACTCATATTCCACTTCCACCAGAGATCAACTAACCCTACTGAACCAACTCTGGACCCAACAGTGCATTTTTTTTTTTTAGTAAAGAAGATAGATAGCATATGCAAACACATATAAAATACAAATACTAAGCCAAGTGAAAATTTGCATCAATCCACATCATATTCAAATAAAAACCAACTCTTATAATAAAAAACATCACACCACGGTAATTTTAGGAAGCTCTGGACTAATAAGTCACGTTTGCAGTAAATATTTCTTGATTGTCAAAACCACAAAAGCATGGATGGGAGGAAAATAGAGAAATCCAACAAAAATTTAAACAATCATTTGATGTCAACCAAAAAGCAAAAGACTGAAACATATTAGTATAGAAGATCATAACCAAATATGCACAGCGCAGGTTGATGTAAGGAAGCTATGTAGTTGAATAGCATGTTTATGTCAAGCCATAAGCTTCACTAGGTAGAAACAGAGAAATCCAGCAGCACTGAAGAAAAGTAGTATTTTTGTAATCCCAGCTAATGACAAACAAATTATGTTGATTTGAGTATTCAATTAACACCATACTAACTTTTTCATTAATAGCATTCAGAAAGACATAAAACGTACAATTGTATCATGTACCGCTACACTTTTGAGCAAATAGTGAGAGTAAAAATATAACTATTTTCTAAAACATTTTTCAACTAACAAAGTAACATTCTCAATAAAGATCGTAAGGTCAGAGATCTACTACTACTGGGGAACAAACAAACAATTGAGATACTGATACTGAATGTGGCTAATATGAATGTGGAACAGTTTCTGCAATTGAATTCAAAACTAAATTCAAGAGAGAAAATATTGAATTCTGATTGAGATAAAATAGAAGTGTAGGATACTTAAGTAGAGAACCTTGATGAAGACGACGATGAGTGATTGTATCGAAAGCTGAAGAAACCAAATCAAAAGTTGAAGAAACAACTCCAACGAGAGAAGAAGGAACCGTATAGAGGCAAAGAACGTGTAATTTTGTAAATAATTGAGAATGGTAAAAAATTGGGATTAGGGTTTGCTCAACAAAATTTAGAAGTATTTCTTGGGTCAGGGTCAACTCATGGGTAACCCTACCCTAACCCTATATTATGGGGCTAAATAAATTAGGGTTAAATTAAATTATTTTAACTAATATTAAAACAGAATTTAATAAATTATTTTAGAGTTGAGTAGCGTTAGTCTCAGGGCTTTGACTCTTTTTGACAACACTAGTTAGTAACATTATTTTGAACGACTATGCATTAATTATTTCAAAATAAAAATATTTTTTTTCAAAAAAATGAGCAAGAAAAGGCCACGTGTTTCTGGCTCAGTTGGGATGCTAGAGATTAGAAATGCTTCTCACTTGTCAGCAGCATTGCAAAAGGGAGTAACTTCTTCTTAAAGAAAACTAATTATTCTTATAAAAGTCATTTTGCTAAACAAAATACTTTTCAGAACTTTAATTTTATTTTATAAAGAGAATTATATTGATTTAGTATTCAAACGATATTCTTTTTAACATCAACTTGATTCCAAAGTTATTAATTATTAAGACCAAATTAATTTCACGTATTGATAAAAAATTATCAGAACTAATTTTATTGGACGACATTAGGAGTTACTCCCTATGATCCTTTTTATAAGAAATAAAATGGAGTATTTTTTTTGTATCCCTATTATAAGAAACAAATGATAGATTCAAGATGTATTAATTGTTAAATTTTTTATACCATTCTTTTATTAGTATCATTAAATATATAAATTAATAATTATACCATTTAATATCATGAATATTTTTAAAATAAAATTTTTATTTATGAAAAATATAATAAAATTAATTATTTTCTTTAATATAATGATTTAATTTTTTATTTTTTATAAAAAAATTAAAAAGAGTATTATACTTGTTATTAATAAAGTTTTTGTGCGAGAAGAAAGTGACTTTTGTTAATTCATAGAAAAAGTCATAAATCAAATCTCTAGATAAAAAAAAAAAAAAAGTCGCCGGTCGATTGTACAATATAAGGGAAAATCTCACATGGATAAAAGTAATGAAAGTGCAACAGTTCAACTGATTCTGGCCTTTTATTTCAGTCATAGAATGCATAGCAATTAACAATATAATATAACTGCAAACGAAACTAAGAAAGTGACTCTCTTTGTACTCTTTCCTAAGTCAGTAGTCAAATACTCAAGACAAGAAGATAAAGGTTGCGGGTCAAATGTACAATACAAGGAAAAACCTCACATGGATAAGAAATGATAAAAAAGCAACAGATCTACTGATTGTGTGATCTTAGATTTCTGTTGAGGATTTGTTTGTCATAAGAAGCAAGACAATTGATCAGAATCACAGGACTTTGCAAAAGATGGATATCAACCAAGTGAAGGGAGCTGAAGAGTTGTTTCAGGCTCAGGCCCATGTATATAACTATACTTATAGTTACATTGGTGCCATGTGCCTCAAAAGTGCAGTTCATTTGGGAATACCAGACATAATCTACAAACATGGCCAACCCATTACTATACCTGAGCTGGTCTTGGCACTTAAGATTCACCCTACTAAATCTGGTCATGTGCACAGGCTTATGCGTTTGCTGGTGCATGCTGGCTTCTTTGCTACAACCAAGGTTATAAAAGATGCCAAAGAAGAAGCGGTGTATGATCTCACACCTTCCTCTAAGCTTCTCGTCAAAGAGAATGTTCCAACCTTGTCTCCTTTTGTTCGGGCAATGTTTCATCCTGCTCTCGTTCACTCATCAGAATTCTTGGCTGAGTGGTTTCACAGAGATGAGCACACACCCTTTCACACTGCATTTGGCACTGGTTACTGGGACTACTTGAGCCAAAACCAAGAGTTTAATAGCCTCTTCAATGAAGCAATGATTAGTGATTCTGGGATGATCAATTTGGTGATCAAAGATTGCAAATCTGTCTTTGAGGGATTGAATTCATTGGTTGATGTTGGAGGTGGGAAAGGAGGTGTAGGTAGGATAGTTTCTGAGTCCTTTCCTAATTTGCATTGGACTGTGCTAGATCTTCCACATGTGGTTGAAAATTTGTCAGATAGCAGCTATTTGAAGTTTGTTGGAGGTGACATGTTTCAGTCTATTCCTTCAGCAGATGCCATTCTTCTCAAGGTATGCAAATTATTCACCTTTGCAAAAACTGTGTCACATATTTTAAAGCTTTCTTATCTTAATTGTATATAGCATAGCCTGGACATATAGTTAATTTGTAATACTTTTTTAGTGGTGATTTCTGAAAATTAAAGTAAGAGGGTAGCTTTAAATTGATTAATTGTGTATGTGGCAGTTGGTGTTGCATGCTTATAGTGATGAAGACTGCGTTAAGGTACTGAAGAAATGCAGAGAAGCTATTTCAAGCAAGGGTAAGGAAGGGAAAGTGATTATCATAGACATAGTGATCGGTGAGAAGAATGAAAAGCATGAACTGACAGAAGCAAAGCTGTTTTTTGATGTGTTAATGATGGTTCTGGTGAGTGGAAGAGAGAGAGAAGAAAAAGAATGGGAGAAACTCTTCTTGGAAGCTGGATTCAGTCATTACAAGGTAACACCCATCTTTGGTATGAGGTCACTGATTGAAGTTTATCCTTGAATTGAATTGCTCTCGATAAATAATCTCCCTTCTCAGGAGCAGATGCAGTAATTTATGCATTGCTATTATGTTGCTTTCTATAAAGGATAATAAAATTATGTACTAGAGTCGCCTGATCTTTATGCCAAAAACTCTCTTGAAGATTGTACAGTTCTTATGGTGTGTAATTGTTTATCATTTGTATAAAAAAAAAAAAATTTATGGCAGAGCTGTATTTTTTTGACTTCACAGTCTCAACGGCTTTTATTTAGCACCTAGTGGCAAAAACAATTGACCAAACGTTATCATATGACTGGCACCCCACGTCAATTCAAAACTTGACTTACCTAAATAAAAACAAACTGAGCTATCTCTTTCGGACTTTCGGTGAATTCAAGAGTATCCGAATAATATTAGGTGATCTGAGAGGATAGTAACATGCTCCACTGGATTAATAGCACCTGAATAAAAAATATAATCAACTTATAAATAAGATGAAAAAAGTCCACTGTATTATAATTCTTTTGAAGTGATGGCTATATACCAGTAAATTGAAGAAAATATTTTATATTTTTTTAGATTAATAGTTGTTATTTTTTTAATATTATAAAAAATATTAACCTCTTTTTTAATTAAATTATTAATTTTATTATTTATTAATATAAAATTATCAGTAACGATTATTTCACGTAAAAAAAATAATAGCAAACTTTTTAAATTATAAATGGTATCTTTTAATAAATTTTTTTATAAAGAATCCTACCGATTCTTTCTTTATTGGGCTTCGTTTACTTACAAAAATCCAATTTATTTTGTTTGAGTGACACAGTAAATTGTTTAGAAGATGCACGTGTTTAAATTGTCCCTTCTCCTCTTTTAGGAGAATTCTTTCTCTTTATGAGATTTTTTTTCTTCCATTTTCTCGAACTTAGTTTCTCCTTAGACCGCCAACTTCGCTTCTCCCTCCAGTCAACTCGTCAGATTTTCTTTAACTATGTTTCCTTTTCCCTCATATTATATGGTCTGTTAAAACTATCTTTAACTCCGATTTATGGTAAAGATACAACTATTTGTATTTGTTTAATCTCTTCCATTACTAGTTTAGTACAAAAGTTGAATCGAGGTAAAGCAAGAAAAGAAAGGATAACAACGGAAGTGTAGGAAAAATTTATTGCTTTTGTTTAACTGGACCGCTCAATTCGTACCAAAACAAGAGAAGATCTATATCCTGTATTTTCTCAATTATTATGTGAAATCATGTATAATATCATCAGGTTAAAAAAATTTCATCCTCATGATTCAGAGATTATTTAAGGTATTTAGCTATATCTTTTAAAAGACTAATACTTGAAATAAGTTATCACACATTTATTTTTCATTTATTGTATTTAATAAAATATTAATAGCACTAACAATCAATAAATATTTGATGATTGAGATAGATTATATTTATAATAAATAAATATTTAATTCATTAAAAATTAAGAAAAATAATTATGTCTTACATTTATTTTATAATATTAAATGGTTAAATTAGTATATTATATATTAAGAAATAATGTATTTATTTTTATAGACAAAAGATGATTATCTCAATAATATAAAACTTATAATAAATAAATGTATAAAAAAAATTAATAATCAATATATCTCTGATTAATCCATATTTTGTTAATATTTTGCCTACTTTTTTTTATAGATTTTTAATAGAAAAAAAAATGAACTTAAAAATTGTAAATAGTATAAAAATCTCATTTGTGTTAATTATCATAACTTTCTTAATTTTTGTTCAATTTACATTGATTTTTGTAAATATTTCTTGCAATTTTACGCTCTTGAACAATTATGTAGGAATATCTAGACAAATTTTGTAGATATTAAGCTTTTGGGAAGAATTGGAGTGAAAGTAACTACTTTCAGTGCCAAAAGTAATCACTACAACAAGTTAATTCCAAGGGACAGACTACAGTACTACTTTCAAAAGTAAAAGTAATTACTACAGAGTCAGAAGAGAGGTGCAGACTTGTGCATGTTCACTATCGTTGATGATAGTGAACACGACAAAGAGCCCCCAGTGTACGAAGGGTGTGCATGTTTACTTTCAACACTTATAGTAAACACGCGCACACATGCCAAAATTTAGAAGCTGTGCGAGTTCACTATTACTAGCCATAGTAATTATGCACGCTACGTTTAATTTAGTGAAAGTGAACAGTACAAAAAGGGAAATCTTCATGGAGCTGCGCATAAACACTATTAGCAATGATAGTAACTACTTTGGGAGGCGTTAACTTCACTATAAATAGGATTTTTACTTGTAAGGTAGGAATCTTTTTACCAATTTAGTACTTTTTTTATTTTGGGACACATTTTGCAAAGTTTAGGTCAAATCTTAGGCAGCGTTTGGTTGCAGGACAGAGACACTGAGACACGGAGGTACGCGTATCATGTTTAGCTAGTGTCTCGTTAGAGAGACAGAGACATGAAAGACACAGGAGACACAAATTTGAAAGACACTAGTGTACTTCCTAAAAAAGGGGGGGACACTAGTATCTCAGCTCCAGAGACACAAAGGGTAAACTTGTAAAAACAAAAAAAAGACACTAGTGTCTCTGTCCTTATTGTCTCAGTGTCTCTATCTCTAGTGTCCAGGGATAATAATCAAACACTGCCTTTATAGCCAAGATTTCATATTAGGGTTTAATTTTTACTTCCTCTTACTTTCTCTTGATTTTTACTTTAGTTTCACTGATTTTTATTGATTCTCAACTTTGTAATGATGAAACCCATGCTTATCGAGGGCTAAATCTTGCTGTTAATCTCTAATGAAGTTCATATGAATTCTTGAAATCCTGGGTTTAATGTTAATAAGAATTCCTTTCATAAATTTCTTCTTCCCCAATCTCTTAAAACTAAGTTAAGGATTAAATAGAGGGTGTTGCTTAATTAAACTTTATTTTGTTTTTTAACAAAGGGTTCAAAACTTGGTTTGCCTAATTCTAGGTTTAATTTTAAGGTTACTTAATCCTAAGGATTAGGGATTGAAGTTCATGTAATTTGCTTAATTTTGCAAGGAACTTTAAGGTTGATTGACGCTTGTTTAATTAATCTAATTTGTAGGGAGATTGAAGTATTAAATTCTAAGAGGATTTGTGATAGAATTAATATGGACAAGCTAAGTGTTAACATATTTTGTTAATTGAATCTTACAAATTAATTTTCTATTTGAGTGAATTAAAATTGAAACTACCCCTCTTTTTGTTTGTTTAATATTCACAACATGTTCGATGTATGATTTATATCCAATGTTAATGCGATGGCGACCTAGATTAGCACCCTAGTATTGCATTAATTTATGTTTAAATTTTGACGAGGGTATCAATCTCAAAAACAAAATATTTGTTTCTTATATCTAATATATATATATATATATATAGCTATTTTTATATATATATAAGTGAAGGTAGTACAATGAACTCTTCTATTTACTTTTATTTCAAGTTCAAAAATTATGTTGAAATCTACTTTTTAATTTTTTATTAATTTAAAATTAAATAAAGATCAATATAACTTTGAAGATCCAATCTATTTTCTTCACTCATTCAATATTCTAAACAAAATAATTCATAAAAAATGACAAATTATTTTATTTTACTAAGAATTTATTAAATCCTTAATTTAATTTTTCAGACGATTAATATCAAATATTTTAGTATTTGAAATTTTAAAATTTCAAAGTTAATCCTTAACTTTTGTCTCCAATTAATCATTTTAATTTTTTGAGTCATACACCATGAACAAAGAATACCATAATGTTAACATGTTACATTAAGTGAAATGTATGATTAATTGTCTAAAAATAATGTTTTATATAGTGTGATATATATATTTTTATTATATTTTAGTCCTTAAAATTATTAGCGTAAGACATTTTAATATCTTCTTAACACATTTTATCTACTCATCTTTCTTTTCATTCATTCATCCTTAACACTACCATTGTCAGAAACTACCATCGACAACCATCATTGTATCTACTAATATTAGAAACTACTATCATTAAAAACAACCATAACAATATTGTAAAATTAATCCCTCTTAAGATTATTAAAAGTTTTTATTTATCAATCCATCTTCTTCTTGTTCTTTTTTAACACTAATATTATTAGAAATTAGCTTGTCAAAAATTACTATTGTCATTTATCATCATCTTCTTCTTCTTTCGACCAACTCAATGCTAATAAACTCTTTTGTGACCACAACCTTGTTAGTCTCTTTCTCTTTCTCATTCTAAGGTTTTCTCTTTTCCCTTTCCATTTTCAAAATCCGAACAAGGTGGTGATTTTCAATGAGTTAGAAGTAGAAAGACTAGAAACTATAAGAGTAGTCATTTAAAGATCAATGTGGCTAAGTTCTTTGGCAAAGTCATGTAAAAGAGTGTTTAAAATGATGATAAAAGTGTGATGGATATATCAAAGTAGAATGTTAATCATAATAATAGTGTGTGATAAAAAAAGAAGAAGAAGAAATAACAAAAAAGAAAGTGAAATAAGAGAAGATGGGTAGGTTATAAAGTTGGAGATCAAAGTAGAAGAAGACTTGGTGGTGTCATTATCATTAGAGACGATGAGGTTGGTGAAAGGGTGATGTGGAGTGAGTGAAAGAAGCTAAAAAAAATATCAATTTTTTGTTATATATTAATGTAATATGTCACTTTAATTGTTATGGAATGTTAAGGATATTTGATTGATTCAAAGGATTAAAGTGATTGATAGAAATAAAAATTATAAATTGATGTAAAGATTTTAAATTTTTAAAAATTAAAATAGTTCACTTTAAAGATTAAATTCAAGATTTAGTCATAAAGAATTAAAAATTAAAGATTATTTATTCTCCTAATAACTTACAAAAGTTAAAATACTACATTTGAAAAGTATCAAAACTTTAACTTAAACATTTTAAGTATGGTAATATCTTTTTATTTGTTGAGTGTGGTAAACTACTAAACCATTACTTTTAAAGTATAAAAATATTTTTATGCCTTTAATAAAATATATTTTATTTTTAACTAGTGTTGTAAAGACACTAATTATCATTTTCTTTTTTAATTTTGCAAGTTTCTTTTTAGTGCTCCTGCTAATCATACGCTTCCCTATTCTCAACACTCCAACAACCTTGTATCGGTGCCAGAGTTATGCAAAGGAACCAGATACAACTAACAAAAATATTAAATATAGATTTATTTTAGTGAAGGTATATTATTGTATGTATTATGACATATTAATACTAGGGTGAAACTTAGATATTTATATTATTTAATATTTTTTTTAAAATATAAAATTGATTAATTTAATCATTAAATAATCTTATTATTTTTATAATTACATATATTAAATTTCACATAATTTAAATAAATTTAGAGAGGTTATATAAATTTTGATATTTATTTATATTTTAAAAATATAGTATCTATTAAAATAAAGCAATATAATGAATTACCTAATAATTCTATTTTGTATAAAATTTTATAAAATCTATTTATTTGATGAGAATATTTAATTCAAAAGATAAATAAGTGAATTTTTTAATTTAAAACAAATTATTAAATACTATAAATATTAAAAACTTAACACTATATATTTAAATATATATATATATATATATAGATTTTATTTTTATTTTTATTTTCATTCCATCTTTAGTTAGTTTAAGTGAAACAAAATTTTTATATCGATATTAAAGATTATCGTATAATTCTAAAAACTAATGAAGTTAATATTTAATATATATATATATATATATATATATATTATACTAGTAAAGATATGTAGATTTTTTAATGGTGAATTTAAAAAAATATAATAACATATCAATAAATATTTTTTTTAAAAAAATATGATATATAATATTATTAATATGTTAATTTTTTTAATAAAATTTGATTACATATAAATTTTTGTTATAGTTTACAATATATTTGATAAAAGATTACGCGTTGCCTCCAATTCAGGTTTCCTTGAGCATATCAATGATTTATCCCATGAAGATTCGATTTTAGAATACAAAACCTGTTCCTTCGCGGCAACGCCTTTTGTCCTCCATAAGCCATGTTCTCTGTTCCTCTCTGTAGTGTTCTAGCTGTACAAATCAATAATTCCAATGTCTCCAAATAAAGTAGGGACATATGGTGGGAAATATAGCAAGTTGCAATTGATTGTCAAATTACCAAAGGTCAATGATATCCTTAAAGAAAATTAAATGCTAATCCGAAAGATGACCGTGGAATTCCACTAACTTCATTTGTTTATAACTTAAGACTGATAAAACTCCAATTCTCCACTACTCCTTAATTAGGACTCGTAGCAAGGAACAACATAAACATGAAGTTCCATAAGGAATACCTGGATCTGATTTTGGTCCCTTCTGGGTTGCTGGTCATGTTTGCTTATCACCTCGTTTTGCTTTACAAATATATCAATCAGCCACACACTACGGTCATGGGATTTGAGAACAACGACAAAAGAATTTGGGTTGAAAGAATTATGCAGGCAAGTAATCCTCATCCATTCTTCTATTTGATTCAAGGAAAAATGTTAACTTCTTTAAGACTGAATTTAAGCACCTTTTTTTCAATAGAAATTCGTTGTTTTTGAGTACTTAAACTCAACACTGAGATTAACATAATCTTTGATTGAAAAATCAAAACCCCTTTAATTATTTTGCTTGTTTTTAACCAGGTTGACAAAAGGGATGTTGGCACAGCTCTGTCTGTGATTCAATCGAACACCACTGCTGCTACATTTTTGGCCTCAGTGTCCTTGACTCTTTGTTCTCTTATTGGAGCTTGGATTGCCAATAGTTCCAACATTTTCTTCCAGAGTCAATTGATCTATGGTGACACTAGGCCAACCACCATTTCTATAAAGTATATTTGCCTACTGACATGCTTCCTCCTTGCTTTCTCATGCTTTGTTCAAGCAGCAAGGCACTTAGTTCATGCAAACTATTTGATAAGCACCCCAGATAGTTTTATCCCATTGAGTAGTGTGGAAATAGCAGTCATAAGGGGTGGTGATTTTTGGTCACTTGGCCTTCGAGCTCTCTATTTTGCTCTTAACTTGTTGCTTTGGTTTTTTGGGCCAATACCCATGTTCATTTGCTCAGTTGCTATGGTGATGATCCTCCAATATCTTGACTCTAATTCAAGGCCATTGCATTCTAATGGATCTCAGGGAGGCCAGTTTCAGATGGGAAAGAGAAACTATAACGTATGAAGGAATAGCTAAGCTGCAACAAGGAACAGGCATTGGTTTATAATGAGGCATAAGATTAAACTATCTTGGTAAAAGGAAGAAATAAAAAAGTTGAGAATTGTACAATTCTACTACATCAAATCCAAAAAAGAAGAGTTTTAAATCACGTTTTAAAAATATTGGAGAACCTATAAGATTCTAATGGGATTATATATGTTAGACCTTGCAGTGCATGAATGAGTGTGTCAATGCGTAGTAGGTAGGTTGTATCAAAATGAGTTGCTAAAGGTGGAAGTAGATTGCTACTCAAGGACCTATACATAAAACCTTAAGAATTCGATTTAAACTTACATAAGCAAACACTTGTTTATTTTTTTCAAGTAAATATAATTATACCGTTGAATAACAAGGATTATTTTTCTTACAAGTAAAGCTCTTTATTTATTTGTAATTGTGAATGACAATAGCGTGACAGCTGGATCTAAAATTATTGTCAATTTTATGGCTAATTACTTGCGGCACAAGTATAAGTGTCACTCTCGTCCTTGCTTACACGGAATTGGATAAGAAGATTAAAATCATAAACAAATATGCAAATCGTATAAGCTTTCTTTTCAATTCCATATTTGAGATTCAATGCTTCAAACATGTTTGGTAAGTCCTGTAAAGTTATATGCATTATTATATTACTTTTCTAAAAATATTACGATAAAATTGGTTTATCAAATACATAAGACATCGTTATTTGTCAAAAATATAAAAATAAAGACATCGTTACATCAACTTTTCAATAAATTTATTGTCAAAATAATCTCTTAAAAATTTAAAATAACTTCATATTCATATTTGTAAAAGAAATAAAATAATGACACAAAAGGACAAAAAAAAATAACAAATTTAGCAATAAATTAAATCTTTTAAGGAGAAAACTAAATGGTGTAACATGTAACGTGAGTCAAATTGGATAAATCTATTTAAAAGGATAAATATTCCTAGGACTTATTGTTTTATTTATAAAACTTGAACTCGAGACATTTATCATTAAACCATTAGTCATTAGTCAGATTCATTTATTTTTAAAAGAAAAATTATAACCCTTCATTTGAACAAAATTCGGACATGCGAATTAAAAGGTCCAGCTTATTTGCCAACTGGGGTAAAACAGTCGTTTTATATCCCATTATTGAGTATGTATTTTTTTTAACTTGTGCAAAAGAATACATCATAAGAATTTATATATTTAATGTATTGACACTTAGAAATACTATAATTTTAATAAAAAAATATTATTTTTTTATTATGTGTTTTTTGCACAGGTTTTTTTTATTTTTTTTCTGTAAAACACCCATAATTGATCTTTAGAATTCCATCTAAACCCAATACCCAATTGAGGCCTTGCCTACCTAGTCATTATGGGCCTGCTCCCTATCTGACAGGCCTTCAGTTATTAATGATCCTTGTTTATAAATTTTGCAGTTCAAGTTTCAGCCAGTTCAGGCTAACTGGACCACTGATATGACCCACTTTTGCAAGCAACAGGCTAACTAAAGGGTTGGAATTAAGTTTGAATCCCACTGCATTGTAGACCAAAAACAATATCTCAGTGCATTCATTTTTGTTGACTAGAGTGCTCTCTCTCTCTCTCTCTCTCTCTCTCTCTCTCTCACACACACACACACACACACACACACCACCCCAGAAAGGAATCGTTACCATTTTAGAATAATTTTGATAAAGTAGGCCTTCAGTTTTCGCCAGCCATTTTCTTCATGTTTAACATGATATTTCAGATGCTTAAACATGTATACCATTTTCCTTTTTAAAAATAATGATAACATGTATAGCAAGATGTTTAGTGGATTTAAAAAATATATTTATACATCACGTACTTGGTTTTTTTGCAAGTTAATAATTTGCTGGTCCATAGCTTCTAAAGAAGAGACCCAGGCTAATATCATAGCCCCAATTGAGACATGCGTGTGACGTAGACTACTCAAGTTCCATAAACATAAATTAATAATTAAAATTCTTATGACTGCAAAAGAAAGAGCAGTCCCTTTGAAAACGACATATTCTGTTTCTCAGAAAAATTTAACAACATAAGAATACAAGTGCCACAGGGAGAGGGACCAGCACCATAAACCAATCCGGAGAAAATTTCAGATTCCAGGGAGAACCCCAAAACAAAGAATTTTAGCCACATCACATAATAAATTATCCATCTTATTTATTAACTTTCCTCTTCACAACTCAATTTAAGTGTTAACAAATATTTATTATGCTAAACCCATTTCTATGTTCACAAAATCCACACTTAACTAACAGCATCAACTTGTATTCTAATCTTGTTTCAAAGAGTTGTTCTTACCAATGTTATCTACATTAATATTTCTGTTTGCAACTTCGCAAATACTTATTTATGTCATTTTTGTTGTCCAAAGTCAGTTATACACAATACCTTATATTCAGTGTGTATCCATAAATAAATAATATAAATATTAATAATTTTAACATTTAACTTTATAAAAATTTTACTTTAATTTTAATTTTTATAAAACAATATTTATTTTATTTTTAATATAAAGTTTAATAAAAATCAGTAAATTTTAAAACATTGATGATTAAAATAACTCTTTTATAAAATTAATCTACATTTATAACTTTATGAATTAAAATAAATATTTGTTTTAAGAAAAGCATTACACGTTTATTCATAAACCAATAATTCTTTTTTTTATTTGACGTCGTACTGATGTAGGCTGAATTTTTTTTCCCACCGAATCTCATCAATTTTATCCTCGCTTGCTTTCATTAGCAGCTCCACGGTAGACATTGAGTTTAATTTTAATATACACATGTAAAAAAATAGTATCAATTAATTAAAAATTATGATAGATGTAATTTTTAAATAGATAGTTTCGAAATTAATATTTAAATATATAATAATTTTAATTTGATAATAATATAAAGATATATATCATCAGTGTATTTTCAGTAATTTCTTAATTGTTTGAGATTATACTTTCTAAGTATGTTAATTATTTTAAACGTGTTATGTAATATTTAATTTATTGTAGAAAATAGTATTTTTGTTAAAATTAACATCAATGTTGGCATTGTTTAAAAATTAAGATTTTACATATTCAAAATAAAATTAATTTATAAATTTTGTTTCTTCAAAAAGTAACATTCAGAAATTAGAATTTTATACTTTTAAAAATATTATTTGAAATTACAATTTTACGCTTTCAAAATTTTTATTTCTGAAATTAAGTTTTTATACTTTAAAAAATCATTTCTATAATTATCAACAATTTTAAAAAAATAAATTTTCATGATTAAGATTTTACACTTCTAAAATTAACTTTTCAAAGTGTAAAAATTGGAAGGAAAAAAGTGTAAAAATTTAATTTTAAAAATTTATGCTAATCTTGAAAAATTATTTTAGAAAATAATTAATAATTCCGAAAAATATTTTTCAAAAACATTAAAAAGGTAATTTTAAAAACTTATTTAAAAGCATCTGTTTATTATTACAAAAGGTATTTTTGAGAAAAAAAGTGCAAAAAGTAACTCCTTACAAAAACAATGCCGAAATCTAATAAAGTCTAATTATTTAAATTTTTTTTAGAGTTCTTGCAAGTTTAACCTGCATCAAATTTTAGTAAATAATGATGAAAGACTCCAATTTAATCTAACTTATAATTTTAAATCAAAATCCTATATTTTTAGAGGCAAGTTTGAATAACTTGATTAAACTTACTTAATTTATCTACTTTAGTTGAAAGCAATTTATAATTTTTTAATGTTAATTAATAATCAAACCATCCATCGTAAAAAATTAAATAGAAAACATCTTCATGGTCAACGTTTAAAACTTCAATTTACAGTATAGAAGTCGACATTTTTAATTAAATGAATTTAATCCTTACAGAAAAAACAAATCAAATGTTATTATACATTTATATTTTGTCATAGTATCTTGAGTGAAAATAAAATAAGAAAGGTAGAAATTTGTTGACTGCGTATGAGTAACACTGCATAATACATTAATTAAGGAGTCTAAAATGAGTAAAGCTGTAATATTAAATATTTATAATAATTTCAACACGCTAAATATAGTTATAAGAATATGACATGATAATAACATTACTCATAAAATTTGTCGAGGAAGATTTGCCTTTTTTAAATCTTGTTTGTCCAGTTCAAGAAAAGGTAAGATGCGAAAATTAAACGAATAAAATTTATATAACGAACAACAAACATATTGTAATTGTTAACATAAAATTATGGTGTAAAAGAAAAATCTTGTTTACTTCTGATTCCTCTGACGAATAAGAAGTCCCACCTAAAAGTGTAGACCCCTAGCTGGGGCTTTGCATTGCAACGCACTTCATTCTATTTTTCCCCATTTCAAGTTTCAACCACCGTTTAATCGTATATATTGAATCTAACAAATGGCAATTTAATTAGAAGCTCTTTATGACTTGATGGCGTTAATATAAATTTAATAATATTTTGGTAGATAAAAGAGCACAAAGGTGGAGCAGTATGGAGCAGAGGATGCAGTGTGACGTAGCAGAGTAAATCCACCCTTTTTGGGTCTCTACGTTCCAGGTATCACGTTCCCATACAGAGAGAAAGAGTGGGTGGGTCTACGAGGCTTTAATTGAGTTTGGACGAATCTTGACCGTCGGATTCAAAACCCACTTGACGGTAGTCGACAGCTTCTGATTGAGACAAAGACCGGTCTAGTTCCTTTTGGCAACCCTTCACCGGGCCCCACTCGATTTAAATGACGAATATAGCCTCGCCGGCAAGCACGCCCCGAGAGAACGACACGTGGACGAGATGAGTGTTACGTCGGGGCGCGTGTAGATGAGACGGAAGACATGACTAAAGTACGATGAAAGGGTGAGAGAGAGAGAGAGAGAAAAGAGAGACAGCACCCGCGTAAAAGTCGAGGGTTTCTACCCCCCTCTGCAACTACAGAACCTCGCTCTTTCTAAACTCTCTGCCCC